GTCTGTAATTGTGACATTAACCTGGAGGCCATAGGAAAGCCAGCTATTTCTGCTCACAATGCAGAAATTTTTCCAGTCGTCCTTATTTTGGGTTCCAGATCGATGGAATCCCTGTTTATAAATATTATCAAACACATTCGAAAGCCGGGTAAAGTTCTTCTATATCACCTGAAAAAAATACCCGGAAATAAAAAATTTGTCAAAATATTTCACCGCATTTAAATATAACCCCGCCTTAAAATAAGACAACGATTACTCATTGTTTATATTAGTTCAGGCAAGGCATCCGAACTAGAAGTTATTTATATTTACTTTATCAAATATTTGGAGCTTAGAAATTGACGTGGGCGTCGCCTTACTTAACTTGCAGCGTTAATTCAACGAAGACGTAATTATTTCTAAATCAGTACTTTCCGCGTCTATTTTAAAATGAACGTTTGGCCTCAAGTTTTTGCGGAACTATTTTCCAGTGTAATTAGCATTTAACAAATCGTGCATACGGTTGACATTAACTTTGACTGTGCAAAACATTTTTCATCGTAATTCGGGAAATTTCATGTTGCTTATTATAATTATAGGTTTGTGAAATAACACCGAAGCAAAAAGCCGTGAAATTGTTTGACAAAATGGCAATTGATGGAACATGATATAACAATAAATGTGTTGGTAATTAAACGTTCGTATGGTGATATTGTCGGTAATATTATTTTCATTTTAACCGGAGATATAATAACCAATTTTACTCGCTGACTTTGTAATACGACATCAATTTCATTTTCCTTCGAATCATCTCGGCACACCCGTGGTAGAGAATATGCTATTTCTTGGAATAAAGGTGAAGAGTTGAAGTATCCATTTTTACATTACTTTTGTAAGATTTAATCGGCTTAGTTGTTTAAATGCACCATGATCTGTCGTGAGATTCAACTGTGCGAGGATAACATGACTTTTTGTTTATGGATTGATTACTATTCGATGTATGTCAAGTATGTTTATTTATTTATTTATTTATTTACCTAAATACCTAAAAATTGTAATCATCCGCATTTTTGGCCCGAGTTATCTCTTCGATTGTCCATGTCGAGTCGAAATCTTATATCTATAAGGTTAACTTATTCGCACGAATCGAATGCTTGATAAAATATAACAATTGCACTCATTTTGCTGTTTAACTATGTTTGATGCTCAGGTTAAATCTACGTGTCCACCACCCGGCACGTGGTGTAAGTGGATTGGAAAGACAACGCCAAATCCGCAGATTCTTTTGAAAGGGACAGCTTCTACAGATTTCGCCTATTTGTACCTTGTGCGTAATATAACTGTGAAAACCCATGTAATTCAGTAAATAAAGAAAGAATATTGACCCCGGCAATGTCACAGGATGTATAAATAATCATAAAATAATACAGTAGCTTTTCATATCGTAAAATCAATCAAAAACCTTCAGATATGGAAATTTTGCTTTTTGCCATACTTTTTAGCTACCAAATGAATCTACGGAATGTTGTTTTTGACTTTATACATGTAGTTATTGATGAGACCCATCGAATTCGTAGTTGAAAGTATTTCAAATAGAAAATAGCTTTGACAATTCGGCGGAACTAAACAATTATCAGCGGACGTAGCGAATATATTTTAATCCAGATAAAGAAGTTAAATAAATCTTTTTGTAACTTGAAAAACTAATTTTGAGTAAAATTACGATTGCAAAACACACGAAAACTGAGATGGGTAAAATTTACCACATTTCTATAGCAATTTTTTTAATTTCAATTTTGATGAAAATATTGTTTTGAACAGGTACCGTGCTTGCATGCATAGAGGTCAGGTTTAGCTACAGATGGGTATGAGCGAAGAACTAATGAATTGTTTATGTAAAAAGATGTCATTTTAGGAGGTGGACAACTTTTGTCTTCATCAAGCAATTTAGCCATCATATAAAATCTTTAATAACCCAATTTATTAATCTTAAAATAATACATGAACCAGCTGTTGAAATCGTGAGAAGCCGTCCAAATTGACGTAAATGAGTTTTTTTCTTTTTTTAAAGAAATTAATATCGAAAGGAAAGTGAATGTATTATAACTATCCATTAATTTTATGATAAAAATATAATTATTTCAAAACTATATTAAGAAATTTTGTACCTCCATAAAAAAGGTTTAAAGTGAAATTTTTTTTTTTTTTTACACTAACTTACAAAAAAATAACAATGGAAGAAAACTGAGGATACGATTACAACAGTACAAAAGCACGGCGGAAGGATATGTAGTTTGTCCCGCAAAAATCCGATCAATAGTACAATTTGAAATAGTTACTTTTGTTAAATGTGTCCAAGTATATATATAACCATAGTTCGAATAATTTACGAGTTATTTCGAGTTATATAATTCATTTATAATCCTCTTTTACTTTTGTCGCTTATTAAAGTGTTAACTTTAATAATACATTTATTACTTGTTAAATATGATTGTAGGTTTTATGAAAGTAATTGTTTAAAAGTCTCGACATAATAATCGAACAAAGTTTGACAATCGACGTCAATTCAATCATAACTGATAATTTAAATAATCACACTTGTACTTAAACGGGAAAAGTTCCAATTTTTGTTAATGTTCAGCATAATCATCGTCCAGAATAGGGAAGATTTGTGCGATAATATGGCTTCGAAAATACCGCAACTTCCTTAATGTACCAGGCTTCAAAGATATAATTATTCTTAAACAATCATAAAAACTCTGCTTTCAAGTCTGATTAATTGCCACTTGGTATGGGCAGAAGCGTGGATCAGCAGCTTCAATTATAACTTGTTTGGTAAGTATCAAAGGATCCGCAAAACAAAAGTTAGAAGTGACCATCTGAAAATAAAAAGCTGAAGACTTGTCCATATAATTATATTACAAAAATGTTTCTGCGTGTAAACGATTTTGCATTTGATATTGGTTGTCGTTTGCCTGGCAATTGTATTCAGATTTAATACATAAGTTGCACTAAGAGGAAATAGTAAACTTGAATGGTGTATGCTCGTACCAGTAATTAGTCACCCAACAGCCAATTGTTGTAAATACATTATTATATGAATTTAAATTTAAAAGAATTTATTCGCAAGATGAGATAACAAGATTTCAGTTTTTGAAAGTTCCTTTTATCGCTACGACGACACATTAGGCCCACCCAGTTATTCGTTAAGTTGTCAAGTCAAACCGACAATAAAACAAATGCACTCTTTGTTATATCATCGCGCGTCAGGAATGTTGAAATCTCGAATAGATAAGAATAAGTTATCTTATTTATCCCGGGAAGAAGAACGTCCATAACGCGATTAATCACATTGCGCATGGCGTGTATAATTCTAGCGCATCTCTCAAAGTGAAAGCGTTTAATTTAAAACATTTCACTAATTTAGCTATCGATCGAATAGCATGACGTTGCAAATACGCATACAATTGTCCCTGGAATTAGGTCAAAAACAATTTACAATTACAATTGTCTCATTGGGTTAAAAAAGACTGAAGCAATTTTTCACATCATAGTACGATTCAAAATCTTGGTCATGTTTTGACTACAACCTGAGCGATGTGCACATAAAGCATCATTGAGTCATGGTGGTTACTCTGCAATGACATCAAGTGACGAGGCTGGAGAAAAAAAGTAGAATGAAAAATATATCACACATTTTTGATCGAACTACGAACAACTAAATAATTATTACGATGCGCAAATTATACATATTTATTTTAAACATCTACGAAGCGACTAATCAAGTTGGGAAAATTCCAGCCACCAATCAATCTATCAAATGAATAGATTGTACATATATGCAAATGAACTTCATCGTTCATGCAACCTGGCAAACGAATGAAGCTATCAACTAGACTTGGAGTACTATTTAATTGTATTTACAAAAAAAGTCACGAAATCTAGTTTGTCTGGATAAACAATATCGAAATAAAAATACGTTATTCAGAGTGAATGAATATGGAGCGTTCAAATTTGAATCTTCAAAGACACATGATTGTTTGTTTCACATCATCATTTCTAACATGCCAAATAAATATAAATAAGCTATGCTCACCGCACCGGAAATGAGGATTTCTACTTCACCATTTTCAATGAAATTATGGGCACGCAACCGGAAATGAGAAAACAAACTTGATCCCTAACTGTTCGATATGGATGAAATACATTTATATATTGTAAAAAAACTTTTCTATTTTGGCTGGAAAGCCATCTGAATATATATGTGCGGACATTCATGATTATCGGACTTATCACAGAAAATCTTGGTGGAGCGTTTCATTGGATATCGTTACGCAGTTTTCCTAATAAGGTCAGTTCGCTGGGGGTGGGTGAAAACTGGGAAATATTCGTTTATAACCTCTTGTGTTGAGCTACATGAAGAGTTTCGTTATTCTTAGGACTGAAATTGTACAATTGGTTCAACATATATACGAGTAGGCTGTTTTACTGACTTCCTCCGCACTCAAGTCGACATGGAAATCCTGCACTTACAAGGCATTATGCTCAAAAACTTCCGAGCATACTACACCAGGAATGTGCAACATTTGATGTTGGTGAGCCTTACTACCAACTTCAGACATGCAGCTGAGCCCCATTGAAAAATAATTTTTCAACAACGAATCAAAAAATTAGCGACAACCAAAGCGCCGAGGGAAAGGCAAGATAGGAGAATGCTGCTATCGATTGGCCTCCCAGTGATAAAGGCACCAAAACCGCGAAAGACGCAGGGACTAGATTAAAAATCTTTATGTATTTTCACCCATGTGAGCTTCTTTCTAAACAAACTGTCGGATTAGGATTTTAAGCTTGACGGAGAAAATCTGATTGTTGACGTGAGGCACACTGAATGACTTGGCTGACCGGGTCGCGACCCGCATGACGCATGTTGTACACCCGTGCTCTACATCCATTTTTCCCTTTGGAAATGTAGCGAACATATTTGTCTTACTGTCATGACTTTGTCACCAAGAAAATTTAAATTTTTATGCATATAATAATTTATTGAATAATCAATAATAAAATATATTCAAGGCGAAAGTGACAAATGAGGTATTTCCAAGTGTCATTAAAATCACACTATTGAGTATAAACGAGTTGATTTTGTGATGACAGTAAAACATTAAACACATTATTTTAATACATAGATAATGAAAAAAAATAGATCTACGAGAATAATGTACCGTATTACACCAAAGCTAAATTACATTGCACCGTTAAACATAGAGAAACAATACACGCGTTCAAATCGGAGAAGCCGCCACGCTTGGCGGAATAAGATGGTGTTCCAATGAATAAAAAAATAGTTCAGTGGAATTTCGAATGGAATATCAGATTCATCGGAAATTTACGAATAAATTAAAGCAATAGCTATTCAGCGACAACAACAATCTTCAATCACTTAAAATTTCAAAGCAATTGATCCAGTAGTTAATGAGAAAAGCTGTGATGACGGAAAGGCATAAACACAATATTTTAATACATGAAGGATGAAAAATAAAAACTTTCTTATTAGAATAAAGTACCGCATTACACTAAAGCTAAACTGTATTGTACCGTTAAACACAGAAAAACAAAACAGATGCAGGAAACAGTTTTAAGATTTCCCCCTTGAAGGTCACAGCACTTTCAATTTTTACCCCCTCAGGTTTTGTTTCGGAGGTGGATACTTCCAAATCATAACTAGAAAATCGTCATTGTGCACTGCAATTTTTATACATCCAGATCGTGTGTCAAAAATCTTATTAAATAGTCAAACGCTATTCACCTATAATGTATATAGGTCATATATAGATATGGGCAATTCAATGAAAAAAATAATTATATACCCCATCTCATGAAAATTCACTTTAGGACAGTTGGATTGGATTTTTTTTTCTAAGGCACGAATAAATTATAAAAATTTTGGCATTTGATACAGAAATAAAAGAGCGATACTCAAATATATGAACACGAAATCTAAAATAAAGTAGTTTTCGTAACGTACCTAGGGTTACCGGTATGAAATAATATCAGAGTTTTGCGTAGCGTCGCGTCAAATCGGAAAAGCCGTCACACTTGCCGAAAAAAAAAGTGTTCCCAGGAATGAAAGCTAATTCAGCGGAAATTTGAATGAAATATCAGATTTCATAGAAAATTTAGGAATAAATAAATGCAATAGCCTTCTAGCGACAACAGCAATCTTCAATCACTGAAAAAAAAATTAATTAAAACCAATGGATCCAGTAGTTAATGAGAAAAGTGATTTTTTGGCAACAAGAAGAAGAATACTAGCAACATGATCAAGAACAACATAGCAAAACTATTCATAGGTCCACTTAGTGTCCAATAATTTATAAAAATATTCGAAATATTTTGGGAATATTCAGATACATTGAATTCAAAACTTGACAAAAATTAGTAATAATAAGTAAAAAGTATAACGAGTATTGAGTCACCCTATAAATCATTAATCAGTTGTTGTACCGATGATAAAACAAGTTGTGATCAACATTAAAAAGTCTATATATGAATAAATATATTAAAGTTTACACAAAAATCAAAAGCAAACTTCAATCTCACATATACTTCACACCGTAATCAAGAATTATTTGTAAAATTCAGTTCGAATTACAGTTCTATCTCATGAATACTTTACAATGATAATCAACATGTTGAGCTCCATATATGGTATAATATGTATAAGTAAGTAGTGCATCCATCAGTAGCATTTTTATGCAAACATTTTAAAAGTAGGAAATTGAACATAAAAGATAATATACAAAAGACTACATAATTAAAAGAATATATGAGCAAAAAAACAAAAAACACAATCACTTTTAAAGCTAAAATCAAAATTTAGGATTTATCAACACTTTTGGTATTATTAGGGGCGCTCCAGAAGTATGTGCACGCCCAACCTGGTAACCCTAACCTGGTACACATACTATGGTCAAGTTGTGGGCCATCTTGGTGCACATACTTAGGGAGCACCTTATCAAAATATATATTACAAGATATTTATATCCATGAAATCTTAGTTCCCATAATGAGAAATAGAATTTTTTTTTCGTAGTTGATTGTATTCCACTCCTTTTAAAAAAGAAAAAAAGTTAAACCAAAATCTAACTGATATTAAACGAGCACCGATAAAACAGTATAGAAGCGAAAATTAAGCAGTAACTTTCTTTTCCTCAGACTGCCATCCCATTGATTTTTGAACAGCAAGCTTCCATTTTTCATAGCTAGCTTTTTCATCTATAATGAAAATATCATCTTTGATTACATACAGTAAAACATTGACACAAATCAGATACCAATACCAAGCAAGCAGCCGGATGAGAGAATCGAGAAAATGGATTTATCATATAAATTCAGGGATGGCCAATACCGAATAGTTCACTATTTCGAATACATTCGAAATTATTTTTTTCGAATATGAAATTTCGAATACTTCGAAAATAAAATCCACTAATTGAAGCTTATCTAAATGTATGTAGGAATTTCCATACATTAAGCAATGGAATAACTGCTATCTACAAGTTACAACCTAGCTATTTTACCAGACATTTCATATTTGCAGATTATTGCAGTATATATTTCATATACCATGAGTCATGTTAACAGAATTAAATTAATACGGCAATAGTGGTATCGGTGATGGATTCGAATATTTACGCAACACAAAATCATCATACTTAAACGCCCATACTTTTAATTAAACACCAACCATTATCCAAATTATTTGCCGATAAGCGGGATAAAGTATGAGTTATTTTTCTGACTTGTGACAATTTTTTTGTGAGTACAAAAATGCGAATCAAAAATTAATTATATTCGGGAACTCTACCACACATTTTAAGTCCGCAGATTGCCGTTGTATGTTTGAGTAATAATACTTTTATTATTTTATAAATAGGAATCAAAAACTATTTATAATCGGGTAGTTTATCACACATTCTAAGTTCACAGATCGCAGTTGTATTTTGTAAATACGAAAATAGGAATCAAAAATTAATATTAATCGCGAGTTTGCCACACAATTTATGTCCACAGATTGCCATGATATTGTGCCGAATATAATTAGTTTTTGATTCTTATTTTCGTACTCACGAAAAAATAGTCACACGTCGGAAAATAATTTATACTTTATCCTGCATTTTCGGAACTAATTTGGATAATGGTTGCCATTGGTTTGTATTTAAAAGTATGAACTTTTTACTAGGATGATTTTGTGCTGCGCAAAATATTAGAATCCATGGCCGATACCTCTATTTGAAATGCCTTACCGTGTTAATTTAATTCTATTATCATAACTCAAATATTGGTAAATCGGGCAATTTACCACACATTTTAAGGCCACAGATCGCCGTTGCATTTTAGAATTATAGTTTTATTATTTTGTAAATACGAATCAGAAATTAATTATAATTGGGCAGTTTACTACATATTTCATGTCCATGAATACCCGTGGTATTTGGTATTAATACTTTCATTATTTTATCAATATGAAAATAGGAATCAATATTTAATAATATCGGTCAGTTCACCACACATTTTATGTCCACAGATTGTCGATACAACCATGAGTTACGTTGAACAGAATTAAATTAATACAGCATGACATTTTAATAAATGCTGTTACCAGTCATGGATTGGATTATTTTGCGCAACAAAAATCATCTTGGTAAAGGATCGATACTTTTAACTATCGTTATCAAAATTATTTGCCAGAAATTATTTTCCAATAAATCGACTTGTTTTTCCAACTTGTGACAATTTATTGGATATCGTAACAATTACGGCTATAAATACCGTATTTCCCGGCTAATAAGTCCACATGGCAAATAGGACGATGTCTATTTTTAGCACTCAAAAATGGGGTTTATCCATATTGTGTCCCTGTTGTTCAGTTATGCTAATATGCGCTAATAATTTTATATGTTTAGAACCAGATCATTTAACTATATTTAACAATTGAGCGGTAAATTTAAGTTGTAAAGTGGCAATCATTTTGGACAACCTATTAACCCGAATGTTGAAATAATTTTGAATTGTGATAAGTACTACACTGTACGTCCACGGGTTATTTCACAGCTGTGTTTTCCTGTCCCTGTCGTGTTCTGCTGGATCGGCAAAACGAAAGGGTCACAAATCACTTTATCTCGGTGGCCGTGTTTCTCTTTAAAGTAACGATAACCGGCCTGCGAATAAATATCATGATTGGCAGACCCTAAGACCCAAATATAAGGTTACACAAATCATGTTTGAGAAGACTCATGCGAATAATAAGCAGGCGACATCGAAATAAAATAAACATACTTTCTCAATTAGACGCCCCCACCCCGCCTAGAAAAGCGACTCATTAGACGAATTTTTGACGTAATGGAAATGAATTTACAAATTAAAAGCCTCGTAGACGAATGTCGGCAATGTCAACCCGCGCAAACGTGCAAATATGTCTAAGACTATGCGACGTACGGTCGCACAGGATATAAACAATCAAAATGCCTATTCTATTTCATCGTCATTACAATACGTGAGACAGCGTAAAAAGTCGTTTGAAGATTCCCGTAAAACGAAACACCACGTTTACGGCGAAATCTGGCTACTATTCGAAAATCAGCCGAAAAGGTATTCGAATACTTTGATATTCGAATACATTCGAATATTCGATTCGTTTTGGACAACCCTGAATACATTGTAACACGAATTCTTTGGTGGAAAAGAGTAAAAAACTGAACAAACCTTCAGAATTAGTTTTTGGCTCAAATTTTGTAAATTCAACTTTTTTGCTTTCTTCGTAACTCCATATTCCATATGATTTTGCTGCAGCAATAGCCGCTCCGAGCGCGGTCACTTCTGGTATAGACGATCTCACTATGATATATGAAAAAAATTATTACCTAGTTAAGTTGTAATGATCAGATAAAATAGAGCTTGTCCAGTAAAAATATTATCATCCTGGACTTTTGGCAAAATTCTTTCAAACCCAAAAAAATTATTTTCAACACAATGAAGTTCTTGTCAAGTATAATAGTCTAATGACCGGGGTTAAAAACAAAGTATAAAAAAATACTTTGGAATATTAACCAAACTCTGAAAAAGTATTGGATCGTGAGGGAGCTACCATCATAATAAAAAATACCAAGAGATACATAATATCAAAAGCATTCCATATTAGTTATATGCAACATAAAATTTTACCTTACATGATTTTTAGTTCAATAATTGCCAATTTGGGCAATTAACAAATCGGAGAACATTTAATTGGTATGTAGTTTCACCAATGTTAGTGTAGCTTGAAAATTAAAATGTGTGTAGGATCGGAAAAGTGCATCAGACTGCAAAATTCGAATTAATTTAGTAAAAATTGGATAATTAAAAATCGATTCTGGAATAAACAGATATTATTATGACTGTATAATCTGTCTTCAATTTCTTATCGTTTCAGATTGGAAACCTACAAACAGTTACTCCAAGAATATCAGCTTGTCTTTGCATCAACAGACTATTGACAGTCATTCCACCATCGACTTGTAATCTTGTAATTGTCTTAGAATCTGAACCTCCTGTAGTTTCTGCATCTTTTGCCATCGCTTCTAAGATCTGTAACAATCAACCAAAAATGAGAAACAGTATTGAAATATAAATATTCAAATAATCTCGTAAAGCTAAATTTTGAAAACTCAACATATTGCATTTTCTTCCATTCACTTCTCACACTGATGCAAACCGTAGACGGCCAGGTAGAGTATCCTAAGATAGGATCCTCAGTTTCAACCAGAGGAGAAAGCAGAGACAGAAAGATCTCAGTCGGTTACCAGTCAATATCAGGTATGACCAGTTTTTGTTTCAGATGCATGAAGTCTAGCAGTTATGTGAACGGCCCTATAGCAATGAGGAGTCCAGCAAACCTCTTCCCCATAGAATTTGAACCTGTGCCGTGCGATGACAAGCGTTTTTTTCTTGCTTTGCACGATGCAACAACTGCCAAGCCAAAGTGTTTATAAAGTTTTCCACAATAGCTTCTCAAAAATCGACGAAACTCAATTCAGTGTGAACGCATGAAAAATACTCATATAAATTATTCTTCCATACCTCTCTAGTTTGATAACAAACTGCTTCATGAGCTGCATAAGCAAGGTGAGCTTTAGTCGTAAATTGTGTGAGACCACAAATTATTCCTCGAGCATCTGGTCTCCAATAAGGAGCATATAATCCAGAAAATGCAGGGACAAAGAATACCTCGCCAGCATTGTCAACTGTTCGCGCGAGTGCCTCTAATAAGAGAAATAAATACAAAATAAGGATACAGTTTTCACAAAACAATGAAGATATGGTAATCGAGTAACTATCGAGTGAAAATTTTATCATCAAAGAAACCAAAAATTTAAAATGGTTTTACAATTGAAAAAATCTTATCTTTAATGAGAATGGACATTTTGATAATCTCATATTTGAGGGATTTTATTCATTATTTTAATTATATTCTAGCTGTGTGTGTTGCGATGAACCATGTTTTAACTATTACCAATTTCACTGCTCTTCTTTATAATTCCAAGATTATCTCTCAGCCAACGTATAATTCCTCCTGCTACTGCAATGGAACCCTGAGAACAAAAAACACATTCACTTTCAGTAAATTCCAAAGCAAACTTTCTAGTGGAAAGTCAATGTGGTTAGGGGCTGCAAAATGTTCAGGAGACAATTATGATCATACTCTAAAAACACTGGCTTATATTACAATATAGTTCTGTACAAAGAAATACTGAACTAATTTTTTAACTCTAAACCCATTACAATGCTTACTTTAACACCTTACTTATTTCGGTACTCCCGTAGTATGTGAACCAAGATGGTGGACATCGGAACAAAGTATGTGTACCAGGTTGGGGTTAGGCCATAATTTTATTCTAATTTTCCGTATTTTAGTTCTATTACGAGTTCGGGGACTAGCCATGTGACTCATGTAGTATTTGTACCTAAAATTATGGCCTAACCCTAACCTGGTACACATACTACGTTCTGGTGTCTGCCATCTTGGGGCACATAAATACATTTCTCACCTCTAATGCATAATGAGTTGGTTCATCAGGTCCCAATTTGTAGGCAATTGTAGTCAACAGACCATGAGATGATGTCACTGGGTTTAAACCACTATTCTGGAGAAGAAAGCAGCCAGTACCTGCGAAAAAGAAGATAGAGAATGAATAAAGGAATGTTATGCATCAATTTTTTTGCTCAGTTTTGGCTAATCAAGCTAAGTTAGCTAGAATAGGATTTACATATCTATCCTGGGGGAGAGCAAAGACGAAGCGTTAGCTGGTTAGCCAGTCATTTGTTTCCAGATGCATGGACTTGATGGTGGAAGAAGACATTTCTGACCACCGGTTTTGTGAACCACTTTCCAATGGCAATAAGTCTAGCAATCCGCTCCCACATATTTATCCCCCTGCGAACCCACGCAGGGAGGAGCGGTGGCAAGCGTATTCCTAATGCTTTGCTCAATGCGCCACATCACCGATCTGAGAATATGAACAGTAATGCATCTCGGATATGAAGTGGAGGTAAGGATTTTTGTATTATTTACTGCTTCTTGGGGACAATACATGTTAAAACTGGTTGGTTATGGTGTGAATGAATCTGTAACATCTTACTTGATGGCAATTGCTACATCAGGCATAAACTGGTGATTGTACAAGAAGCTGTGATTCAATAAATTATTAAGTGTTTAATGGGATATTCTCTGCCTTACATGTAAAAATATATTATAGCTTGCAAATGTTTTGTTAAAAAATCAATGCATATTGGAATGCTCACCATATGTATTCTTTGCATCTCCAGGATTGAAACAAAGCTGACCAACCAATGCTGCTTGTTGATCACCTAAACACTGACACAAAATAAAAAGATTAAACACGGCACACGGGTGTAAGAAATTGAACAGTTACTATATGATCAGTAAATATTGTATTGTCCTTTCTATAACTGATACAAAAACAATTAAATACTTACACCACACACAGAAACATCTTTCAAAGGGCCTTTCACCTGGAATAGAAGAAAAGAATTGAGTAAAATGTAAATGACTACTGTGGCACGCGTCATTGGTTAGACTTAAATTGAACTTGACGGCTTAATCATGTGGCAAACCACGTCTTCTCGTATGGATACCAGTCAAATATGAAATTAGTTAGCCATTTATTAATGTTTTTAGATGCATAACAATGGAGGAAGCGGTTACATGAACCACTCTATAGCAGCAAGGTGTTCAGCAAGTCTCTCGAACATAATTACCCCCGACAGGATTCAAACCTGCACAGTCGAACACAATCGAGCCAACCATTGTCCAACAAAAAATCATTATTCCGTTAAATGTCATATAAAAGTACGAATAAACAGAAATTCCTACTAATTTTCCATAAGTTTCTGAACTGCTTTTAACTTCTGGTAGAATAGATTGAGGAACTCCGAAAAATTTGCATAGATTTTCATCCCATGTCTGTGAGTGAATATTGAAGAGCATGGTTCTTGAAGCATTTGTGATATCTGTAACATGACGACCTCCATCAACACCTCCAGTTAGGTTCTGTAATTTATATGTAACGTGATAATAGCACTACCATGATGCCTATTGAGATTACAATAACAGAGTGAATGGTGATAAAGACATAGTGCGAGTGAGAGTGTCGAATACAGATGTGATAAGTAGTTCTGATTATAGTACTCAAAGCTATGATATGTTTTCAGGTTTTTTCGTAAATTTTGTTCAAGTTTAGTCTGAGTTCTTCTAATTTATTGTCTGAAATATATTGTATTTTATGAAGTAACTTATTAATCATTTTTATCTCGCAAGTCGCAACCGGTCTTTTACGAAATCAAATAATAAGAATCATGAAAAAGGGAGAAGCAACATTGAAAAAGAAACCCATCAAAGTCAGAATCATGTTTTGTTTTCAAGACAAAAAAATTCAAAAAAATACTAGATTAGATTCCAGTTATTCATAATAACTTGCACTGTGTCATAACTTGTTTTGTGAACTTTGAGCCACAGCACCTTCGTCAAACAAATATTGCAAGTAACTGGACCGGCATACTTGAAATTTAAACCAAATTATGAAGTGAATGTTAACTTCAACTTGAAGTTATATTTAATACATAGGGCAGTTTCTTCCTAAAAAACTTTAAAAAAAATCGTCATAAAAAGATTCTACAATTTGAGAAACCGAACTGAAAAAATGAGATCTAGCAATAAAAAATAACTCAAATACCCAAATTAGCCATGAATCTACTGTGCCAAACAGAGCATCTCCTTGTTCAATGGAATTTTTTACTTCTGGTAAATTGTCCAATATCCATCTCAGCTTGACTGCAGAAAAATATGTACTGATAGGCAGACCACAAATTTTCTGACAACAGATAAAATGATACAAATGTTATATTATTTTTAAGTCAGTCAAATTTAAAAACAAAATCTAATTTACTGACAAAATGATGCAATTCTTGGACAATTTCTTTCTTAAAATTGTTGATTTTAAATTACCAACAGAAAATATTAAGGAATTTACCTGGAAATGATCTTGTCGTTTTGTTGATGTTTTCTGTATCAGTTGTTCTACAGTGTCAGTTGTTCGTATATCACACCAAACTGAAGAAAAAAATATGTACCGGTATATATAATCCACAAGCCAAAGCAAAACATTTGAATTAGTTAATACTTGAAATATTAAATAGAAACTTGAGTTGAATTTCAGCGATGTAAGGTTCACTATTCAATTCAATTCTATTATCACACCAGACCGTTATGGTTCATATCAAATAACAGGTACAAAATAATAAATATATCAATATAGTAAGTATCACAGTGAAATACCGCAATATCAGCAAAAATAACAGCAAAATAAAAGCTAATATGAATTAAATTCACAGTGAAATACCCCAATATCAGCAAAAATAACAGCATAATAAAAACTACCTAATATGAATTAAATTCACAGTGAAATACAAATACCGCAATATCAGCAAACTAACAGTATTATGAATTGAATTCACAGTAAAATACAGCAATAACAGCTCATATGAATTAAAATCACAGTAAATACCGCAATATCAGAAAATAACATCTGATATGAATTAAATTGTCAATTGTCAAATTATTTCGAAAATTGGAGCAAGTGATAATTTTTTTTTTTCAACATGGACTAAAGCCTAAAAATACATAGATTTATATTGACGGTTCAAGTCAAGGTCATCTTTGAGATCATTGGTCAGAAAAACACTGAGATATTTACTGGACACAACAAATGCCAATACAGAATTGCAAAGTTTGATATTAGGTAGATTATCCAACCTTAACTTCTTACTCTGAATACGCATGCAAACTATGAAAATAATACAAAATAATGTTTAAACAATAATCAAATTAATAATGGAAACAAAGATTTTTACCAATCGCAGGGCACAATGGTTTCCCAGTATATTTGTTCCAAACTACTGTCGTCTCTCGTTGATTTGTAATGCCAATTGCTGAAATTGATAAAATGAAAAATAGAAAACAGAAGCTGAAATTAGGAGTGTATAACTATGAACAAATAGTCTAAATATTCTTTTAGCTCCATATTAAAATTTGGAATACAAATGGAGTAAGAATGGGTGCTTATTGTGAGTTTGAATTTGTTCAAAATAAAGAGGAAAATGATTCGTAATATGGCATGTAAATATGTTAATAGTAAAATAATGCTTGAATCCGTAAATATCACAATAACATTCAGCTCCATATTAATATAGTATATACGAAGCAAAATTATTGATTGTATATGGTCAAATATTCCAAAATAATTGATAATAAAATTTTTTTTATAATGAATAAACCGATTAACCGGTTATCTATTCCCAACCCTAATTATCGGGCATACACTTCTTTATGGATAGGATAGTGATAGTATATACCTTTAACACATGAAGCACTTATGCCTTTACTTTCAAGTTTTTCAATTGCTTTATCAATGCATGTGTTGACTGAATTTATCTTTTCAGAAGCATCTTGCTCGACCCATCTGAAATTGCAAAGATTTATTGACACATAGACAAAACAAATAATAACGGTCAGTAGAAAAACTAAAAAAATTTGTTCTGAAAAATTTCAATAATATTATAACCCAGATAAACAACAGATTATAATTATGAGTGTAACCTGCTTTCAGTTGGAATTTGCTTCCATTGCACTGCTTGTATTGTTGAATTGTTCAAATCTTTTGAAATGTTTATTTTATGATATCAAACAATGTATGATTGCTCTTAGTTAAATATTTGTTTATGTCACTGCAGCTATTCACATGTAAGCGGCCGTTTGTGATTTCACTCATGAGTCATGATTGAGTTTTCTTCACTTTGTAGTGAGTGTTTTCTTCAAGTAAATATCATAAAAAAGTAAAATACAAACAGCATGATCAGTTTTAATTTAAAAAATTAAACTCACCCTTCAGAAGGACAAGACTGCACAATCTCGACTTGATGATAACATATCACACTTGCAGTTTTCACATCAAATATCTGTTAACATAAATCAAATGGATATAATCCCAAACATAAAATTTTTTGTAAATTCGGTCCGGTGAATATTTTTCATGGATTACAATAACTGAATAATTTACATTACTTATACAAATGCAATTACCACAAATGTTGATATAATTTGTTATTATAATTCAATGGCTAATCGACTACCACAGGGGTTCTCAAACTTTTGGTGTTGCGGAGCCCTTGAAAAGGTTTACTATTATTCACGGAGCCCCAAAAAATAAATGTTAAAATTGTTACTTTCAGATTAATATTCCTGAGCAAGTTAAAAGTACTTTACTTAATTTAAATGCTGAACCTTAGGGTTAATACAAGTCATACATAAATTTAAATTTCAAACATAAATTATATATATACTGAAGCTGTAAATTTCACACTTGACAAACATTAATAAATTAGTGGTCGAATCTTTTCCCTTTCGACATTTTTGGAAGACCTAAAAGGCCGCTAATAACGTGCGCGATTGCATTTTGTTCGATTGCCGATGAGTTCAATGTGAAAATTATGTTACCATATTATAGCCATCGGCGATGAAATGCTAAAAATAATAATTAATAAAGAGGTAAATCCGCAACTCAAATTTCTTGATTGAAAAACGGCATTCTAAAATATTAAAACTGAAACTTAGAAGAGAAGATTACAAATTTGGTTTTCAGCAGACTCATCTCAGATAGAAAACGTTTTTATAGACATTGTAAATTACAAAATTTGGTGTTATGTTAGGTTTTCATCGTAGTAACTGCGAAATCGAAACACAGTCAATTGTGCGCGCGATGTACCTTTTTTTCCCATTCTGAAACTACCGACGGAGCCGCACGCAGTCAATTGTGCACGTGATCCGCGATGTACCTTTTTTCATTCTGAAACTAGCGACAGAGCCGAATGCAATAAAATAAATTTCAATTGTTCGTGTATTGCACCGACAGTGTGAGTAACGATGAGCACAATTACATTATAACGACGAGACACGTTAAATGCTCGCATCGGTCATGGATTGAATATTTTACGCAACAGAAATCTCGTTATCCGTTTTTTTAATCGCGAAGAATGTTGCGCGGAAATTTCCGATTCCAATTTTGAACCATTTCCCTCTTAAAAATCCTGGCTACGTTCCTGATTATAAATAATGTCATTTTTTCAATTTCGCCTCTTTACCATATTTCGAGGCTATATTGTTGTCAGATTTTATCTGAGCTGTTATCGCTTCTTTGAACAGTTACAAAATTTTGAGTCAGTATTTGAAAAGTAATCGAATAGCTCGCGGAGCCCCTGGGTTTTCTCTCGCGGAGCCCTGGGGCTCCGTACGGAGCACTTTGAGAACCTATGGACTACCACAATGCCAACAACAATGCCAGATTTCACAGACTTGAATTTGAAACTGTGTGTATCGGTTGCAAATATGTTTTCATGCCTAGCACAGCAGAAAATTCCCAACTGCAGGTTAAAAAAAATTTGGCTCTGATTCCAGGTTGGGTAAATGGAATGTTAAAACATTTAAAAAACTTGATGGTTTTCAAGTGTCTGTAGCAAATTTAACTTATCTTTTTATCACAAATGAAAGTCTGAAACTCCGACTCTCAACTCCATGGAGCTCAAAATGCGACTTGGCTAAGTGGTCTGGCAATGATTCTATGACTTAGCACTTTACTCACCAAAAAATCTTGAGCTGCTTGTTCCCTGATCAACGGCTCCTACAAGTTCTAGAGTGTCATTCATCTTGATAGTTATTCTGTTAAATTTCTATTGAACTGTGTGTGGATAACAATTTCAAGAAGACTTAGGAATGCTGCAGACGCTTCTCCTTTTTCCAAATTAGATTCCAGTCAAACTTTAAATTAAATTGAATTTTGTTTATTATAAATAAAAACATGAAATAGGATAAATTAATCTTACTTCTACAATATTTACTGATCTATCAAAACCAGAATTCTGTGCCTGTCACAAGATATATACCAGAAATTAATAACATTAGAATGCCATGAACTGAAAACAACTTTACACCAACATATAATACTAATATTGCATATTGAAAGTATATATTGTGAATCCATATCAGAAGTAGTTGAAACGCCGACGCAGCAACAAACATTTGATCATTGGGATGTAAGATTTGTCGTTTGACTGATTTAAATTAAATTCCACGCTACGATTTTCATACTAAAACATAATTTGTCTTAATCATTGATGGAAACTTCTTCAACCGCCTAACGAATTAAAAAAAATTGTTACGCTACAGTTTCTAGTAGTTAAATTTGAATAATATATATTGCTAGCGAGAAGAGCTGCATAAAAACTCCGTAGAGCAGCATGCGGCTACCAAGCCGCGGTTTGCCCACCTATAATATATAACAAAAAAAAAATTATATGTATGTATCAGTATAATATCTAGTGTTGGATTTTTTTGTTTATAAAATTCTTTAATAGACTACAGTAATATCCCGTTTTTCATATCAATGTTTTCCATTCTGAGGGACACTTCATCAACTATATTACTGTATTCTTCTTCATATTTATGCTTTTTTGTATAATATAAAGTAGGTAAAATGCTTCCCTCAATATGATTTTAAAACTTTTCTTATTTTACTGCAATAGATTGCTTATCTAATGCAGCAATAGACAGACAGATGATAGATAATACCGTACATGTTCCACATCATCTACCTACATACCGATCCTGAGATATAGGCTGCAAAAAGGTTAAAGCAGCTGTTAAGTACCGGTACGAAACCTTAAAGATTCCCAATTGACCAATTACGTACCCTCACTAAATGTTAGACTACAGTCGGTCGATACAATGCCAGAATGCAACACCGCTAACAGCACAACCGGCGCTCAACACAGAGGGGAAACACCGACGTATACAAAGTCACGACAACCAATCAAGTTGGTACAAATGAACACACCTTCATTGCGTGTTTCATTCTTTTCCCGGGGCCTTCTGTCGTCGCATTTTATCGAAACAGTCAATGTGAAATATCTCAAATCAAACAGAGGTTATTGACTTTGCTCTGCATAGCACGTTTCATAATAGTTTCAATTTATCTTGGCTTATTTAACTAATCGGAGTCTAGCGCTGGTGTTCGAATTGAAGCGGAGACCGAACCTCACTTGTAAACTGTTTTCATTTCATATATAACTCAGGTAAGAAGAAGTCGATGAGGCGGCTCAGTTATGTGCCAAATCAAGCCCCCCGTCAGCCACAAGTCAATGTCAATAAATGTCGGCAATTAACAATCAATAAATGGTATCCTGTTTGACAGACATTTATCCCAAACGTTACCATTATATTTTTGTACTTATTCTGGGTTCTGTTGCAATTCAAACGGGTTTGACTTATAATAATAATCATCATCTTGCTCAAGTAGTTGTATAGCCACGTCACCCTCAGAAAATCACAAATTTATCCCAATGGATTGCTTCAGATGTGTATGACACACCCGTGCCCTTCATGTCTTATAATGGTTCAGTCTTCGTCTAATGCAGGGCTACTCAACTATTTTTATCGAAGGTCCGCAAACAAAACCTCAAAATTATTTGGGTCCGGTCTTTCCAGAAATGATATTTCGGCATCCTTAAACGAGCACTTCCTCGACCGACTAATGATTAGGAGCAAATTAAAATTGTTCATTATGGTGTTATAGTTCTTTTCGTATATATTCAAAACTATGAAAATCATTTTATAATAGGAAATTCAAAAAGTGGGGCTAATGATCCAAAATAAATAATTAGGTGCGGTCCAAATCCAATACTCGAAAGGTCCGCATTCGGACCGCGGTCCGCCAGTTGAGTAGCCCTGGTCTAATGGACCTTTCCCCGAGCATCGACTTCCTTGTTTACATCGTGACATTGGCCAATCAGCAAGATGCATAACGTGACGTAACAATGCTCCCTTTTCGCATCCGCTCAGACACTTTTCTCACTCAGCCAGATTTTCAAGCGTGGTCGTAAACATTATCTCGTTTTCTCATTTTTGAACTCTATTCGTCAGTTTTCAGTTCAGTGTTTCAGAAACTTAAATATAAATCAGATAATTCAATGATCACTCTGTCTTCCTAAGAGTTTTAATTCAATTGCAGTAATAAAAAATTAGTGTAGAAATAGCTGTGATAGACCAGGATAACCTTATTTACAGGTACTTTCAAAAAACAGATTGTTGTATGCGATGAATCATAATGATGGTTTGCAACACATACCCCATTTTACAGGCGCCAACTCGCAAAAGCACTCTTAAAATAGCCCCGAAAATTTTGCAATGGTAAAGTATAAGAAGAATTTTCCGGGGGTCAAAGGTCGGAGAAAGGTCCATAGCAATTTACAGTGAAGATAAAGGTCATTAATTCTTCTGAAATATCAGTGGGAACGTTTTTCTGTATGGCCACATCTATCATACATAACATATGTTCTGATGATCATCTTTTGCTTTATATTGTATATTAGTTGCCCAGATGTGAATATTTGAGACTGTCTTAATAATCCCCCCTCCCCAGGTTACTCAACTGAAGAATCTCTACCCCAAGCTAGGTAGGGGCCTGGGGGGAGGGAGATTCCTCGGATGAACTGAAAAATCCCCCCACCCTAGATATTTTTAGTTGGGGTGGAGATTTTCCAGTCGATCCCGTTTCCCAACTGAAGGATATCCCCCTTCCCTAACCCACCTAAGCCGATAATACCAGTTGATCCTTTATTTGACCTGGTGAATATCAGTTGATCCTTCATTTGACCTGGACTAATTATTTGGTAGGATTAAATGGTCTTAGTTGGGGTGGAGATTTTTCAGTTTGGTACCCAGGGCTGCCCGTCTGTAGGTTAGATGACCTATTAACAAACTATTCTGATTAGTATATTCAAAATTCCATTATGGTCAAACAATTCGCACACACAAGAAAGTGAATACTGTACACCTTGTGATTGAGGTGAACGGGGAGGATTTTTCTTTCAAATGAAAAGTATGCAAACGAAGTCGCTTTATAATAAATTATTAGCCTTGTGTCGTGGCCCCCTTGATGAGGGGGGGGGGGGTCACTGGTTTATACTATACTACAGTATAAATATACCATATATACGCTGTGGTTCAGCTGTGGCATGTTAGTCGTTGGGTTCAGCCCAAGGGCCGGCAACCAACTTGCCTAATGTTAAACAGGTCCATGGACGCCATCTTGTGCCATATTTGGAAAACACGAAACAATGGAGTCTTATGGGAAATTTTCGTCGTGTTGTTGTACCGAATCAAATAACTCAGCTGTTGGTGGAGCAAGACTGAAACCGAAGGGTGGATTTTTAACGCCAAGCTATGAACTATGTAAATATGTAATAAAATATGAAGTACAACACTATCTATTGCAAAAAAATTGGCCGCAGAGACAACGTTGTACAATTTTTCGATCAGGTCCTCGGAGATCTTTATTGCGACATACCGATTTGACGCTTAACAATGCAAGTATTCTGACGCAACAATGGATTTTATGTAATTAGATCCACGTCCTTATTTAAAATAAAAACTCCACACAATTCAAATACATAAATTTGAGTTGGGTTGCGCGAGACTAACTTCCTATCTTTTCCCTATGCCTTTATGCTAGTGGATCCGTATGCGTATACTGCAAGGATACTGTAGCTGGAATAAACATGACTATTCTATTCAATTAAAGAGTCCAGCTGCACACTAACACAAATGTATTTCTGTAACGTTTCGTCCGACCAGAGTCAGACTTCATCAGACAAGCAGTTTACAACAATGGCAAGAAAGAAAATTTGCTAAATGAATTTGAAATATCAAATCAAGTATGACGTAACAATGCATAAACATTTAATTTGCATTTAGCCGTAGAAGTAATGATTGGGAAGATTAGAACCACAAATATCAGTGGAGCTCATTTCAGATGTAATTGAAAAAAATAAAATAAAAAAAGGGTTTTATTATTGCATTTACGAAAATGATGGGTAACTAAATGTAATTGAAATTATGGGCACTTAGAGAACCACGAAGAAGTAAACCAACATTTAAACATAAATCAAGGCTTAGTCTGGTGAGGACCAATTTCAAAATTAAAAAAGGTTAAAAGTTATTGCTGAATTTTGATCTTAAATAGCGTTAAAATATAATATTAATTCATAATAATAAATGAATAAATTAACCATCTAGCATATTTCGAGTAGGACAAAAGAAAATAAATAAAAAAATTATCGCAAGAACATAACTCCAAGGTTTCGAATTATAATTAAAATTAAACTTGGGACACTTGGAAATAGTAAAATAAAACGCCAATCAAGGGGCGAGTAATAATATAAACTCAAGAAAAAGAGTGATTGTTAAATTTAAATATTATATGACGTTGAAATGAAAATTATTATTAAATAATAATTCTTAGATGAGTCTACAGTCTATTTCTCCCGTGAATTGAGTCCTTTTGGTTCCAATGTTCCGAATTTGTTGATGTAGTATGCTTCTACTGTTTGTCGATAGCCCTGGTCTCTGAATAGTTTTTTTATTCCAGTTACTGAAAAGTCACTTATTGAATGTCCTAGTTTGTTGAAGTGTTCTCCCACTACTAAATCATATTTCCTTTTCGTAATACTTCTCAGATGTTCTGTTATACGATATTTTAACGACCTTCCGGTCTCGCCGATATACTGCATCCCACATTTCTTACAGTTTATTAGATAAATAACATTATTTGATTTACAACTTATCCTTTCGTTAATGTTTATATGGACTCCCGTCACGTTCCCGGTACTTATTTTTGTTTCTTCGTAATATTTACAGGTGGTGCATGCTTTTCTATTACATTTATAAAAACCAGATTGTACTTTCTGTGATATTACTGGTTGTAGTTTAGCTCTAACCAGTCTATCGCGTAATGTAGGGCACTTTCTATATGCAATTTTCGGAGGTTGAGGGAAAATCTCTTTTAGTCGTTCATTGTTGTCAAGAATATATTGGTAGTCCGAAAATATTTTTCTAAAGTGCGGTTGGTTTGGGTGGTAGTTGGTAATAAATGGCAATAGTTGCTGACCTTGTTTTGTACTTTTCGGTGTTAAAAGGTAATCTCTGTTCATTTCTTTTACCAATTTTATTGTTTTGTCAATAGAAGTCTCTTCGTAATTTCGTTGCATGAGATAGCGTTTCATAATTCCTGCATGCTTGTCAAAAAATTCGACATTTGAGCACGATCTTCTTATTCTTATGAAGAGTCCCTTTGGAATGTTTGCAGTAATATGTTTGGGGTGGCATGAGGAGGGTAAAAGATATTGGTGAGAGTCCGTGTCTTTAGTGTAAATTTCCGTTTCCAATTTGTTGTCTATGATATGGACTTTTACGTCTAAAAATGTAATGTTTTCCGTTGAGTATTCGAATGTGAACTTGATAGAAGGGTGTATTGAATTCGCATGGTTTATAAAAGATATAAGCTCGGTTTCGCCGTGTGTCCAGATCAGAAAATAGTCATCGATGTATCTATAGTAGTATTGTGGCCTAATCTTCGCTGTTTCTAGAATCTCAGACTCTAAATATGCCATAAATATGTTTGCATATTTGGGAGCCATCTTAGTTCCCATCGCTGTCCCATTGATTTGGAGATAATGCTTTCCGTCAAATAAAAAATTATTATTATCAAGAACCATATTAACTGCTTCTTTAATATATGGAATTTCCCGTTTTTCTGTGGTATATTTACTGAGATACTTCTCCACCGCTAAGATGCCATCTTTATGTGGAATATTTGTATACAAGGAAGTCACGTCCATGGTTACTAAATAAGATCCTGGCGGAATATTGTCAATTTTTTTCAGAATATTCAGAAAATCCATACTGTCTCTGACATATGATGGTATAACCTCTTTGCACATGAGGTTAGTTAATTTGTAATCTATGAAAGCTGATAATTTTTCCGTTGCAGTTCCGTTTGTTGATATGATTGGCCGACTGGGGTGATTTTTCTTATGCACTTTTGGTTGTAAACGTAAACGACCTGGTTTAGGTCTTTTTGGAGTTATCCCTTTGAGTAGTATGTCATCAATAATGCCGGCTTCCCTCATATTATGATATAATTTGGTTACTTTGTTGCCAATTTGTATAGATATGTCTTTTGGAATGCACTTGTATACCAAGTTATCCGATAGATGCCGCATACCTTGTGAAAATGGGATTTATTATTATCAAATTATGTATTATTTTGCTATAAATCCGAACACGCGTAACTACTCTTGCGCATGGAACAAACAGTCGAACACGCATAGTTCACTAGGACAAAAATATACTGTATATTTGAACAATATGTAAGTGGCCGACGGAATTTAGCTGAAAATATATTTTAATAGTATAAATGCATTCGTGTAATATAATTAATGATAACCGTAACGTTGATGAAGTCGAACATCGAAGAGTACCTAACAAAATCGAATAAATTAAAAACAATCAAAAAATTTCAAAATGGAATCAAAATATATATACAGGTCTTTGACTACCTAATATTTGTTGCGCGAGCAGCGCTTCTGCTAGCATATTGGTGGCATATACTTTTTTGGGTTGCTCTCCTAGCATAAATTCGCATTCTCAAGAGAATGTATCTATCTATAATTTTTTCAATTAAATTATGGCAACTGGAGAACAATGGTCGTCTTAAGCATCCGATTTTTTGTTTTAATAATGCTTTTGGATTAGGCTGCAATTTTAAAGTTTTTATGTTGAGCCGAAAAATAGATTCCAGTTGTTGAAAATATTTGCGCAGGGACAGTGATGGATGAATCAGGTGCATCGAATTTTCGGTGGATATTAAGTCTTTATTATATGATTTAAAAAGTGTTAAAAGGGCTTCGGGACAATCCTTCATATTGATCGTATATTCTTGCCTACAAAATGATTTTTCACACGTTTCACATTTTTCTATATTTTTAAGTTCTTTAAAAACAGCCCATCCTAAAATATAATAAAGCCCGTTGGACTCGCAAATGTCCATGCAGACGACTGCAGATTCAATAAGTGCGTCCACTTCATTGATTTCGATGTTCGGTTGTGGCTCATCATTCGTCAAAGAATATGAGGCATTGCTATGTTCTTTTATAAATGTTATCAAGTTTTCTGAGTCGTCCGTGTCGTAATTTCCACTCGAGGGAACGTGGAGAAACTGACCAACCGATATTAATTTTATTGCATTTCGGAATTGACATGCCTTCGGATGCGAATTTCCCTTACTTCGCACCTGTGATGTTAAAAACATTTCATTCAGAGATCACCATACGACTATATAAATGCAATTACGATTTATTCAATATATTCTATCGCTGTACTGAAAGATAAGACAAAAAATAACCTGAGAGAATAAATTCTCTACAGCATCTTGTGTTAGTTTTCCAGGTAGTAAAAAATTCATTTTTCCGCCTAGCACAATGTCAGCATGAAGCTCGATTATCGAAGTTGTTGATAACTTAATACCGGATTGAATTGGCTTCCATTTGTTTCCTGGAAATGCTAAATTCTGTACGACGTCGATCATCTAAAATATTTGGTGCCCGTTTAGTATGCGATTTTACTTACAATATATATGATGTGTCCAGGGGCGGATTAACCAGTAAACAATATAAGCACGTGCTTAGGGCACCAAGCAAAGGGGGGCACCACAGAAATTTTTATAACAGAATTTTCAATAGTTCATCGATGTTTAATAAAATATTACGAGTTGAACAGACAACTCAGACTTGTTCGTATTTTCTTTTCCTCAAGCATCATATTAAGCTTCTCGATCAATGTTTGGAGGTTTGCGAACTATCTTTAAAAAATCGTGTACATCAATGGAAATTTCCCCGACCTTTGACCCCCGAAAAATTCTTCCTATACTTTACAATTGCAAAATTCTCGGGGCTTATGTTAAGAGTGGTTTCGCGAGTTGGCCCCTGTAAAATGGGGTATTTGTTGAGACCATCATTATGTTTCATGGCGTACAATAATCACCTTTTTATAAGTACCGGTAAGGAATTTTAGCCTAGTCTAACACAGCTATTTTTACACCAATTTTTCATTTACGGCAATTGAATTAAAACTTATAAAAAGACATGGTGATCATTTAATTATCTGATTTATACTCAAATTTCCAAAACATAACTGAAAATTAACGAATAGAGATAAAAAACGCGAAAACGAGGTAATGTTTACAACCATGTCTGAGTGAGAAAAGTGTCTGAGCGGGTGCGAAAAGGGTGCATTGTTACGTCACTTTTTTGCATCTTGCTGATTGGCCAATTACTCGAAGTCAACAAGGAGGTTTATGCTCTGGGAAGGTACATTAGTGATGAACACTGAAACTTACTTGTCGAAAGTTTGGTGTAGCGACAACATCAAAATTAAAAATGGCGCACTATGTGGCGGTTCGCGATCGCATTTCAGCGATCTAGAGGTCAGCGAAGTTGGGGAGTTTTCTGGTAAGGTAGACTAGACTAATAAGTACTGGTAAAATTTTAAACTGCAGTTTGTACTCGGTTCATCTGGTATTTCGATTCACGTTGAGACTTGACGTGTGAGTCTTAATCGTGACAATTCCCAGAATATATGGAAATCATATTCTGCTAAGCCAGTTGATGCAAACCTAGGCAGACTACTTATATTGCAGATAAAATGCAAGAGCTGGAATTCGTTTTATGTTATTGTTTTGGAATGAAATTTTACAGAATTTTCACAGAGTAAGTCAAGTTCTGCAAAGTGAGAATGTAGACTTACAAATATGCGCGCACCTGTATGCAACATTACGAGGTCAGCTGCGCATTCCACGAGATGAATTTGAACGATATGAAGCGCTCACGCTACCACTGCAACCAAAGGTCTCTTCATCTGCTGAGAAGGAAAGGTATTCGCATGGTTGTCAAAAGCTTATTGATGCCTACCCAGAAGATTTCAACAGTAATTTCTCAGCTGAGCTTCAGCAGTTTCATTTATATGTGCTCCATAAATTCAATGACACAGGAAAAAAAAATCAAGATTCAGTCATGCTGAACTTTACAAAATTCTTGTAGAATATAACATTGAGTGCGCCTTTCCAAATGTAGACAATAGTTTTCGAATATTTTTAACATTAATGATCACAAATTGTTCAGCAGGACGTTCATTTTCTCAGCTGAAGTATATTAAAAACCCCTACAGAACAACTATGAAACAAGACAGACTAGAATACTAGATGCTTTATCTCTGTTGAGTATAGAGGCAGATGTGTTACATAAGCTTAGTTTTGAGGATCTAATCAAAGACTTTGCAGCTAAAAAAATTAGAAAAAAACTTTTCAAAAGTAAGTGAAAGACTTCTGTCTTTTCAAATGTAAGTGGTGCCTTTGTAATGTCAGTGGCGTAGTATCTATTATGGACAGGGGCGGATTAACCAGTAAACAATATAAGCACGTGCTTAGGGCACCAAGCAAAGGGGGGCACCACAGAAATTTTTATAACAGAATTTTCAATAGTTCATCGATGTTTAATAAAATATTACGAGTTGAACAGACAACTCAGACTTGTTCGTATTTTCTTTTCCTCAAGCATCATATTAAGCTTCTCGATCAATGTTTGGAGGTTTGCGAACTATCTTTAAAAAATCGTGTACATCAATGGAAATTTCCCCGACCTTTGACCCCCGAAAAATTCTTCCTATACTTTACAATTGCAAAATTCTCGGGGCTTATGTTAAGAGTGGTTTCGCGAGTTGGCCCCTGTAAAATGGGGTATTTGTTGAGACCATCATTATGTTTCATGGCGTACAATAATCACCTTTTTATAAGTACCGGTAAGGAATTTTAGCCTAGTCTAACACAGCTATTTTTACACCAATTTTTCATTTACGGCAATTGAATTAAAACTTATAAAAAGACATGGTGATCATTTAATTATCTGATTTATACTCAAATTTCCAAAACATAACTGAAAATTAACGAATAGAGATAAAAAACGCGAAAACGAGGTAATGTTTACAACCATGTCTGAGTGAGAAAAGTGTCTGAGCGGGTGCGAAAAGGGTGCATTGTTACGTCACTTTTTTGCATCTTGCTGATTGGCCAATTACTCGAAGTCAACAAGGAGGTTTATGCTCTGGGAAGGTACATTAGTGATGAACACTGAAACTTACTTGTCGAAAGTTTGGTGTAGCGACAACATCAAAATTAAAAATGGCGCACTATGTGGCGGTTCGCGATCGCATTTCAGCGATCTAGAGGTCAGCGAAGTTGGGGAGTTTTCTGGTAAGGTAGACTAGACTAATAAGTACTGGTAAAATTTTAAACTGCAGTTTGTACTCGGTTCATCTGGTATTTCGATTCACGTTGAGACTTGACGTGTGAGTCTTAATCGTGACAATTCCCAGAATATATGGAAATCATATTCTGCTAAGCCAGTTGATGCAAACCTAGGCAGACTACTTATATTGCAGATAAAATGCAAGAGCTGGAATTCGTTTTATGTTATTGTTTTGGAATGAAATTTTACAGAATTTTCACAGAGTAAGTCAAGTTCTGCAAAGTGAGAATGTAGACTTACAAATATGCGCGCACCTGTATGCAACATTACGAGGTCAGCTGCGCATTCCACGAGATGAATTTGAACGATATGAAGCGCTCACGCTACCACTGCAACCAAAGGTCTCTTCATCTGCTGAGAAGGAAAGGTATTCGCATGGTTGTCAAAAGCTTATTGATGCCTACCCAGAAGATTTCAACAGTAATTTCTCAGCTGAGCTTCAGCAGTTTCATTTATATGTGCTCCATAAATTCAATGACACAGGAAAAAAAAATCAAGATTCAGTCATGCTGAACTTTACAAAATTCTTGTAGAATATAACATTGAGTGCGCCTTTCCAAATGTAGACAATAGTTTTCGAATATTTTTAACATTAATGATCACAAATTGTTCAGCAGGACGTTCATTTTCTCAGCTGAAGTATATTAAAAACCCCTACAGAACAACTATGAAACAAGACAGACTAGAATACTAGATGCTTTATCTCTGTTGAGTATAGAGGCAGATGTGTTACATAAGCTTAGTTTTGAGGATCTAATCAAAGACTTTGCAGCTAAAAAAATTAGAAAAAAACTTTTCAAAAGTAAGTGAAAGACTTCTGTCTTTTCAAATGTAAGTGGTGCCTTTGTAATGTCAGTGGCGTAGTATCTATTATGGAGAGAGACTTGTTTTTATAATATGAGAAAATTTATCAGAATCAAATTCAAGTAAATGTACCGAATAACATCGTTTGCTTCCTTACTGTTGGTATTGTTTTATTTCAATTTTATCTTTTCAAAATTTTGTGTTGTTCATTATTTAATGTAAAAGATGTATTATGTAAGAATAAGATTAGTTTTGGGAATATGAGCAAAATTTCACAGTCAAAAAATTGTAAGGAAACCTAAAATTGTTCGTAGAAGTTGTATTTTTTTACTGTTGGTTGTGAGTATTTTTGATGGATAATACACTTAATTATATTTATTTTAAAACACACATATGGGGGCACCAAAGCCTCCAGTGCTTAGGGCACCAAAGGGGCTTAGTCCGCCCCTGGATGTGTCACTTACAACAGACCTCGATAAGGTGATCGAGCTTTTTTCGAGAGTTAGGGAACAGAGCATTATCAATGGACCTGGCGTTCACAATATCGAACCATTTGTTGAAGAATGAACAGAAGAATGATGTCGACAAAGCATCTCTTGGCAGTACGCCACTCTCCACAAGCGTTTTTATTGCGCATGCTGTACTATGACTGATAACCTATGAAAAGATGGAGTTTGATGTAAAATTCTAACTCATTGGTTTATGAAGAAAAAAAATGATTTAACAATATTTTATTTCAGCAAAAATGTGAAATTACGACTTTTATACTGTTGCTTCAATATTTTTAAATAGGTAGAAATATACTGAAATACAGGTAGACCTGAGCCGCTAGACCAACTCTCATTTTTTGATATTTTGAAGGTTTTATATGCTTCTCCGTGAGCTTTGGGGCAAGTTTCAACTCTTTTTCTCTCTGTTCATCTGCCACTTTCTCAACGTAACAGAATCGAACCTGTGGTTAGATAAATTTTAGGTTTAGCCTATAGGTATAATACACTTACTGCGCATTTTTATCAAGCACATTTTTGATACTCACCATTTTTGTCGGAAGATTATATTTCGTAACAACAGATGCTGGCAATTCAATGTCATGATTCATAAAAGCTGTTCGTAAATTTTTTATAAGGTGCGGTACGTCGGCAATAAAATGAAGTTTCCTGTGTTCGAAAGCAGGGTGAGGCACATCCTTAAAATTATTCAAACCTGTTAGAAACTATCCCCGCACTTCTCCACATTGCTTGATTGCTGGATCCCATGTCGCTGACAATAGAAACCACCGTGAATCCACGTTCTGATAGAGCTAATATAATTTGTTTGGTTAAGCACCATAGGTCATTTCCGCTCACAGAAGTTCCGGTGTAAAAATAACCTGAGAAGTCACAGCAAATTGGAATAGCCTACTATGTTTGATAGAAAACAACAAAATAATGAGCAAAACAAAGAGTATTCCACCCCACCTATAAGCTGCTTCCACTTCAGAGAAATTCCCTTAACCATGAAACATAGCGCATGTGAGGCAAACGTGTCTAGAGGTTTTCCACCAAGAACTTCAGGGCTAATATAACCAACAAACTCCTTAACCCTGCTAAAACGCTTAAAAACAGTGAAAAACCGTCAAGAAACACCAATAACCCTGCTAAAACAGTGAAAAACCGTCAGGTGTTCCTGGGTCATTTTGACACCCCTCTATAATTTTTTTAATATTTCACCAACCAAAAATGCCAAAGACATCATTAATGTGTCCCTAAAAAGCTTATTTTCGTCGCTACATTACGAAGCGTAAATGCGTCCGACCATATGCCAGTAAGAAGAGAGAAATTTCAAAAAATTTCGAAAAAAAGTTTCTCACTTTTAACGCTGTGGTCAACACGTGATTGATATGCGAGAGAAAGAGTTTTCCTTTGGACGAGTTTTACGTCACCTTCAAAATAAAACAAAAGTGGGATTTGTAAGTGAAGTGATATTCGTTTTATCGAAGAGCAATTGATCGCGTGCTGTCTGGTATCTTTGTTTGTTTATTATGAGCCGGAGAACGTTGCTCGCGCGTTCAAAATACTTCGTTTTCAACTAACAACAAATATTTGATTATTTTTAAGCTTTGAAATACTCATACAAATAAATTTGACCTTGTTGCAAAATAAAAATTATACATAAAAAAAAATATGATGACGTCACCGTAATTGAGAACACTCGGATCAAGCATGGATAATTTAAACTCAAACATTTTGAGTTTTGAAATTGGTTTTGTTCACATGCAGACCACTATGAAATACTATTGACCCCCCAAAATAGATTTAATTTAGCCATAATCCCAAGTTATGACACAGATCTGGAATTTATGACCGGGCCGATCCTAGAGAGTTAATGCCAATGTCGTAGTCGACTCCTCTGGATATCTGAACCTCATCCAGCATTACCGAACACAAATGATCACGAGTATCCAAGCCTTCCATTTTTGTCTTCATCCAATCCAATATCAAATATTGAATCCCAGCTTTCAGATCCAATTTGAATACCCGTGAACATAACGTTCGATAAGCTGGAAGGGGGAACGCTATTTTGCGCAGATATTCGTACCTTAGAAAAACAAATAAATATATCATGTTCATTTGCATTCAAGGTGACGTTTACCGCAATGTTTATATGTATTACGTATATATATATATGTATCATGTTTCCGGAAACGCAAAATTTAAATTTATTTTTTTTGAGCATGCCCATGTATTATATATGCGCTTTGGTTCAGCCTGCAGGTTAATATGGAAAAAGGTTGCCAGATCACGACCAAGGCCAATTCGAATTTACCGATATGTAATGTTCCACTATGGTTTCTTCCCTGTTTGTAGTTAGCCAGAAAGTCGATACTCGCTCCCAATCATTTCAATTTTCAATATAAACCAAGTGAGAAATCGCAATTGGCTAGTGTTGTTGTAACTTATTTCGGCCACAGACGATAAACTGGAGCACCACTAAAGAGAACAGTTGGTTAGTTATTCAATTTCGTCACAGCAAATATACAATAACAATGGTCGTATCGCTCCCCCCAGTCTATACCGAATTAACTTTGTGTATATTGTATATATTATTTTGTATACCATTGTTCGTTTACGGTTGACAAAACAATAAATCTCTCTCTCTCTCTCATTGATCCATTATTATGACATCATAAACAATTTTTACATATTTAATGTCATAATACCTATTTAAATTCCCGTAGAACAATAAAAACATTTGCCTTGTACGTTCGCTTATTTTGTTTGACAAGATGGAGGCGGCGCGAATATCTTTAGCAAATGGAGACAGTGATACCCATCTCAGAAAAAGATACCGGACAGAATCGCAACAGGGTCCGAATGAGGAAGAAAATGGCGAAGGCGATTTCCGTGAAGGACGCAGAAGTATTCTCAAAGGTTTATCAAAAGAAAAATTGCCACCAGACGAGGCGCATGTGGCATTTGAGGAAAATATTTGCATGGTGCCTGCTGACCACGAAAATGAAATCAACATAAAAAGTGATAGGCCTATAAGCTTAGATAAGGAGAGCGAACCCGTGAAAACAGCTGAAGATCTGGAGGAGGAATCAGATTCAGCTACAAGCTTTTCTACCGATTGCGAAGCTGCCAAACCACAAAGAGCACACGCTGATGCATTTCTCAGAAAGGGATTGGGTTTAGTCAAACGGGCTTTTGATATAAAAGCAGAACCAGGACGAAAAACGGGTTTTAGGCGCATTGATCCAGCATACGCCCGAAAAATTCGGGATGAAATTACACGCGACCTAGAAAGAGGCGACGAATGCACGGGAGACAGTAGCTACGAGACCATAGAAGAATTATCTGGAAGTGATATCCATGAAGTTGACGCCGCTTACAGCGTTCGGCGAAGAAGACGAAAGCGAGCTAAATCACTCCAAAAACAGCGATTAGAAATGCTAACCTTTGGTAAAAAGAAGTTCGAAGCAGAGAAGATAATGATAATTTTTTGCGCATTGTTTATTATTATTGGATATCCTTTGTGTTATTACCTTCAATTTTACAATAAAAACTAATCTACCATTTTTATCATTAGATATCCGTGTTTTTACCTCCAATTTTACAAAAAAAAATTCATCTACCATTTCGATGTTTCTCAAATTTTCTGCAAAAGGTCAGGCTTATGGAATAGTCAAATCTATATAGAATATGGCAGGTAGCGCAAACACGACATTTAAGTTTATTTTAGCGCATATATATGTATATATAGAGAGATAATAATTTGAGATCAATTTTTTATTTTTTTTCTACTACCAGACAAGACAAATCTTTTCCTTGGACACTACTTGTTTTCATCCTGACATCTGCCGGGAACTTGGTTTTAGAAATATACATAGCTCAGTGTTAATAATGTCCACCCACCAATGAAGAGCACTTCTTAAAAAAATCACCTTCATCAAAGTTACCTAACCACAACCCAGACCCAACAAATCTTTGCCTTCCTGAAAAATGAACCCTATTTAGCAAGCAGAAATGTACGGGTACATTATTAATCACCTGCTCTGAAGGAAATTCAACTACCCATATCAATAAACAAAAAATACAACAAACATGTTTAGATGATCTTATTAATGGCGACTCGAAGAAGCACAATTGTATATAAATAATCATGGAGCTCCCCGACCTCTGCCATAGCCTCCTCTCTAAAAAACAATAATTTTTGCAAGTTTTTAAAAAGTTTCAACAAGAAAACAAATATCAATCAATTAATATCTACTCACAAATTCAAATGTAGCAGTTCCGGCACCAGCATCAGCCTTTTTGTCTGGTGCTCTATCCCCTTGTCCACCTCTCCTATATGCCTCTCTGTCACCAGCCCCACTGTATGCTCTTCGAGGTTCATCAACTGATGAAGCAGACATGTTTTTTTAACATTTGGTAACTATGGGAATGATTTGTTGGCCTACGAAAGGACGTTTTTTTCAATAGTTTTCTATTTTCGGTTGACAGCACTTTTTTTGAAGTTATTTTGCTCCAAATAAGGTCATGTACAATTTTCTACGATCAAGTTGGAACCACTTTATTTTGATAGGACGGAAATATTTCCAGTTGAGCATTGCTTACCTAAATTATTACATCCCAGGTGACGGTGGTGAGCTTTGCTATGGATTTTTAATTTTCAATGATATTTGCCTACGAGTCAACCACTAGTAATTTCTAGTTTTGATTAAATCGTCTAGGATTCTGTTCATGTTGTGTAAAACCAGCAAGTCTTTAAATAGATTGAGAATTTTTTTCACAACGATTTTTAATATCAATATAGATATGACAACAAATATTTTGGGTAATGCTGTTCATGCTACGTGATGTGTTTTTTTTTCAATACAAACAGGTCAAAATAAAACATGAGGAAAATAATATAAAATGATATTACCTTTAGGCCTGGCTCGGACATCCACAGGTCTTGTTTGTCTTTTTAATGTTGCTGGGACAATCTCAGGAGGAAGATGAAGATAATCCCTCAAATATTGTATTCCCTCATTGGTGAGAATATAATAATAATGTTGCCAAGTGTAGTTTTCACGAACATGCCCGCATGATTTCAGTGACTGGAATTTTTATTTTATTTTAGTCAGTAAATTTGTACTTAACTTAGTAATTGTAATTAGCTTGTACTTTACACTACATACTGTTAAGGAAAATAAATGCATTCTAGAAATATAGTTAGACAACAAAAGTTATTGGAATTCCACATCCTAGCACTGTTATCCAACTACAGAACAGGGCATAATCAGATCAAATGTCTGAATTCCTGACTTCAATCTTAAGTAAATAGGATTTATTCATTTCTGTATAATTTTCGATAAAATAATTTGGTACTCCTGAAGTATGCGCACCAAGATGTCGCATAACCTGAACCCTAACCTGGTACACAACCTGAGTTCAGGTTGTGCGCCATCTTGGTGCGCATACTTCGGGAGGTCCAATAATTTAGTCTGAAGAATCGGTCTCAAAATAAGATAAATCTATGCAAATACACCACCATGACCTTACCAAATATTTAAGACACCGTAATCAAATTTTTCACTTTTTAAGTGAAGTTAAGACATTATATCCTTGATACAATAATAAATACACATCAGCAATTCGAAACTAACAAGGACTAATAATGATGATGAATTCTGTATTAAAAACACAAAAATATACAAGCATTCTCAAGTTACCTGACATGCTTTCATGACATGAAGATTTGGAACGGCAATCTCTGCATGTTGAGGCAAATAAGGATCCTTTTTGACAACCAGAACACCTTCTTTGAAAAGGTATTCAAAGATTTGCACACGATTTTTCTTGGGCATCAACATCCTGAAATAAACACATCAAATTCATTTAAATTTTTAGGAGAAATTGCTACTTGACCTATACTAATAAAAAAATGGAAATGCTTAGGATATTCAATAAAAATATTCTGCTGAAACCGCGTTCCACAATACAGCAATATGCTCAAGCCAATCATTTCAGCTTTTGACCCACAAAATATTAAAACATCAGAACATTCAAGACCAAAGGTAAAATGTTTGTATTATTGCTTAATTGCCTACAAAATTCACCAAAATGAAGTGTTTGCTGTGATTACAAAGCATATTAGAAGCATTTTGGTGAAAATGATCGCATTTCGGGGAAGGGACTCTAGTAAAATATTTGACCAGTCTGCCTGTTGATGCGATATGTCAAAATGAAAACCAAACTACACAATACACAAAAGTCTTCAAATGATACTGGTATACCAATGGGTGAATGGAAGCTTTTGTTATCATTGTACGACTTAATATCAAGTAAACAGTTGCGTCTAAGATGCGATCTGCATAACCAAATTTGACTATCTTCACACATGTGATTATTGATTCAATAGCATTATTATGATAAATAACAACAAATAGAATAATTTCAACTATCGATCAGAAAATAATGTCCAATATTCGTCACGATTAAAGCAGATTAAAAACATCATCTAACTAACCTGACAGACGTCACTAAAGCGCCGAACGTAAAAGGACGATCAGTGGTATTATCACGAATACATCGATGGTAAAGTTTGAACCCTGTATCATGCTTCAATAAACTGGCGCAGACACTTGGGGATAAAAATGGTGATTTGGTGAATATTTTTATACTAACGAATAACCAAATTCTTCAAAATAATATTTTATTCTACTTGTTTTCTGACATTATAAGTCAATTTCTTTGCCCCAATAAATTATGCGCCAACCTCATGTATTGTTGGAAATAAAGAAGCACATTTAAACATTATTAACTTTGCTATGCAAATTAATTTTATTGCTTTACCAAATGAAATAACTTGTTCAGAAAAAATTTATCAGATAACCGATTCAAAACAAACCCGATCCAACTGTAAAATAAAAATTTATTAAAACCTTTCCAACAGTTTTCGCAGCTAGTTATCTGGCAACGGTTATCAAAAAGCGTGGTGCACTAGAAAGTCAACTTGCTTTGCGTAAATTATCTTCACCGTTTTCGTCTCTCGATTATCCGAAAGTGTTCTCTTTCCTTTGCCGTGAATTTGCATGTGATTTGAGATCAACCGTTGCCTCCGTGAAGCCGTGATCCTTACTGATATTGGGGAGCGGAGAGGATATACTGTAATTGTTCAAAATGACTGGTGAAATCAACCCCAAAGCCTACCCTATGGCAGATGATAGTTTGACCAAGACCATCTTTGAATTGGTGACACAAGCGTCGAATTACAAGCAACTACGAAAGGGTGCGAACGAAGCAACAAAAACATTGAACAGGGGATTGTCCGAGCTAATCATACTTGCTGGAGATGCTGAACCATTGGAAATTTTGCTTCATCTTCCTCTGTTATGTGAAGACAAAAATGTTCCTTATGTGTTTGTTGGATCCAAGCAGGGACTGGGTCGAGCTTGTGGAGTTTCCAGACCTGTAATTGCATGTTCTGTCCTGCAGAAAGATGGATCGCAACTGGCGCCTGAAATAAATAAGTTGCGACAATCTGTTGAGAAGTTATTGATATAATAGGGTAACATGATACCTAACTGTTTGGTGGTATACAATGGTGTTGATTGCCACAGAATTTTGGAACGACTGAGGTAAGCAAGTGGTGCAACGGGTGGTCTGAATGCTTTGTTTATTAAATTCATCACTTGCTTTTTATTAGTTTGTTTTTAGGTTTCATTTTAGGTTAGTTTTATTGCAGTATCGCTTTGAAATGCATTGTTTCAAATTCATTGTTGAATGAATTCTTGAATAAAGACTCAACCTAAAATTGAAGATAATCATATTTCTGCAATTAAGTGTGTGTATACTGCTATTCCAATCATATTACCGCATTCACATAAAATACATTTACTGCTATTCGATATGTATCATCCAGAACTGCTTTTGTTTCAATAAATTTTGACAACATTCACTCTTGTCTTCTTTGTTTACCATTAGTTCAAGCGAGCTGCTGCTATTGGTTGGAAGCTGTAATGTTTTTTAGTGCTGCTGCCATTATAGCTGTGAATAAATGAACTGATTCTTTCCCGCCAGTCTCTTCTGTACAAGATTAATCTGAATTCTGCCAAATAATATATCACAATACACCTATATACTTCTGCTGACTGATTCATAAATCCTGAACACATTGTGAGCAAATAGAGCTGTCGGTCACCAGTCATAATAAGCGATGAACTTGCTTAACAGTATTGTTTCATTTTTAATTACTAAAAGCCTGATATGGTTGGGAAAAACAAATAATCTAATAAATATATATTCATCGAATCATTGTGATAACATGTGCAATAAATTTTTCCTTAATTTAGTCAGTACAAATCAACATGAACAATGGACTAAAATTTATGCAGTACTGTTGCTAGTTAAGCAGGGAGATTATTGGATAACAACATCACCATAGTCAAATGGCTATAAATAGTCGATGATACATCTAGAGGCCTTTATTATCAGTATGCCAATTCATGGGTATCTTGTAGAATTATTACATTTTCGATTGCAATAATCTATTTTACGCTTGCAGCCAGCCTGTTCAGATTTACTGGTCTACTAGTACTACACAATCAAACAACAGAGAATTGCACGTACTTCATAAACAAGAAATCAACTATATTTTGTCTGCTGGCTTCACGAATATTGTTGTAGGGATACAACCTTTCAGATATGAGCACGACAAAATGTCATCATCACTTGACTGTCCGACCTCATGCCCTGTCGGAGGTATTTCCCGTACACGAAATATTGGGAGTGATTGGAAACCTGCAGCCAGTGGGTACAGTCCGTATGTTAGGGTGACATCTGATCCTGGCAAAATGCAACATCGTTGCAGCTTGACCCCAGAAAACATAAAATTTTCTGCGACTTCGCATAAAACTTCTAACTCTCTCGGTTCATCAGAGCAATTGAGTAGCTTGTAGGAAATCAACATTGCATCACGAACTTTTCCATTAGCAGGCGACTTTACTTCCAATTGCAAAGGAAATTTTCTGTAAAAGGCGGAAATTGTGCTGATTAAATAAAAATTTTTTAAATGGAATTTTGGGACAAATCCAAAGGCAGCATGGCTGATGCTAATTTTGGTACATCACCAGTCTCCATGCTCTTAACAAAGATGTGAACATTCTGCAGAACAGATAACAGGCCCACCCTTCAGTAAATATTCAGATGATATATTGCGTTTTCAAGTCTTGTATTTTAGCAAATTATTACGATTAGTATATGTAAATCAGTTCAAATTTTAGGAAATCTCATGTGCAATAATATATTCCTTCTTTTATGGGACTTTTGAGCAATCGTTTGCCTTTATTATTCATGAAGTTCTGTGCTCAATATGGAAAATTAGTCTTGCAATGCGAAACTGGAGAACACAAAAGAACCACAGATTCATTAAGATTAAACTACTCACTTTATTGTTGCAGTAGGAAGCTGTACAGATGACGAAACAAAAGGCAGCGACTCTTTCTCACTGAGGCACCTTCTCCATTGTACAGAGTATTTTCCAACTGCTATTCCATGCATCACTAGGTCATATAAAAAGTGAACATGCAGCATTTAAATTTTGAAACAGTGATACCGAGCGGTCAAACATGGATTTTCATATATGATAACTCTAAAAGTTAGTCATATTTCGAATAATAATTTAGCAGCTAAAATAGCACCTAATTTTGTTATTCACAATTTTAGACTCAAGCAAACATTGACAATAAAATGGGCATTAAATTGCTTAGTTTGATCAAGTCATAGGTTTATGCTATGATTTCTGTGCAATTGAACTGGCTGCCTCAACACAAAAATAAAGAATCTGAAACTGTAATACCAACCTTCGAACAATACATCTTCTTTACAACAAAGGCACATAATATCACTCGCACATTCACCTTCTTCCAATACAATGCCTGTCAAAGTATTCGATTTTATACCATTCGCAGTAGTGATCACCTGGCTCTTCATCTCAATGCTTCCAGAGTCTATCTCAATTGGCCATGGAGATTGACATTGAAGTTTGATCGCTGCCATAAAAGTGCCTCCAGGACGCACATGCTTAAACGAATCAAAATCTGGTCCTGTTAACTTCGACGTCAACTCGAATGCAGGTACAGCATCAAAAGACACAGACTTTTCAATAAAACAAGAGCAACGGGTTTTATGAGCGATCTTTTCTGTTTTCTGTACAATCACTTCATCGAAAACGTCATATGTGACTTGAGCAGAGAATCTTCTTGTTCCGAATTTAATAGCATGCACATAAACATCCCTCATGACTTGTTCATCTGAGGATAAATTACTGAACTCAATTTCGAGAGCTTTTGTAGATGGACATGAAAGCACAGAAGATGAATCGAGCGCAAGAAATGTAGAATGAATTATTTCATCAGATTGGCCAGCCTCCAGTCGCACAATAGCCCGAACATTTTCTACTAATTCTTTTTCATTTGACTTCACAGTTATTCTGATTCTGTAAACTTCATTGATCAAAGCAGGTGCATTGTGACTGATATCAACTTCAATGAGAGGTGGACGATGTAGTATATTGCACGATTGAATTTGGACTATATCCGACCATCTTTCCACAACTGCTTGTGCATTTATTTGTAACAATTTCTTAGTGCTCATAATAGGCATCGAAAAATCTTGAACAGCAAGTTGTTCCGCTATGTTCCAACTAAGGATAGCTACATTGGCGCCTTCATCTCCACCAAGCTTCAAAATAATCGATTTAACTTGGACAGATTTACCAACATCTGATTGATCTGGTGGAAGTGAAAATGAAAGATGTTTGAACTTGTTTGGTTCGAAATACAGATCTCCAAGTTCGGACTGCCCTTCTGCATTTTGCTTCAAAGTCGAATCGACTATCACACAGTATTCATCATAAACTTGTTTTCCTAGTGACACTGAAAGCTGTGAAAATCGTATAGGAAACGGACAACTTGTTCGTAAGTATATATGAAGAACTACTGCCTCATTTGCGTTGCAGTTGGCTGAACTGAAACTTGTTTTGCATTCTACAAATGGTGCAAGGTTGTTCAGTTCTATATTATACACTTTAGGATCAGACATTGCTTTGGCCCACAGATGTTTTGCTGCTTCCAATGCCTCCACATGATCACTCTCTGCTCCTACTTCTTCGTATTTATCCAGTGGAGTTAGTGGTTCAGGATCAGGCACTTTGCCTGATATGACACGAATCAAATTCATTTGTATTCTTGTTTTTTCCTTTTCTTCTACTCTTGAATCTGGACCCAGCAACTCAACACATGTTGTTATGTATTGTTGAACATTTGCAATCAAGTAAGTACATCTGAAAACAAAACATCAATATAGAACAACAACTAGAAATAGCATGCATATTTCTCGGGTTCAAAACTCAAAGATAAATATCTCCCATTTATAACCACCATTATATTTTACTATTATTATTTGAAAACATTCTTCACATTTTCTATTATAAGAAGTTTATTCAATTTTCCTTGAGCTTTCAAAAAAAATGGCTCAAGCTAGATATTACTTTAAAATTTACCAATATGTATGTATATTCAAATACTTGATCAAATTGGCATGCTGCTTCAAGTCTTGGGTCAATTGGTATTCACTAATGCGCAATCCCACATTATAACTCCTCGTGGTTTCAGTAGCGTGCTGCGTTTTAGTGATTACCCGTAACTTCTCTCAGAAATCAATCTTGGCAATTTCTGAGATGGTTCGCCTAACCTCGCTTTGTACAATTTTAGTTTGATCGTTATTTGCTTATTTCAATCCTCCACAAATATTTCTCTGTACATTTTGGAAAATCTTATTGGTCGAATGCATGATCCATGGTTCCAAATTACTGCGAACAAATTTAATAAGTACAAGTTCAGAAAAGACATTTGATTACAGTATCTCACCTCAAAGTCAGGATTAGTATACGGTTGAAGACATCCCACCATTTGTTGCCTCTGTAATCCCACACAGTAAATCCAAACAGTGTGGATGCCTTGGCATAATCTTGTGCATGATAATATTCTTCCCCCATTTGCACAGTAAGAAATCTCTTCATACGTGGACACTTATATTTCTTAAACTGTGCTACAGCACTGCTTAACAGAGGAATAATCACCCATGAATGATCAATGGTGGCTTCTTGATGCTTGAGTGCCAAAATTCCATCTTTTTCTTTATTTGCATCTGGAGGATCAATGCTTTGATGGCCTTGTCTCCAAGGTCGTTGTCCATAAAAATCCAGTGGTTGGCCACTAGTATCCAGTGGATCATTTGATGGATATTCTTGTTCAGTGGCTACAGAGCACAAGCTTTTTGCATGAGTGCGTCTTTCCTGAGCATAGTATGCAGCTTGCTGATAATAAAAACCTGGATGTTGCGTTTGTATAGCGGCTAAACCAGCTTTGATTGCTTCATCAAATAAATCTCCAAATACAGTAAACTGTTTACTCATCCATGCGCTGTGCTCAAACATGAGCTCTTCATTGCCAGCCTTTGGTTTGAAGGAATCAACGTGTCGACGAAATTGAGATATAGCTTCAAGCGGCATATTGAGTCTCAGGAAGCACAATCGACATATCTTGTAGTTGACAAATCCTCCCATGACTTTGACTTCAAGATTATTTGTATCATGTGATCGCAACTCATGAATGTGGGTATAAGCTTGTCTAATAAAATAAGTGATAAAAAAATATTATCAAACCTCCTGGAATACAAGACAAGAGTTTCTAAAAGTGGTGGGAAAACGTCAGTCGTTGAACATTTAATAAATATCATTTCGCCGTAACTTCATTACTGTTAAAAAGCTTCCTGTAGCGCTAATACAGCATAATTATAGTCGAACCGATAAAACAAGCTGAACATACTGTCTTAACAAGCTTAAATAGTGCTGTTCTACAGCACTAACAAAAGTAAACCATGATACATGAGCTGTTGGTCAAGTGGTTTGGTTCAAATCCCTTTGGTTCAAATCCCAGGACCACCACCTGAACCAGGGTGTAATATATAGGGTAGGCAATGTCAACCAGAAAGATTCGGTTCTTTCTAAACTATAGTAGCTCCTTATGGAGCATGGCTGCTTGTGCAGAGGCATGTTCAGAGCAGAAAGATACATAAATTTGTCGCATAAAATAAAAAAATCCACAGCGTTTGACTTTAGGAAAGCGCCACCAAGATAAACAAATTCCACAAATATTGATATCGATTCAGATCTATCAAGCTTTTTACACTTGTTCACAAATTAGCTGGAAGAGTGGAGGTATTCATCTAAATTTTTTTTGAAATCTTACCTATAATGTTTAAGGGCATTTGCTGGATCTTGCATTAATTCGTTGAAGAATCCAATTTTAAACTGATGCCTCACAAATAAAAGTTGATGAGTTGTTTTGTTCAGGAATTCCTTGTGAGCTTTCACTCTTCTAGCTTCAGTGTGATAGTAACTGTTTGCCAACTCATAGAAAGCATTTTCAAGTCTAAAAACATTCATAAATATATAGTAATAAGGTTCATATAATAATAATAATATTCATTATTATTGGATTTAATCAAGTACGACAAAAATAATCCGGCAATTGCAACAAAGATTTCGGAAAAAAATTTATTTACTTACATAAGGTTACATTAATTCACATGAAATACAATAAAGAGTCTTTGAAAGGAGACCACGGATCATGACTGTACCAGAGATCTTATGACATTCTTATAACATCTGAGTAACCAATAACAATTCAAACAAAGCATGTTTTAAAGTACCTTATAATATATCCTAATAGATGATCAGTATGAGGAAGCACAAACAATGATTTGGCTGATAGATCACAAGCACTGCAAAGTGCGGCAGCTCGTTCTGCAGCAACCATATCTTCACCTGGGGGCAATGGAGTGCTCTTCTGTATAAGTACAACAGCAACCTTTGTTCCTCGTCCTGAAAATAACAGTACATGAGTGTAATCAGCATTTTTTTATATTACTTGTATAGCTTCAATTTCTAACATTCAAACGGACAGCAAAAAATTCTACACATATGAGTATTTTCTATGCTATTGAAAATCCTAAATTTGATTTCTTTGAAAAAATAGGTGCTACAGAAGCATAAGGTAAACCACACTGTAGCGTGAGAGATCCAAGAGGTCTGCTGCTGCAATTTTCATCCCTGACAAATATAACTTATTGCTATACATTTAATTTAGTGATTTATGGCATGAATATGCCCCTAACCCTGACATGATTAACCCCAGATCGCATCTAGGTAAGTGACATATGGTGTAGACTTCACAATATTGTAGCGCCCAAGAATGTTTAATTTTTTCAGCAGAAGAATGTCAAATACTTAGCATAGGAAAAAAAAAATTCACCAACCCTGCAAGCTTGTTCGTACAACTTCAACACGAGATGCACATTCCATTTGCTTCTCTCTCCATGCAGGTTCATCCCAATCCAATTCATAATAGATAACAACAACAGCAGGTACTTGATGCAAATGTTTATCCATCCATTTTGTTTTCAAAATTCCCTGAAATCAGTAAAGCAATTGAATATAAGTAAGTCTGATCTATGCAAAAATGAATATGTTTTAGACCATGTATATTAATGCCTCGTCCCTAATAGCGGGTTAGCGCAATTTAGATTGGGCTATTCTGAAAGTCCCGAATAGAGTAAGTAACTCATGGACAACAATAAGATTTAAAGCACTGCAGAATGGCATATTTATAGGTATACAGAAAAGACTCCGATCAAAACAAAGTATGGTGTTAAGAAAAGCATATATGGAATCAAATTCTGCATACCTTAGGTATATACCACTCATAAGATGTTCTTTTATCTTTGGATCTTGGATAACAATGATCCCCAGGAAGACAACCAAAAGATATTGGAACTCTGTCAGCTCGTCTGTAATAAAATTTATTCTATAAAATTGAAGTTTTATTAGGTCAAATCATTTTCAAATTGAACAGTTTCTTATGTAAACAGAAAGGCATACTTCGAAATTTTGTGAAGAACATGATGACCATCAGGAAAAAAATAAATAAAGTATAATGTAGGTTATATTGTGATAATCAATATATATAAGAAATTAATGGACTGAAAAACTTTAGAAAGAGTGCATGTTTCATAATACAGTAATATATCAATTTTTGTATGAAAATTTAAATGACAAAGAGATAACTATTACCTGTTATTGCTGAAAGCATCCCATATAGACTTGTGAATAGCATTGTATTTTATATCCAATCCAGTAAGAACAACAAAAGACATTGGATCATAACATAATTCCTGAGGCAAATCCGTAGCAGAAGCCATGCCCGAGCCTATACCGTACTATCAGACTATAGTGATGTGATGATGGGCGAAATCGCTGTCCAGTTTTTTTTAAAACGCTAGTCTATAGCTTATCCGGGTCTTACCGGTACTATATTACTTCTGTACTTACAGACTTACCAATTTACTGAAAATAGCATGAAAGTGGAAAAAATGAATAATTAAACTAATTAAGTAATTATACATTATGTTGTAAAAAATGATTCACTTATACAGTGAGTTATACAAACATACTGGTATATTTTTGTTCCATGCAATATAAAAATGCATAAATTCTCAAGATCAAATACGACTGAAATCCCAATGACAGATTAAACTACGGCAAAAATAAAAGTGCTGGAAACGATGCCTAAAAGCTGAAAAGAGTGCCTGAAATCGCTACAGGGGTGGTGACTCCTCTACGGCCCATGGGCCGGGGCCACGTCCCATCTCATTGGGCCACATGGGCCGTGGCCCATCAAGCTATGGGCCGCGGCCCTATCAGAAAAAATTCATTTATCTTACCAAAATTTTCAATTTTCACAAAATTGTCAATATTCGAACCAAAAAAAATCGCGGGATGCCGCCAAAATTTTCTTTACGATAAGCCTTTATATAAAAATAAAGCAAAATACCAAGATACAGAAAAGAATACCGGTACTCCTGTAGTATGTGTACCAGGTTAGGGTTAGGACAAAATTTAGTTCAGATTTTTCACATTATATTTCTATTATTAGTTAGCCTGTACTGTATGTGTTAGCCAGGTGAATAGTCCCGTTACACAACTTGATGGGCCGTGGCCCCAGCCCATGGGCCGTAGGGAGTCACCACTTCCACTCTGAAATCGTGAGTGCATGGTTTTAGGGAGAGTCCACATATATCACTCCTGACTCACAACTGACTATGCATCCAAAAACTAAGTCACTGCGACGTCGCAATCACGAAATAGTGTTTTCCGAAGTACCTACAGCGACGATCACCCGCAATGGCGCCTGCGAATTGCTATACGGCGCTATACGGAACTCAAGCGAGACACCAATTTTCCCAAACGAACATTCACGATACATATACTCATCTGAGCAACTTCATGATAATGCGTTATACGATTTCACTCTAAGCAAGGCTTTAGACAAGCAGATATGGACATATTAATTTACGGTCACCCATTGGACGTAGCTGGGTACCACACACATAAAGACTTGTTGTTTCTGTCCGTTATGTTCGTTTCTGCTTGCCTAAAGCCTATCTGGGAGTGAAAATGTATAACGACTTATTAATAAAGTGTGACAAAATACATGACTCATCGCTGGACATAAAATGACAAATCTCTATGTGTGTGATACCCAACTACACCCATTGCGTGAAGGTAAATGAATATTTCCTTTTCTATTTGGCTATTGGGTCGGGCTGTGGCCATGTGCGCCTGTTGCACACCCCTGGATAAAACTATGCAAAATTCTACCTAAGCTTTACCTATGCAAATATATCTGCGCTTATGTTTTCACGGGTTGTCGCTTGCAAAATAGATTAAATCAGTTTTTCTATGCCGTGCCTTACTTTAACTGAAACAGTGGTTCCCAACTATTTTTGAAAAATTCCTTCCTTTGCTTATTTTGGATCTCTTCATCCCTCCTTCCATACGTATAAAAACTATTTTTCCGTTGTTTGTTCAATCTTTAATAGATTCATAGCTAGTGATATACACAACCGCACTCGTTCGGTAAATTTTTATATAGCATGTCGTGCTGTTATCATTTTGCGCAAGGGTTGAAAAGATGATAGTTCAATTTCAATAATTTGAAAGTATTCGAACACGAACAAAATTACAATATTTTGTATAACTATGAGAAGAAAAGGGGGTAAAATTGAAATTGAGCAGAGGTATGGGCCTGATAGTGGGTTTTGGTTTCAAACTGTCAGTTTAGAAGCAGAGAAACTGTTTTTATAGAAATACTATTATTCTAGGTAGCCATTCCGATTATCTTAATTTGATAAAATAATGTCAAGCAATATCCCACACTGGGATATTAATTTATTTGGAGTGAAACATTCATCCAAGCAGACATATAAGACAATAACAAGATTAAAACATATACCGTATTTCCCGGCGAATAAGTCACTTTTCGAGACCCAATTTTTTGCCTGATTTTGAGGGGGTCGTCTTATTAGGAGTATGATCATTTTCATTTTTTTGATGTCGCCTTATTATTAAATCCGGACAATAAAATACCTTCGGCGATAGCATCTCCCACGTCCTCATCAGGTTAGTTTAAATAAATCGACATTCTCGTGCTGTGAATCTGAAATTTCAATGCTGTGATTATCATATTTGAAGTTGCCGCATTTGTGTGGCTAGTACCGATACACGTGGGATTGCAATTTGTGAAATTTGTCAATTGTTTTTGTCATCGTGATGTCTTATTTGAGCGGTAAACATTTTTCATTTCAGCATTTATTCTCCCTAAGTCAGAAATTTGCAGCGAGGACAACCATAATTACTTTATTGCTCTCAAGCAACCATGGCACTTGTGTTGTGAGATACGAGTTATCACATAATCATGAGTTACAAGATGCTAAGATAAATAGAGAAGTGAATATGTGACCCAAATTTTCTTTATTACATAATCATGTGTGACAACAGGCTAAGATAAATAAGGAGTGAATACATTACCCAAATTTTCTTGATTAGAAGCGGCATTATATAATACTAAAAATAAAACAGAAACATCATGTGACAGATTAAAGATGATTTTTAGGCATTGCTAATCACAAAAAAAATTTTTGTTCTACAATTATCGACAGGGCCAGGCACGACTATGCTATCTGTATAATACCGTAATTACGGTAATGTAAAGAATATATATTTAATTCATTTTTTTGACCTAAAAATCAACTCGGTGGGATATTATCGCTGACTTAAGGTTTTTTCCTACTGTAAAACCCACAAAAACAACATATATTCCCAATTAAATCAATGAAACAACACATTTCGTTTTGTGGAGATTTCGAGGTGATGAATATCGTCACGCTAATAACCGAATTGCGTAAGTCATTTTTGGCGGTTTTGAGTTTTTCATAAAATAGGTATTTATGTAATGCTGCGCATCTGTCTGTTAACTCAGATTTTGTTCTAAGAATTCCGAAACCCATGAAAATAGAGATTTTGTATGATATGCAAATTTGTTCAATTGTTTCGTCATAATGAATTATCATTGTTAACGCATGACTATTGTGACGTCACAAAGGCAAAATAACCTCGGCGAAAGATTTTCGAGTTTTTGCATCTCAGATTCTAGCTTAGCGCTTATAAATTTCAATTTATACTACAGTATAGGAAGGCGTGAACTTGTGATATTCACTGTCTGAGTCCAATTCACCTTGGTTGACTTTTATATAAGGGTACATTGCTGTTTTATTCTTTATATTAAACTTTAGTCTTATTTCGGTGGATGTGCAGAGCGTGTTATATTGATGAAATATACATTTTTATACATAAAAAAGAATGTAATTGAAACAGATTAGCTATTTTGGGGATCAGACATCGTAAATACTAAGAATTACATTCGTTTTTGGATTGTTTGGTTTTCAGGACTGGTACTATAGACCAGGGCTACTCAACTATTTTCACCAAAGGTCCGTTTACGAAACTTCAAAATTACTGGGGTCCGGACATTACAGAAAATTTATTTCATCAAATAAACGAAACTTCAAATGCAATATTAAATTAAATACAAGAGCAATGAATGGCTCGCAAATATGGACACAAATAATATCGCACATCGGTACAAGTACGATAAGCTGTATAGCTGTGTATTTAAACTGTATCAAAATCATCTAAAACTATGAAACGATGCTTATACTGCCAAAATAAACAAGCAGAGCGGTCCAAATTTCATGGTCGAAAGGTCCGCATTCGGACCGCGGTCCGCCAGTTGAGTAGCCTTGCTATAGACTAGTCAAGTTGCAAAATTGCGTATGTCCCCTAGTCATAGACACATTTCTGCCTAAGTCACAGTGCGCCATTATAACGTCACATGACTGCGTCATACAAATTAACTTAAAACCGGCTACGATCAAAAAATTGAACTATGGCAAATTATTGACTCTCAATGGCATAGCAATATCATTAGAAAGTTTTTACGTTTTTCTCAAAACTGCTAAAAATGACTTGCGCAATTCGGTTATTAGCGTGACGATATGCATGTTTCATATCAACACTTTATTTTTATATGTTTATTTATTCATAAAAACTAAATATAATCAGGTAGTTTACCTCACATTATTATGTCCGCAAATTGCCGTCTTATCTTAGATCAGTAATGTTCTTGTATGACGGACGCAATCGCGAGTTGAACACAATTAGATTAAAATTGAAAGACAGTTTGAATTCCCATAGTTGTTATGGATTGAATATTACGCTACAAAAAAAATCATTATAGGCTATTTTAACTAATTGGTTCGCATTGATGCGAAAACGCGGCGACCGCTCAAAAGGCATTGCATGGTAATTTAAGATTCCGATGTTGATGCGATTTTACTACCCCGACTTATTGGCCGGTTATATGCAAAAATCCATTTTTTCAGGCTTGAAAACGGGCCTCGTCTTATTCGCCGGGTAGACCCATTCGCCGGAAAATACGGTATATATATATCGACATATGCTCGGGTACGGAAATGAATAATTAGTCAATTGAGATGTATGGCGGAGATATCTGTAGCCGAACAGTAATTAGTTACCCCAGCCTGCAACATCGATGGCGCGACGGAATATCTAAATAAGTCGTTATTTTCGAGCAAATACTTCGCTACATCTCAGCTTCACGCGGCACTCTATATATAAATATTGGTGACCGTACATTTGAACCCATGTACATTTGAACCCATGCGTATATCCACGGGTTCAATCTATATGCGGGTGCTAAAACCCATGGGTTAGGGTTAGTATGGGTTTAACTATCCGTGAAACAAAAAAAATTTCATAGGTGCAATAGCATACAGGTGCAATTGCCGTGGGTTCGAATGTACGTGGGTTCAAATGTAATGGAACCATAAATATTGCATGGGTATAAAATAACATTTACCATTCAGTCATTATTTATGAATGAAATGTTTAAGTTTGTCACGTTTTAACTTACAGGTATATAGCCAGGTTTGTCCGTGGGGCATATTTTTCTGTCCCATCCCATCCAATAGCAATTTATGCCTGTCCCATCTCATTCCATGGGATTCCCATTGGAATACGAATAAACATACATACATTTAAATTTAGGTTTAGCGTCTCTTAAATAGTAGTACGTGTACAAAGAGACATTCAAAAAGGCAAAATTCATTGACTTTGTGTTAACTTTAAATATTTAGAACCATTATATAGCTAACAAAATATATATGCTCGAATATATGGACATGAAATCCATAAGGAAATGTTTTCCATACGGTATCCTAAACGAACCCGAACAGCCACGGTAACTTACCAGTACCTGTATCGGGGTACTGATAACGATACACGGACTGTTCTAACTTGTCCAGGTCCGTGTTCACTTGAGTAAAAAATAATACAGTGAAATTTTGGATGAAATATCAGATTTTATAGGATACATAGAAAATTTAGGAATAAATAAAAATTCTATTGAAAAATACCATCTTTAACCGCTGAAAAAGCTATTAGTCCAGTGAATATAAAGAAAGGCGATTTTTTTCATAACGATAGGTTGAAAAATTCTAACAACAAGAACAAGAGCAACAATAAGAACAACATAATAATAAAACAATATTCAAAAATTCCGTGTCCCATGGAAATGCAAATGTGTGCTATCCCATTCTCATGGACAAGCCTGTATATAGCTGAGCCTGAAAATATATCAGTACTGGAATCTCCTACGGAGCCGCAAACAATGTGCCAATCAATACATCCAACATGCATACGTATCACGCACGCACTTGTGTGCAGCGGAAACGCCACGATTGAATATTTCCAACGATCCATTTCCCGCCTCGTCTCATATCTTATGTATAAGTAGTCGGGCTGATTGTATTGCAGTATTTTTGAGAATATATCACACAATCATAGACAGGCACGACCGTGAGAGAAAAATCTGCAATAGATATGACGTTACATAATAGTACGGTGTTCAAACTACTGCCTGCTGCCATGGCTGGGGTGGTGTTGATGCTCGCGGCAAAGACGACGGCATTTGGTGGTGAGTACTGAATAGATATATACTTGCGGAAAAGCTGAAATCATATTACACGCGACGAGTCACCAGGCGTTACTTGATTTGAGTGCAAAAAGTATAACACAAGTCAATATCAATAGTTTCAAATATTATTAGAACCTTGGGTGTCGCTGCTCTATAACGAGCCTTGCTTCCCCGCGACTTTCCTTCCCCATTAAAACAGTGTAATTATCATTTTCTTGTTATTTGTGTCCGCGTGATTGACTTGAATACCTCTGAACTTGTCGATCGGATTCAGAGTTTCCAACACTATTTGGTAAAAAAATTAAGAGCGAATCTGCTCTTACCACATCGTTTTATGACTTACCTGGGGGGAGGGGGCATGAGCTCAACTTTTGCAAGGTTTACTAGCGTGTGATTGTATAGCGACATGTCTTATGTGCGATTCTTGAAAGATCTAATAAACACCTGAAACACGGTCAGATACATTTTCTCGAATTTTTACGCATTGTTATCGTTGAACAAAACCACTGTCAGGCGAATGGACCCCTGATTTGTTGAGTCATGAAGGTCTTGATAAATATAGAATTTAGATTACTTACATATTAGCAATAAACTGATTCAGTTTTTATTTTCGTAGCTGGTCATCTGCAGCAAATTGGTCAGCAAGGTCCAATTATTCGAGGACAAATAGAAGAATTCCAAGCATTGATATCTGGTTACTCGTTTTATTACGATTTCGTTATTCCTGGAAAACCGGTCATATTTCGACAGGTTCAGAAAACCAGTATGGTAAGCAATGTGACAAGTATACAAAAATTAAAATAAATATTATCTTAAGTTCTATCTATTATCAAAGTTACTATTCACGATTGCCAAGAAGTTTATATATATAGTGAATGCGATTATGGAAATATAGGCTAACCGAGTTGCAGGAAGCAACTAGGAATTATATCCATGTGAAATACTTCACAAGAATACTCACCGAATAAATGAATTTTGGGTTATTTTCCAAAAGCAATTTTTTTCAGCTTGGAAATGTGACATTCATGAGAAAGAATTTATGGTCTGTTCGAGGTGAAGTCGATCACCGCAAGGAATGGAAAAGAGGGGGTTTCGAATTTGTTCCCCGAAGCGTCATGACGTTCAGGTGAAAACAAAATATTGTAATCTTAATATTTTTAACAAAATCTAAGTGGGAACACTACAATAAAGTGTTACTTGGTTACCAGGTCTTCTCTAAAAATATTTACTCTTATAACAGAGCAAATATTAATCCAATTTTAGACAAACAAGCTTCAGGCTTTTGTCCCTTCATTCTTTTTCTTTTGGGTGATGGGATTTCTCGTACCCGATGGCTGGGTATTTTCGAATGCCTGATGATTCGAAAATATTTTCCCGATTCGAATTTCCCGATATGAATGTAATTGTGTGTGACTTTTTTTTGTAATGAGTCCTCTGGACGTAAAAGTCCGACGCAAATTTTATGAAAACATGAAATCCATCACTCGCTGAGTTGTCACACATCAAAAATTCAATGCAAGATTCTTTTAAAAATGCATCATAAAAATATGGCTTTAATAAAAAAAACTGAGTGATTCATCTCGACTTTCAGCGGACAAAAAAAAACAAGATGGCGACGTTTCAAAATTTTCTTCTGAACCGATTCGAATAAATTACTATTCAAGTCGGAATGCCCAAGCCAATCGTACCCTCGTCAGAGTGGAATACTATGGAGTCGTGATCTGGCTTTCACGCGTCTGATATACCGACTAAGTTCTTTTTTCGATCCATGTCGTTTTTAGTGATTTTCTTGATCGGTTTGAAACGGAAGATCTATACTGGGATGAGATGATACCCATGAATCACACAATTTTGAAAAATATACCTTTCCCACTTCCTATAAATTGTGAAGAAATAACAGCAACTGTAAGTACAGGACTACTGAATCACAGTTTTGTTCTGTTAATTGGTTTCGGAGATATCGTCAGTTTCACATAATTTCAACGAATGTATTTATTTATAACTATGTATTATCTCTTACTATTACAATTTTCCTAATAAATGATATTGGAGGTTGCTTTATAACTCAGACTGAACTTAAGATTGTTAGAAACTTGCTTCTTTATATCGACGTTTATTCGAAGTATATTATACATATGAGTATGACTGTTTAGGGACTTGCTCTTGCCCTTAACTGCCTGCATTGGCGCGGCTGCGTCAATAATTTCGGTAAGTATTTGCCTTTCACGCGATCCCCGTTATCAAGTCTCGTGCAGCCTAAACGAATTGGCGGGAAAATATGCTATTGAAAGAAATGTTGAAAAAATCAGTAAAGAAAATTCCTGCAATCCGATATGAAGTAGTCACGTTCTGAAAATTCAATTCCACTGTAAATTTGTGTTTCAGATACAATATATCAATTTAATGATGAGCTCCGGAGGCGTCAGTTATCTTTTACATGACGATGACGCTGATAACATGTTTTATCTTCTGTCGGGAGAAAAAACGTGGTTAATTGCTAACAGCAGCTTCAAGTCGCAGGTATATTGGAAACACTTTAATCCAATTAAATCCAAATTGTCACTTGAAAATCACATTCAATAATTATTTAATCTCATTGCAGAAAATGTTAGCAAATATAGCAAAATCTTGGGTGAAATTTATTTGCCATTTACTTCAAAATAGTAAAAGTTTGTACATATATATTTACTTAACCAAATTCATTGTGTTACTATCCTATTTATTTACATAAAATAAACTTTTCTGATTGACCAATATAGTTAAAAATATATATATATATCAGTCTCTTTTATTTCGGCCGCTAGAAACTGCTATATCAGGAGAGGTGCAATAGAATTAATTGCCCTCACACAGAATCTGTTACTTCGTGTTTTTCGTATGTCAACTACTTGCTTCTTTTATTAAGGCCTATGTAGGTGCGGTCCCTCATCGACCGGGATTCTCCCCGGTTGTGCCAGATGCTGTCGATTTGTCAAGATTTCCCAAAATGTCGGAAGTAGAATTTCATGAAGTAAAATTAAAAGCTGGAGATTTGTTATACGTTCCACGAAACTGGCCACACTATGTGAGTATGTTAGAGTGTTAACAAAGAATTCAGCCGTATATGGTATACAATACAAACACTTCTAACAAAGACCTTCATTTTGCAGGTGCGGTCTTATGCTTCTCCGAATATCGCCATCAATGTCTGGTTCGGAGGAAAACATTATCTTTCTTTCGTGCCTGATGATTTGAGGTGTACCAGACAACGAAAATCACCTAAACACTTGCTCAGAACGCAAGAATTCGTTTAGTAAAAGGAAATCTATGGTCCATATTTTGATTTTGTTTCAGTCAAAGATTATTTTAATAAAGAAACTTGTAGATCGTGAAATATTCTGTGGCAGTATATATGTTTAGGAATGCATGAGGATGCCAAATTTTAAATTAATTCGTTAAAATGGAAATAATTGCTAGTTTGGGAAGAAACTTATTTATTGTAGTAAGTTAATGTACAAACGACAGAAAGCAGGTAAAATAAGGCTTGAAATTGTTTGGAAATTGCCTCTAATCATTCGTCGGTCGGTTAATTAATTGAATACGATTCAGAACACTGTATGCATTCATAATCTTTTGCCCTAACTAAGTCCAATATCAGTCCTCGTATATCGGGCCGGGCCGCATCAGGTTTTTTCACAATAAAAGCATTAAACTTGAAAAGTTAAATTTTTTCTCTGTTTTTCTATGCGCAAAACATGTCAAAAACATAAATGTAAGTAATTCCGCGATAAACTTTTCCCCGAGCATCGACTTCCTTGTTTATTCCGTAACATGGGCTAATCAGCAAGACGTAAAAAGTGACGTAACAATGCCTTTTTCGCAAACGCTCAGACACTTGTCACTCAGAAAAATTTTCAGGCATGTTTGTAAACATTACCTCGTTTTTGCATGCTATTTGTTAGTTTTTGGTCGTGTTTCAGAAGTTCAAGTATGAATCAAAGAACCCAATGATCATTCTGATTGCTTGGGCATCGTAATTGCCGTAATCAAAAATTAGTCTAGAAATAGATGTGATAGACTAGGCTAAACTTCTCTATCGGTACTGTTGAAAAACAGGTTGTTGAATGTTTTGAATCAAAATGATGGCGTGAAACCTATGTCCCAGATTATAGGCATCAACTCGCGAAGCCACCTCTAAAATAAGCACCAAGAATTTGCAATGGTAAAGTATAAGAAAATTTTCTTCGGAGTCAAAGGTTCATCGAATATCATGCCTACATGTACCGTACTAGTAGCTTACCGTACCGCATATACCTTTCGGGGGATAGATTATAAAATATTTTGTTTTGCTCTACTTGTCCTGATCATATATTAAATGCATCAATCATTCTAGCTGAGCTGAGTGACTTACGGGCCGCACTAACATTAAACTTTCATACCAAGGCGGGGGCCGCAAACTATCGACCTGCGGACCGCAATTGGCCCGCGGGCCGCGAGTTTGAGACCCCTGATTTAGACCATACATATGGGACGATAGATATGAAATACACATCCGATCCGTACCGATAGCCTCATCCAGTAAAAATCATTGTCTTCTTCAAGATTTTTCGTACTTCAAGATAAATGAAATTTTCGGTAATGACATTAAATTATATTTCAACAAACAAAGAAATATAAAATACGTCACTAGTTGTTGGTATACTGTCACGGACGAAAGATGTTGCTACCGTGGTTGCAAATAAAACAGAAGACTCAACGGTTCCGGATTGGTTGTTTTTCGTACGGCAACTCCAATACCAAACCTAAAACATCATAGCAGATTACATCCATAAAGAACTGAAAACACGTCCGTCAAAGTTGGCATTAATGAAAAGGAACACACACTATAACACAAAAAATTCAATCAGAATCGCAATCTCTCGAGTGTAAGTCGCTTTCAAATGTAGCCAGCAAAAACATAACATAGTTTTCTTTCTGTATCCACATGTTCTTCATCTCAGCGATTGAAGAAAATGTTCCCTCTCGGATTTACCCTTTCTCTCCAGGGCTCCCGCTCCGATATGCAACGGTTACGGGCTCATATTGACCACACACAATGAGATTTTAACATATCGTTTTTATCATACATTATCAAGTATAAAAATATGAAATCGGAATGAGCGACCACGGTTCGATGCGTGATTGGGTCGTTTTATCGTCTTTCTTCCATAATTTTTAAACAAAGTCGATACTCGTATACTAATTTGTACTAATACTGATCATTTGTCAACCTGATAGTGAGTAACGGAATTTATTGCAAGTACAATAAGCAAATAATTGATCAGACATCGGTCGTCAGCGTATGTTTGATTAGGGCTTGAAAAACATAGACTAGCTGAACGACAATGATTTTCCCTCCAGTAGAACGATTCCGCTTTGAATGAAGCTGCCAAGCAAAATTTCTCCATTGTCTAATTCGGAAACCTCCGTTATTGCTTTCGAAACTTTGCCGTCCAAATCATAATGGATGCTTTCAGGCTCAAAAGTTTCACGATTATTTCTTGATTAAGATCAACGAGTTGAAATAAACCTTCTCTCCCTAATATGCTAGCAATAATATTGCGAAGTGTAGGATACTCTCATATAAAGTCCGTGGTAGAATGATGTAGAACGGGTATAGCCACCCAATAACCGTTATTTCTTGCCTTTCTAATATTATCAGGGCCTCCCGGTAATATGATGGTTTTCACGATGTTCCGGGATTCCAAATCAATCGCAATAACGCTCCTGCGAGCATTTTCTGATACCAGAAGATTGTTTTCAATACGATCCAGTTCGATTCCATTAGGGAAGCATAGGCCACTATAAATCAAATCAATGTGTTTGCTTTTAACGTCACGTTTTAAAATGCGACCTGGACATTCTCCTTCTATTGTACCAAACGCCACATTGTCATGGTCCCATTTCTCACTTATATCAGTGAAATATATTGTTTTTCCATTTAAAGTAATTACCAAATCGTTAGGGAACATCATATGTGGTTCCACTTCATCGTAGCCAACAATTTTTTCCCATTGGTTCGTCCTTATATTAATTGCAAATAATCCCTGATAACCATCCGCAAAATAGAGCGTCGATTTACTTAAACGAATACCGATCGGTCGTTTGCCCTTTCGCTTGCTACCTATTGCAAAATCATACGATGCTGTTATGTCAACCACTGCTTGGTCCTCTTTCCCGGCATTGACAATTTTAACAACTCTACCATCTATGAGTCCAGTGTACCAGTTTCCTTCTTTGTCCACTACAATAGATTCGGGTCCCTGCAGTTCATTCAACAACTTTCTTCCTTGTGCAAGGTTATTGTTCTTTACTTTGGTCCATTTCAATTGGCGAACGTCATGAATATCATTTACTGAAACAGCTGAGATCGGAGAGTTGACATGTGCGAAGATCAGGCAAATCGCAAAAGTAACGACCAATTAAGCTAACGCAAAAGCCAATTTCTGACATAAAGACGAACCCTTGTGAGACTCGCTTTCCTTCGTGATTTTCTGAGGCGATGACGTACTCCTCGATGGAGACTCCCATCCTTTCGTGATTTTCTGAGGCGATGACCCACTCCTCGATTGATCGCGTCGGCGGACTTTTCCTGATCTGCTCATTGCCAGCCGGCTGTATCGTCAAATGCCGAGTATTCCTACAGGCTGGTAGACGACAAATTACTCATCTGTAACGGTCTGGGGAAATGTCAAATGCCACTTCTCGTCACCGCCACGAAGTCCTATTAATTTGTAAATAATTCAGTGCACAATGCGTAAATGGCAACGATTTAATCAAAAATTGCACGTTTGGTATGTTAAGATAATTGCCTGCCCTATTAACGTGGCATCATACATTTTTGACCTCGCGACAACCGAATGAAATCTTATAACATAGGGGGCAACCTGCTTTCGATCGAGATCAACTGATTGGTAATAAGGTTCTACACAAAAACGAATGGACACTGAATGTGCAGATAACTTCACACGCATACAACAAATTCCACCGCTGCTAATAACATGGCTTTGTAGGCACATTATTATTGAAATCGACACAGAATTGGTATTTTTTTTCATTTAAGTTGTTGATTCCAATATTTAATTGTACCCAGAGTAAATGTTTCATTATTTATTCACATCATACAATTCAGATAAAGGGCGTGCCTAATTTTTATTAAGTGTTGAAAATTCTTCAAAAATCCTTGCCAAGTATTATCCAAACAGCGAAAAATTAATATTGAATGAATGTTACATGACTGCTCAAACTTCAGCATCTAATTTACAATTGACCTTAGTCATTCAAAACCCATCCTACGCGCAAAAATGAAAGTGACATAAACAAAACAATTTTAACATTAGCTCTTATGGGGAATGTGATCACCAGGGCAGAAATTTCATTTTTTGTGATTTTCTAGATATCTTTTGTTGTAAACGTGGGCAATTTTTTTTTATAAAAAGTGATTTTGAGATATTTTTGTGACGATAAACATGGTCAAGTTTTTTTTATAATCGTACATTAAAATTTTAATGGCCGTGGTGTTTCAACTGGCGTCTTGCCTCCTAGCTAGACCATAGGTTCTCAAAGTGCTCCGTACGGAGCCCCAGGGCTCCGCAAGAGAAACCCAGGGGCTCCGCGAGCTATTCAATTACTTTTCAAAATACTGACTAATTTTGTAACTGTTCATAGAAGCAATAACAGCTTTGATAAAATCTGACAATATAGCCTCGAAATATGGCAAAGAGGCGGAATTGAAAAATGACATTTTATATAAGCAGGAGCGCAGCCAGGATTCTTAAGAGAGAGGTGGTTCCAAATTGGAATCGGAAATTTTCGCGCAACATTCTTCGCGATTAAAAAAACGGATAACGAGATTTCTGTTGCGTAAAATATTCAATTTTTGCGATGCGAGCATTTAATGTGTCTCGTCGTTATAATGTAATTGTGCTCATCGTTACTCACGTTTGATTCGAGATTACTATTAGGATTACTAAAATGAAAGAATACTATTCTAAAATAACATAAAATATGTGATAAACTGCCAACTATAAATAAATTGGAATCGTATTTTTGCAATCTTCGGATTCGTCGTACTTGATTTGTTCTTTTGCACTCAAGATTCATTTTTAAGATAGCGCCGTTTAAAAAATCATAATGTCTGGGCAAAATACAAACAATTGAAATTGTTTTATTGCATTCGGCTCCGTCGGTAGTTTCAGATTCATGACTTGTATTAACCCTATTAAAAAGGTTCAGCATTTAAATTAAGTAAAGTACTTTTAACTTGCTCAGGAATATGAATCTGAAAGTAACAATTTTAACATTTATTTTGGGGCTCCGTGAATAGTATTCAACCTTTTCAAGGTCTCCGCAACACCAAAAGTTTGAGAACCGCTGTCCTGGACCAGTGGTTCTCAACCTGTGGTACGCGTACCACTAGTGGTACACGGAAGCTTTTCGAGTGGTACGCGAGCAGTTCGAATGATTGCAACGATTAACTTATGAGTTGGCTAAAATATGTCGACAACGCTTTATCTATCATACTGCATGTATTGGCTGAACGGGTTTATAGTGCAACCAGTTATTTTCTTGAGATCGCCCTCGCTCGCTATAGCCCACCTAAAACGAAACGATGATTGAAGCCTTTCAGCTCTGACGACAGACGATGCCAATTCTCTCGCTATTTTGCACGCAATTAGTACTTTGTTTCTGCATAAAACTAATACGTTGAAACTTCACACGAATGCCTAAATTGAATCTTGTGCCACTGTTCTCCAATCCAAAATGGAGTTTTGTCGGTGGTACGCGGCCAGAGTAAATAGCACAAAAGTAGTACGCAATCAGTGAAATGTTGAGAACCACTGTCCTAGACAATGACATTCTGCCAACCCGTTATAGTGAAATATGCGCGTCAACTGCAGAGCTAATGTCGCCTTTGGTTCGTTGCTGGAGGCGTTTATTAACATTGACAGTCTATAATCTATTCTATACCATTTCACTCGCGTTTGTTTACAGGTTTTACGCATTTATACCTGTACAACTAGCAACCATTTACTGAAGGCATGCTGACGTGGTATTTGAAATACCGTTACCGGTTAAAACTTTATCGTAACAGAAATGTTAGCCAATAGGTAGGATAAGTTGTATACAAACAAAGATAAATATCTTCAATCTATTACTCTATTCCCATAACGGTACAGTACCGGTACCTTATCCTAACTGATTTGGAAAACATGTCAGCATGGCTTCAGAGAAAGGTAGGATATGCGCAAAGCCAGTAAGGAAAAGTGAATCTGACTGAATAGACTAACATTCCAGCTAAACTCCGTTGGAACTAAAATAGGTCTTTAATTAAATACCAAATACGCTACCGGTATGTTGTGGTCCCGGTATTCCGTTATCACAGAATAAAAAGCAAGAGCAGTTGGAGCGCATATTTCACAGACCAAAACACGTTGGCAAAATGTCATGGTATAGTGAGAGAGACGCCAGCGGAAATACCACGCCCATTAAAATTTCAATGAACATTATCAAAAATCTTGACCACGTTTATCACGATAAAAATATCAACAAATATATATAAAATACTCTAATATATATAAAATACACTACTCTTGTAGTGAGATAATAACTTTCGCATACTGCGGAAGTTATTGCAAGATCGTTTGTCAGTCTAGACACGCGATAACAGAACGGAAGCTGAAAATGAAAAACAAAGAGGTGCTATCAATAAATTCATTGTTACGCCAAAGGGATAAGAATGAAGAAAATAACAACAACTCAGAAAATAATATAACCATGAATCCAATAGCAGTTTACCAATACAATTGTGATATAAATACCATATTAGAAAAAATGACACAGCTGTGAATAAAATTAAAGACAATCTCAATTCATCACAGAACAGTCCCAATACAGAAAGTATAATCACAACCGGAAAGACGCAAGCCCAGACATCATACAGTGATGTATCATCCATAAGTACAGCTGTAAATACCATGAACGATAACCTAGAAAATTGGCCAACAGCTATGAATAACAATGTTTGAGATTATTTAGCAATGAAAGGTTCCTCTAATATTGCTGGGAACAGCTTACCAAGAAGTGGGAAATAATTGCTGTTTATAGAAATCGAAATTACTAAAGCTATTGACGTTGAAAATATTTTGAATGATTTTGCTAATAAAAAGGCTAGAAAAGTCTTTTTCTGAATGAGCATAATAATATAATTACCTATTTTGCCTTTTGTGCTGTTTTAAAGTGAAACGTATTAAATGTCTATTTTTTGTTTGTATATATAGGCTATATGTTTTTTTTTATGAAATATGAACATCCATAAATTTTGAACATCCATAAATTTTACTATGAAGAGTAAGGGCCCCGCCATCAGATTTCTAATTGGGCCCGCAGTTCCTAGCACCAGCCCTGGGTGACACCAATAAAACAGAACCCATAAATTTTTTAAATAATTCCTTATCCTGATTCAACTAATCCAAAATTCATCTCCTCCATAATCAGATTACGTTTTGTACATAGCTTTTCATAAACGGAGAGTGCAATAAAGCGGAAACTGTGGCAGTTTACATTGCCATGTGTTTGTAATGAGTAGTAACAGACTTAGAGACCGTCAATGGTAGCACCGTTAATCGGATTTACCTATTTATCCCGGGGGCGAGGAAAGTTGATAAGACGACTTAACCATATGTCGAACCATACGGCCTTCCGTGCGGTTACCATTCCATGTCAAGTATGGGATAACTTAGTTATCGGAAGCATAGACTTGATGGTGGAGGAAGCCATAACCGACCAGCGGTTACATGAACCACCCTATGTGAGCGAGCAATCCGGCAATCCTTTCACACATAATTATCTCCGCATGGGATTCGAACCTGCGAACCCACGCAGAGTAATCAGAGATGCGGTGGCGAGCGTATTTCTAACGCTTAGAACGATGAACCTCAGCGCCGCGTGTATTATGTGTTTTCTGGTTTGGCGGGGAAATAAATTCTCTCATTCTCTCGTCTATAAATGAACTCGAGAATTCGAAGAAAAACTTTGCACCTTGCAGGCAATCCAGATATGTATCTGTTCTAGAATCTAGAATAAAATCCACACAGCCTATCTGAATTGTTTTTATTCTTATTGTGTGGGCCTTTCATGCCTGACTACAGCAATTTTAGTTCCATAATTGAGGTAACACTGCATTTCAATTATTTGTAATTATGTACACGATTCATACTTTTGAATTCCCAAACGCTTACTGCCCAAAACAAACGAAACAGAGAACGTGATATATTTTCAAGTTCTAGGTATATTACAATTTATTGTGCTATAATTCGGTGTGAGAATCCCACTGGGATGTGTTGGATCAGATTGAATTTGTGGAATTCTTTCTTCTCATGTGCAGACGACGAGATCGACAGAAAAACAATCACCTACGAGATTCGTACCCATGCTTGGCAATGCGACGGCAAAAACATTTCCAAGGCCAAACTCATCTCGACAGACCTCTGGTATTTGAATTAACTGCCGCATATAATGGTAGATTTAGATGTACAAGTTTCTATGCAACTGCTGGCGATATCTGATTTGCAATCTTACATAAAAGAATGTTTCAAAGTGAATAAGAGGATTCACGGAGTGACACCACCAACGGTTTATTACATGAAAAGTAACGAAGACCAATAATGAAAAACTTGGAAGAATTATTAAAAGATTTGCCAAAAAGCAATTATTAAACAAGAAGCCCGAAATAAAAATATGAATTATAGAATAATAATTATGGCATGGTAATAAAAAATGCGTAAAGGCGTAAAATCAATTTCCATAAAAACTAAATTTAAAACGACTCTTTAAAAGTTAAGAGCAATTTAAGTTGCAGAAAATATACAGGTAATAAATGAATGACAGTAAAATTTATAAAATCTGTATACTTTCACAATAAAATATTCTAATACATTTATACTATCTTTCACCTATATGGTGCTACCCAAAGAGTCATTTACATTACTTCAGAATTCCCAGATTGTGATAACTATATCGCACTAAATAACATACACACCAAACCATACAACTGAAACAATTGTTATCAGTTATTATCATGTCTTATTTGTATTAAATTTTATCAAACAACTATCATTATCATATAGATATCTGTTTTCTCGGAATAATGGAAAGGGATAATTCCGTTATACATAACTTATGGATCAGAGCTAAATCTAAAAAGAGAATCTGCTCTTACCACATCGCCTCATGACTTACCTGGGGGATCATACGCTTAATTTTACGCATCGTCGTGGTTGACAAAACCACTACCTGACGAATAGACCCCCTCATTTGTTGACTCATGAAAGTCTTGATAAATAGATAATTCAGATTAATTACATATTAGCAATAAACTCAATCAATAATGATTCAGTTTTTATTTTCGTAGCTGGTCATCTGCAGCAAATCGATCAGCAGGGCCCAATTATTCGAGGACAAATAGAAGAATTCCAAGCATTGATATCTGGTTACTCGTTTTATTACGATTACTTCATTCCTGGAAAACCGGTAATATTTCGACAGGTTCAGAAAAATAGTGTGATAAGCAATGTGACAAGTATACAAAAATTGAAATAAATAAATTCTTAAGTTCTAATTATTATCAAAGTTACTATTCACGATCGCCAAGAAGTTTATGTAGTGAACTAGGGATTATATCCATGTGCAATACTTTACAAGAATACTCACCAAATGCATGGATTTTAGACTATTTTCAAAACGCAATTTTGCTTCTAGCTTGGTAATGTGACATTTATTAGAGAGAATTTTGGGTATGTTCGGGGTGAAGTCGATCACCGCAAGGAATGGAAAAGAGGAGGGTTCGATTTTGTTCTTCGAAGCGTTCTGACATTCAGGTGAAAACGAAAGACTTCAATCTTAGTATTTTAAATTAAAATTCGAGTGAGAACACTACGACAAAATGTTCACATGGTTACCACGTCTTTTCTAAAAACTTGGACTTCCGGAACAGAGCAACTTGCAATCCATGTATTAGACAAACAAGCTTCAGACTTTATTCTCTCCATTCTTTTTTATTCGAGTGATGAAATGATATTTTCTAGTACCCGAGGGCTGTGTATTTTCAAATGCCTGGTGATTTCAGAATCGAAAATATTTTTCCGAATCGAATCTCGAATACTTGAAAGATACATGTGTAATTGTATGGGACTTTTTTATTGTAAAGAGGTCCTCCAGACACAAAAAATACTGAAAACATAAAATCCATCCCTCGCTGAGTTGTCACGCATTCTTAGAAACAGTTTTCAGCACTAATTCAGTGCGAGATTCTTATAAAAATGCATTATAAAAACACAACAAAAACAAGAGAAGGCGAAATGGCGGCGATTGTAGAAAATATTGTAACAAGTTCTTATTTTGATCTATATCGTTTTAGCAATTTTCTCGATCGGTTTGAAACGGAAGTAGAAGATCTATACTGAGACGATATGATACCCATGAATCACACAATCTTGGAAAATCTACCTTTCCCAATTCCTATAAACTGTGAAGAAATAAGAGCAACTGTATAGGTTACTTAATCACGCTATTTTTGTTCTGATAATTAGTTTCGGAGTTATCGTCAGTTTCATATAATTTCAATGAATTTATTCATTTATAATTAATTATTATATTTCACTATTCCAAATAAATGATATTATTATCCAAACAAAGATTGATAGAAACCTGCTGCTTTCTATCGACGTTTACACGAAGTATATTATACATATATATAAATGTTTATGGACTTGCTCTTACCCTTAACTGACGCGACTGCGTCAATGATTCCTTTAATTAACGCGATCCCCGATGCTAGCAAATATAGTAACATCTTGAAAACTTAAGAAATGTGGTTTTGGTGACTTTTATTTGACATTTTTCTCAAAATAGTAAATGTTTGTATATATATACTCAGACCAAACTTTTATTCATTTTGTTGCTATCCTATTTATTTATATAAAATATATAAGGAAATAAGCACGTTAATGTTTTATTTGAACACCCATAATAGGAGAGGTGCACTAGAAATAATTGTCCTCACAATCAGTTATTTCGTGTTTTCCGTATATCAACTATTCTCGCTTTTAAGGCTTATATGGTTGCAGTTCCCCATCGACCGGGTTCACCGGTTGTGCCGGATGCTGTCGATTTGTCAAAATTCCCCAAAATGTCGGAAGTAGAATTTCATGAAGTAAAATTAAAAGCTGGAGATTTGTTATACGTTTCACGAAACTGGCCACACTATGTGAGTATGTTAGAGTGTTAACAAATAATCCAGCCGCAGATGGTATACAATACAAAAGCTTTTAACAAATACCTTGCAGGTGCGGTCTTATGCGTCCTCGAATATCGGCATCAATATCTGGTTTGAAGAAAAACATTATTTGTCTTTTGTGTCTGATGATTTCAGATGTACAAGACAACGAAAATCACCAAAACACTTGCTCAGGACACAAGAATTTGATTCGTTATGGTAACTCTATCGTGCAAATTTTGATTTTGTTACAGTCGAAGATAATTTAATAAAGAAACCTTGTGGATCGTGAATTTTCTATGATCAATTATATATATTGTCATATGTTCAGTGATGCATGAGAATGTCGAATTTTAAATTCATTCGTCGAAAGGAAATAATTACTGGTTTGGAAAGGAACCTAGTATTGCAGTAAGTTAATGTATAATTGGTAGAAATCAGGTAAAATAAGGCTTGGAATTGTTTGAGAATTCCTTTTCATGATTCGTCGGTCAGTAGTCACTCATTATTTTCCCTGTCGAGCTGAATCGTGTGCGATATATATATATATATTAATACCATCAATTAGATACGATTCACAACGCTGTATGCATTTATAATCTTTTGCCTTAACTTAGTCCAGCATCTGTCCTCGTATATTTGTCATTCATTAGGATTTACATATTCACCCCGGGGAGAGGAGACGGTTTAATCATATGACGAACCGCGGCCCCTCGTTCGATTACCAGTCCATGTCGGGTATAGGATTATTAGTCAGTTATTTGTTTCAGATACATGGACTTCATGGTAGACAGAGGAGCCGTAACCGACAAGAAGTAACGTGAACCAAACTACTGAGGCGAGGAGTATAGCATTCCTCTGGAACATATTTGTTCCCACGCGATTCGAAACAGTGCAGTGCAAGCTCACAAAGAGGTCTAAGTCAATAACTGAGTTTAATTTCATACATAGCACCGACCAAGGCGAAGGTATTAATTAGTCAATTTAGATCATACATATGGGACGATAGATATGGAATACACATCCTATTCGTACCGCCCTATCCAGTAAAAATCTTGGAGATGAATGAAATTTTCGGTAATGATATTGAATCAAATTTTAATGAACAAAGAAATGTAAGAGACGTCAGTAGTTTTTGGTAAGTCTATCGTTTTTTTTTATACATACATATATATATATATATATATTATACATATATATATGATATATGAAATCGGAACAAGCAACGACGGTTTAATACGTGATTGGGTCGTTTTATCGACCTTTTCATAATTTTCAATAAATGTCTACTAAACTATATACTAATTCCTACCAATACTGATCGTTTGTTAACCTGATAGTGAGTAATGGAATTTATTGCAAACACAAAGAGCAAATAATTGATCAGACGCCGGGCGCGTCAGCGTATGTTTGATTACGACTTGAAAAACATACACTAGCTGAACTACAGTGATTTTCCATCCAATAGAACGATTCCACTTTGAATGAAGCTACCAAGCAAAATTTCTCCATTGTCCAATTCGGAGGCCTCCGTTATTGCTTTCGAAACTTTACCGTCCACATCATAATGAATGCTTTCAGGCTCAAAAGTTTCAGTGAGTTTCACGATTATTCCTTGGTTAAGATCAACGAGTTGAAATAAACCTTCTCTCCCCAATATGCTAGCAATAATATTGCGGAGTGCAGGATATGCCCATATAAAGTCTGTGGTAGGATGGTGTAGAGTGGGTATAGCCACCCAATAACCGTTATTTCTTGCTCTCCTAATATTATCAGGGCCTCCCGGTAATTTGATGGTTTTCACGATATTTCGGGATTCCAAATCAATCACAATAACTCTCCTGCGAGCATTTTCCGATACCAGAAGATTGTTTTCACTACGATCCAGTTCGATTCCATTAGGGAAGCATAGGCCACTATAAATCAAATCGATGCGTTTGCTTTGAACGTCACATTTAAAAATGCGACCTGAACATTCTCCTTCTATAATACTAAACGTCACATTGTCATAGTCCCATTTTTCACTTACATCGGTGAAATATATTGTTTTTCCATTTGAAGAAATTGTCAAATCGTCAGGAAACATCATATGTGGTTCCACTTCATCGTAGCCAACAATTTTTTTCCATTGGTTTGTCTTTATATCAATTGAAAATAATCCCTGATAACCATCCACAAAATAAAGCGTTGATTTGCTTAAACGAATACCGAGCGGTCGTTTGCCTTTTCGTTTACTACCTATTGCAAAATCATAAGATGCTGTTATGTCAACCACTACTTGTTCCTCTTTCCCGGCATTGATAATTTTAACAACTCTACCATCTATTAGTCCAGTGTACCAGTTCCCTTCTTCGTCCGCTACAATGGATTCGGGTCCCGGCAGTTCATTCAACAACTTTCTTCCATGTGCAAGGTTATTGTTCTCCACATTGGTCCATTTCAATTGACGAACGTCATGAATATCATTTACTGAAACAGCTGCGATCGGAGAGTTGACATGTGCGAAGGTCAGGCAAATCGCAAAAGTAACGACCAATAAAGCTAACGCAAAAGCCAATTTCTGACATAGAGTCGAAACCTTGTGAGACTCGCTTTCCTTCTTGATTTTCTGAGGCGATGACTTACTCCTCGATGGAGACTCGCTTTCCTCTGTTATTTTTTTAGCCGATGACCCACTCTTCGATGGACCGCGTCGGTGTACGTTTCCTGATCTGCTCTTTGCCATCGTGGTGTGTCGTCAAATGCTGAGTTTGCCTCCAAGTTGGTTGGCGACAAATTACTCATCTGTAACGGTCTGTGGAAATGCCACTACTCGTCATCGCCACGAAGTCCTATTAATTTTTAACTAATCGACCGCACAATGCGTAAACGGTGACGAAATAATCAGAAATTGCACGTTCGATATTTTAAGATAATTGCCTGTCCGCTTAACGTGGCATCCGAAATTTCTGACACCGCGAAAACCGTTGCTCATATATGCGGCGGCGAGAAATCCGTCAACCATGTCGCACACAGTGGTGTGATTCAATTTTTTCGTCAGCCGGTTCCATCACAAAAGTCATATTTTTTTCAGTCGGTTCTGTAACAAAAAGTAATGTTTTTTTCAGTCATGCTAACCGGTTCGCTGATTTTATAAAATTTTGTGAGACGGTTTTATAGAACCGGTGCGAACCGACTGAATCCCACCACTGCATATATTTATCTACACTCTACAGGGTGACATCCAAGATAAAGCAAAACCCCTAAATTTTTTAATTACTTCTACAAAAATGAAAAAAAAAATTAATTTTGTTTGCGTTTGAACGTTTGTTTGAGTATGATTATACCCAAGTTTCAGAAATCTGCGCAAAACGTCCTAGATTTCAGAAACTTTTATGTACAATCATAAACAGATAGAAGTTTAAGTGTAGAAAAATAATATATTTGATAATGAATTCTTAATTTTTGAAATATATATATTTTTAATAGGAAATATAAATTTATTTAAAAATTATTTCTCATCCTGAATAGACTAATTTAAAATTTATCTTTTTCATAATCAGATTACGTTTTGTACATAGTTTTTTATAAACTTACTATGCCAATTTATTTATCTGTTTGTAGTAACAGACTTAGATGGCTGCTCATGGCCGTACCGTTAACGTCTTTTACTGAAAAGTTTTGATTCTATTACTATTTCCATATATATTATGTGTTTTTTAATTTGCAGGGAAAATAAATTTTCTCTTTCTGGTTCATATATGAACTTGAGAATTTGAAGTAAAACTTTGTGCATTCTAGGTATATATCGGTTCTAGAGTAAAACCCACGTAGCCTATCTGAATTATTAATTGTTTTCATTCTTGTTGTGTGGGCTTTTCATGCTTGATTATAGCAATATTTGTTCCATAATCGGGGTAACACTGCATTTCAAGTATATGTAATCATGCACACGACTCATACTTTTGAATTCCCAAACGCCTACTGCTCAACACAAACGAAGCAGCGTACGTGAAATATTTTCATATAATTCAGTGTGAGAATCCAACTGGAATATTTTGGATCTAACTGAATTCGTACCCATGCTTGGCAATGCGGCAGCAAGAACATTTCCAGGGCCAAACTCATCCCGGCAGACCTCTGGTATTTTAACTAACTGCCGCCGTATAATGGTAGGATTAGGTCAGGGATGTCCAACCTGCGGCCCGTGGGCCGCATTGCGGCCCACTTAATGTTTGGATGCGGCCCACTAACGAATCATTAAAAAATTTTTTTTTAGCAAATTTATGAAGTAATGAGCACGAGAGTCTTCATGTAATTCAGTCAAAATATATTTATTGTAATTTAGTCAAAAAATACTTTATATTTAACCCTTTCCGTGCGGTGGGCACGTATCCGTACCCACGACAAAACTCGCTAGATTGCGGCGGGTACGTTGATGTACTTCTCTGTTTTATTTAGCAATGGGTCGCAAACTGTTGGTCTAGTTTTTTCGGGTTTTAGTTTATTGATAAGAAGTCTTCTTCGAGATTAACATAAGCGACGGTAAATCTCGCTTTCGTTTACGACGGGAATTTTATTTGCGGCGGAACGAGGGAATGTTTTTGAAATTTATGCAAATTTCGGTGTTTTTTGGGTGGCAATAGAAGACATATTATCCCTTCCATCTACCAAAATATTTTGAGTTAGATCACGAAATTGCTACTGCAATATTATGCTATTGTTTGCCAACCACGAAGCGGTAACAGTAAAGGATTTAGCGAATATTTCTATTTTTTATCACGGTTTAAAGTTTCAACTCCCAAGAAAAAAAAATGCCTTTTTTCTATCCGGTTTGTGACTCAGACCACCACTTTTAAAAAAAACTTTTTTTTTTGATCGCCAACTGCAAGCTCTTTAAATAAGCTTTCCAACGAGCCGTCAGTGGGCAGCAGAGGATCATTAGTTTTTCGTTAGTCGATCGATTAGTTGTGGGGGTACAAATGCATAAAATCGGCGTAGCAAATACGATTATTTATTAAAAAATAAAAATCGCATGGAAAGGGTTAATAAATAAAATAATTGTAGCGACCAAATTGAAACTCCCGTATGTATTTTTTCTCGCGCTCTGGTGCGCCGCCACCAGCTACTCGCCATGCCGTTCGCAAGTCTTCGTTCTCGACAGTGTTGTTTTGGCTGTGGCGGTGTGCAGACTATATCTCTCAAAAGTAAGTGCTTAATCATTTAAATTTTCTTTATTGTTGAAATAAATGCATTTTCAGTAAACTACGGCTCAGTACACCTATTAATGGTTAATTTCTTTTTCAGATAACTATAATCTTAAGTAATGAAAATTTTATATTTATATGGCCATGGAATCTATTACTAAAAAAAGGAAAATAGCAGAAGAAAAGAGGAAATTTAATATCCAATGGACGGAAAAATATTTTGTGACCGAGTTATTTGGCAATATAACATGTCTTATATGTAATGATAAGATTAGCGTATGCAAGGAATACAATGTTAGACGTCATTATGTTTCGAAACATGAGTCAGAATATCAGACATTTAATGAAGAAAGAAGAAAAACGAAAATTGAAGAATTGACAAAGGCAATTAGCTCACAACAAGCTAATCTTCAAAAACATATTGTTAAAAGTGGAACATGTACAAAAGTTAGTTACCTTATAGCTGAGAAATTAGCTAAGAAAGGAAAACCTCTTATTGATGGAGAATTAATAAAAGAATGCATTGTTATTGCTTTTAATGAGTACTGTCCAGACAAGGTGAATTTAGTAAAAGAAGCATGTCTATCACATCAGACAATTGGCAGAAGAATTGATGACTTGGGTGATAATATTGAAGGCATACTGAAGGACAAATTATCTGCATGCGTTCTTTACAGTTTAGCGTTGGATGAAAGTATTGACCAAAGTGATACTGCACAATTAGTTATTTTCATTAGAGGAATTGATGAAAATTTCAATATTATTGAAGAAATGTTGGACTTGTGTCACATAAAGGGCACAACAAGAGGCAAGGACATATATGAGATTGTTAATTTGTCATTAGATAAATTCAATATTGATAGGAAAAACATTTATTCAATTACAACTGATGGTGCTCCTGCCCTGACTGGTCAACACAATGGTTTTATTAGTTTATTTAAAGAATCTGTTGATCATGAGATTCTCAGTTACCATTGCTTGATACATCAACAACAATTATGTGCTCAAAAGCTAAATATGAAACATTTGATGACTGATCTTGTCAAGGCTGTTAATTTCATCAGATCACGGGGTTTAAATCATCGCGAATTTAAAGCATTCTTGGACGAAGTTGGCAGTGAATATGAAGACGTAGTATATTTCTCAAAAGTTAGATGGCTCAGTAAAGCAGCAACCTTAAAAAGATTTCAGTTATTGTTGCCTGAAATAAAAGTGTTCTTGGAAAAAAAGAAGCAAAATGTGGATTTTTTAGAAAATGAAGAATGGTTGAATGATTTATCTTTCTTTGTAGACATCACCGAAGTATTAGCTGAACTTAATGTGAGGATTTGCTTGGAGAGTTTACGATTAGATTTTCTGACTTTAGAAAGATTGAAATTGAGTTAAAATTGTTTAGTGATCCATTTTCATTTGAATATGATAAAGCACCAGTGGAGTACCAACTTGAACTGATTGAGCTGCAAAGTCGGGAAGGTTTAAAAACTTTTCACAGGGAGAACACACTTCCTTCATTTTATAAGAAATTGCATTCTCTCAAAAATGAATTCAATCAAATTCTAAATTTATCCAGAAAATTATTATGTATGTGGGGAAGTACATACTCTTGCGAGCAGTTTTTTTCAAGCATGAAAAACATTAAAACTGCAGAAAGAAACAGGTTGACTGATAGACATTTAGCAAACATTCTTAGAATTAAGAATGCATCCTTCGATGAAAATATTGAAAACATTATGGCTGGAAGACAAAGTCAAAAGTCTCATTGATTTAATATTGATTAATTAAATTTAATGTGTTTTTTATGTATAGCTACATATAAACATTACAATATTTACAACGTTGTAATAATGTAAATAAACTGTATTCACGTGGTTTTGTTTTATATTGTAATTTTTCCATTAAATTGTATTAAGAGGTAGTTTTGCGGCCCAGTTAAATATTTAAGTTTGCAATGCGGCCCATTGAATTAAAAGGTTGGACATCCCTGGATTAGGTGTACAAGTTTCTATGCACCTGCTGGCGATATCTGATTTACAATTTTACATAAAAGAATGTTCCAACGTGAACATGAGGATTCACGGAGTAACACCACCAACGGTTTATTACATCAAAAGTAACGAAGAGTAATAATGAAAAACTGGGAAGTATTGTTGAAAGATTTGCCAAGAAGCAATTATTAAGCAAGAAGCCCAAAATAAAAATGTGAATTAGAAAAATATAATTATGGCTCGGTAATGGTAATAAAAAAATGCGGAAAGGCATGAAATCAATTTTCATAAAAACTAAATTTAAAACGGTTAAGAGCAATTTAAGTTGCAGAAAATATATAGATAATAAATGAATGACAGCAAAATTTCACAATATAATATTCTAATAAATTTATACTATTCTTCACCCATATGGTGCTACCCAAAGAGCCATTCACATTACTTCGGAATTCCCAGATTGTAATAACTATATCGCACTAAACAACACACACAAAGTGCATTTTATTGATCATCGGACATTTATTGAATTGAAAAAGCACGATTCTTTTGACCTTCTTTTCAACAATTCATACAACTGAAACAATTGTTATTACCATGTCCATTGTATTAAATTTTATCAAACAACTATCATATAGATATCTGTTTCCTTTAAATATTGGAAAAGAATAATTCTGTTCCACAGAACTCCTGGATCATAGCGAGAGATTTTATTCTTTTATGAATCTCGTTGTGGATGATGGAACAGAGCAAAGAAAAGACGGGAGGGACCACTGCACCTGTTGGAATGGTGGTCGTTCGTGGAAATTCGATATTAATGTTGAAGCATTGGAACGGATTTTAAATTGAACTAATCGAAAACGACAGAAGAACCCGATACTTCAATCCATGATTGTGGTGATGTGGGTACATTTGCAAGAGCAAACTTGAGTAGATATGTACGAACAGACCATTCGCTAGTCGTCAATCCCTCATTTATAAGTAACCCAAGCCAGTGCATGACGTGATTGACACAACTTCATTGGATGGCTCTTGAACGAGTTCAACTATTTCCTCATGTCAGAGACCTGAAAGGAAATTGTTTTTATTTGCCCTTTATGACATTGAAAACCTGTGTTGAAATTTTTTGATACTCCTGAGGTATGCGCACCAAGATGTCGCACAACCTGAACCATAACCTGGTACACAACCCTAGTTCAGGTTGTGCGCCATCTTGGTGCGCATACTTCAGGAGGTCCCATTTTTTTCTATTACTGCAATCACTACTATATCAAATTGAGTTCCAGTACTGCCCTATTATTTTCAGTCCTTCAAAACACTAAATGGTGATGCTGTTCGATTGGCATTCGATTAGAAATTGTTTTTACTCAAATATTTCATACCAATCCATGATAATAATGAAGGCCTGTATCTCCTATGATTGTTCTAGTATAAATCGACAATAACTTGTATTTCATCAATCATTATCTGCAAATATGAAAAGTAAAATAATATGAAAAATGTTTGACACACGTTTTATATCATACAATATTTTGAAATATTATCATTGTTATATTAGCACTAGTGTGCATGATTAGGGAATTCATTCAAATAAAAAATTATGCAACCTTTGAATAGTGAATAATAAACATATCTAATACTTTAGCACATTTAACAAAACAAAGAATCATTTGAATCAATCGAAAGATTTATTTGTTAAAATCTTTTTTCAAAATTGCACAACTTTCATTCAATTAATGATTTAATCACACAAACAAAATAGCAAATAGTTTTTTACCTCAGCAAATTTACCTGGTCTTAAAACCTAACAGTCAAGTTTGAATGTAAACTCAGTAGGCTTATAGGTAATTGCTATTTTTTTAGGTTATCCACTTAATAACCTAACACTGACAAAGTACTATTTCTCGAAAAAATCACTCACCCCCTGGATATTTTCCACCATTTCTTTTTCTTTCTTTCCTTTCCTCCGTATTGCCATGTGTGAGTTGGAAGAATACAAACAATTCTTACATGAGCATTTGATTTCAGCTTAACAGTAAAAATACTTGAAATTACCATATTTGAAAATCATAATTTTTCACACTGCCACAATATAATAAGATCAACAAATTTTTAGCGATTAATATAGTGTGTATTATACGTGGGTAACGTGGGTTATTTTTTCTGCAAGAACAAAATAAAAGAATTGACATATTTGCTGATGCCATGACATCAAAGTTCGTCCTTGTACTGTACCTGGAATTAGATACAGTATTTCATATTTATATGACTTTTCAAATATTGTCCTGGTAAACTCTGTCATCCGAATTGTTGCATAAGCATTCAATGACAGGATCTTTTCAATAACAATTAAACATTCAACAACTTTATCATACATTTTATTAATTATATATCTATAGGAAAAAATTAACTTACCCAATTTTTTATACATATTGATCTCTTCTACTGATTGTGACACCTCAATCGCGATTTCAGTGGAAATGATTGTCGCGAAATAGTTGGCCCTGCGAGGGGCTGTTTAAATATAAATCAAAGAAACCATCGAATTACATTTCAAAATATGATATTACTAATGTGCTAAAATATTCAAATTTGTTAATTAGGCAATACAGTAACAGAAAAATGTTACTGTTGTTTTAATAATGTAGATTTTTCCGATGAAGTTATATTTATTAGGATAACAATGAAGTAACAATCATGATATTTTAATAAACAAACAATTTCAAGCATACAATCGATGCTAATTTATTGTAGTCTACAGAATTGATGGTGTGAAAAATAACTAATTGTATTCATAACTCTATACTTATGAAACAGATATGGTATGACCGCAATAGTTAAGACTGTTTTGTTGTGATAAGTTACAGCGGTTTAATTAGCAGTTGGTATCTTCAAAAAACTTTTGTGTTAATCCTAATTGCTATATGTCTCATTATCCATCGAATCACATTCAGCATAAAGGGATAGTTACACTTCATTGCATACAAGGTGGGGAGGTACTGTGTATTATATTCCAATGCCTATCATATTTTGCCTCATTCATTTCTCATCTAAACTATATGACAGGGACAAGGGGCCGCATAAGTATCAATTTAGTCATCTGCAGGTTTAATAAAAAATGATGACGAATCTTGTTTTCTTTGCTTTGCATCAAAAGTTCCTTTTTCTGTGTCAATTAATTTTCGTTTGCCTTTTGAACGTTTCGGTACTTTTTTCTTATTAAGATATTTTTTTGCAACGGTTCCAACTAGAGTAGTAAATCTGTCTGCCATTTCCTCATCTGATATTGAACCAATACTATCTTCATCAGATTTTCTTTCTTCATCTTCAACTGCTTCATTATTCCAATATTTTGTCATTTTTTCTGTTAGTTTATTAAAACCTTGGAATGACATTCGTCCATATCTGAGATCACATAGTTCTGTTATATCTATTGTGTCATATTTACTGCATTTCTCAGATAAAGTTGGCAACTCAATTTCCCATTGTTCATCATTTATTATTTTCCCACTTGTCTCTTGAAGTGATTTATTTGTTTCCTCAGATTGACCCCTTTGCATAAATTTCATTCTCCGAACATGGATAGAAAGATCCATAACGAATCCTGAATGTCGGTCACAGGTGCTCAGAAAAACCAGATGTGAAATATGGAGTTAAGTTTTTGCAGTTTGAGTGTGAATATCTCTAATCAACAAGTATTCGAATGCCAAACTAACTAGAATTGGATATAATAAAAAAAAAGATATATCAATACAACATATAGCAACCATTAAACTACAATGTTAAGACTATGTAAAAAAATTATTTTGTTCTCTATGCCTCGTTTTGGTATCCAATATGTTGAAATAGTGTAACTTGCATAAAATTTTCAATAAAATTTTCAACAAAATTTTCAAATTTGCTGTTTTAAGACACCACTGATTGAATTTTGCTGTTTGTTCCATCTTACATGGTTGATTTGAGAAGTTGTATGTACGATACGAGTGTTGTGTTTTCAAAATAACGAAACAAATTGCATATATTTTTTTCCTATTTTTTTTAAAGAAAAACAGTTTCACATATTAGTCACATAACAATCAAAGCCTATCTGACAGTAATCTATCTAACACAGGGTCGGCCAACCTTTTTGGTCAAGGGCCACATGTAGTTCACTAATAATTTCACGGGCCACTCAACATGGTAGTTATGTTCTAGTTTTGCTACACTGACTACAGGTTAATGAACAAGCAAACAATACCCTCACACCAAACTTTCACAATTATTAGAATAATGTAACTGTTGTTTCCCAACCATTGATGGGTCACCATCAGTGGTTATTCCAAAGACAAGCCAAGACGCTTGATCATTTTTATCACAGCTCTCAACAAATCAATGCCTCCAGTCGATTCTTAATACTGTAATAGGGACAATGGCTGCCGGCTCTTCGGTAATTTCAAATCATTATTAACTTCTCGCAAGAAGATCGCCAACTGAGCAGTAAATTTGATGTCAGTGCTTTCGCCAAGCGCCACGGGATACGATGAAAATTTTCCCGCTTTTTCAATTAAAGTTTCCGCTATAGATTTCCCAGACTCTTCAACACGACGAGTTATGGTCTGTCTTGACAGGTTATTTTTGCAAAAACCTCCTTTATTTCCGGACGTAAAACATTGACAACCCGAATAATACATAATATACATTCCTTCGATTGTTTTGAGATAATATCGTATAGCAGTATAGAGTAGTAAAAGACCAAAAGTGTAAGCGACTTTGGCACCTTTATGTATCGATATCTCCTCCCAGTTGGTTTCGATTCAAAATGGCACCCATGGCTCGTTTGAAAGGGCTGGCAGAGCGCATTTTAAAAGAATGAACAAATCGTTTGTATCACATCTTTACTCAATTTTTTTTATTTAATTCTGAAAAATACAGCGCGGGCCACTCTAATCGCTTCTGCTGTTCTGGCCCGCGGGCCACAGGCTGGACGACCCTGATCTAACATGTAGGCTATGTAGCGTACTTGCTAGCAAACATCTACAGGAGTGGTGACTCCTCTACGGCCCATGGGCCGGGGCCACGGCCCATCTAATTGGGCCACATGGGCCGTGGCCCATAGCTTGATGGGCCGCAGAGGAGTCACCACTCCCACTCGCAAACATCTTGCGAGTATTACACAAACTGACAAATGAACCGAAAAAACAAGCACACAATAAAGTAGAAATGAATCATCGTTTCTTGTTTGTGGCATAGGCCTACACTGATACAGTTCAAATGTCCTATTATAGCCTATTGGCTTTCCACTCGAATTCTTAAAATACTTTGATTCTTTGTAAATCTATCATATTTAACAACGTTTCTGTAACAACCTACTGCTATATGCAATACCTGCATTTGTATGCACAGATGCATGCCCTGGTCTTGTCGGACAGTAAACGCACGTCGCACGTGTTGTTGTTGTCTACTGATGGGGTAACGCATGGGTTATTATTTATACGCTTTGGGTTAACGGGTTTGTTGGTTTATTGGCCTTTATACTTAACCCTTAACGACCCTTGACCCCCCGAAATTGATCTTAATGAAATCAAAAGTGTAACTAATAATAATTATTATAACGTGAAGCAATTACATTGCTGTTACCATTTTAGTTGATCAATGCTTTTGCTTGTTTTGTGACAATGGACATTTGTTAGTGTACCAAGTATTTACATATGAAAATTACCTGGTGATCAGGGGTTTATTCGACGATCTGAAGACGACATCAGAAGCACTTTGTCGAAAATGAACCTTAATTTCGAAAAAAGGGCGTGGAGCCTGATATTCGGGTGTTTTAATTGTAATCGGGGTCATATTTTCAACCTCTTTGAAGACGGAATCTATATTCTCCGGATAATTTTACACTTTCAATGGGGATAATAGTTCTCAACAAAACCTAAAATAAGTTTACCAATCGTTCTTAATAGCATATTATAAAAGCTTGTATAAACCAAAGTTTGTGTTATCAAAATGTTATTTTTTAGATGAATTCGATGTAGATATTTTTTTTAACCTGGGGTATGATACATGAGATGAGACATAAATCTGGCACAAGTTGGGCCAGAGTAAGGGGAATTCCCTGAGTTCCCAAGATTTTGTGAATGGGTTGGAGTTGTGCGCACATTTCTTGCATTCGTTTCAGCATCGCGGGGGAGTTTTGTATAAAGCAATCGGAATGAAGCGTGCACTTAGCTTATTACCGCATCTACCTCGAATGAGATTATATTGTAGTGGTTTTCGGTCGTTTTCAAGCAATCTTGCAACTTCAATCTGCAAACAAATCAAGTACTCTGGACCGATTTCTGTTGCACAATACATGAAAGAAGTTTTAACAACCCCCCATGCAGTAAGTACTTTGATCTGGTTGGAACTCAAAGTTTGGGGTATGTTTTGTTTTGAGGCATCTGATTTTGGTCATCTGAAGTAATTTTAATATCAAGCTTTCACTATATCTTTTTATCAATCCATATTGTTTATGATGGACTGCATAATTACTGAAGATAATATGGGAATGCTATTTCCATGATATCGTAGATCTTATCATATCTTCGTTTACACCAGGGATATTATGTTCATAAAGATATGCTGGGGAGACAAGGAGATTTTATTACTTCGCCAGAATTAAATCAAATGTTTGGAGAGGTAAGCATATTAGAATTAAATAAATGCTACACTTTTTATTTTGCAAATTGATGACTTTCTCACTCAACTTTTAATACCCAGAAGATTCATGGTCTCTTCAATCAACTTTTATCTTACAAATCCATATAGCATCCAATTAAGGCTCAAGTTTGATGCATTTGAATGTATGTAGTGTCAAGATGTAATGGTCTCATAGTTGAAGCATTAGACTTTCGACTACAATGGCATCACAGTTTAAAATCTCAGGCTGCTAATACAGAGCCTTGTTCAGAGAAAGATGCACATAAATACAACATATCAATTGTAATATCATCTCTAACTAATTACATCTCCTTGTTTCAGCTGATTGCAATCTGGTTTATTAATGAGTGGAGTGCTTTGGGATCACCAAAAAGTTTCCGATTTGTTGAACTTGGCCCTGGACGAGGAAGTTTAGCAGATGACATTTTGAAGCAATTTAAGCATTTTGAACAAATATTTAAAGATGTTGACATGTCTTTCCATTTTGTTGAAATAAGCAAAAGGTTGTCAAATATCCAATATGAAACTCTTTGCGATGGAAATTTGATGGACTATTTAGATGAGGACAATTCAGAATATTATTTACAAGGTTCTGCAAAAAGAAACAATGTTCCATTGCATTGGCATAGACATATTGAAAATGTTCCAAGAGACAAATTCACTTTTTACTTGGCACATGAATTTTTCGATGCTTTACCCGTCCACAAGTTTGTCAAATCAAGTAAGGGATGGCGTGAACTTTATGTTGATGTCACACCAGAATCAAATGACGAGTTGTCATTGGTACAGTTGCAAGAAGAAACAGTCGCATCAAAGACGCTAATCAGGGTTTGTACTTCATTTACTACATATTTATTACCAGTAGGAATGTAAAAAAAAAGACTAAAATTTTGCAGAATCATGAAACACGAAGTCACGTTGAAGTATGTCCAGAGGGACGTACCATAATTTCTTCTATTGCAAAACAAATAGAAAAGAATGGAGGAGCTGGTCTAATCATTGACTATGGTCACACTGGAGAGAAAGAAGATACACTGAGGGTCAGTTATTTTCTTTCTAAACGGTAGAAGTAACTGAGATATCTATAGCTATTTATACAGTAGTTATTAGCAACTTGGTATATGATTATTTTGTTCATCTTAAAAATATCTTGTGTCTAATATTTCCACAGAGTTTCAAGGATCACAAGCTTAATGATATCTTTGATAATATTGGAGATGCAGATCTGACAGCAGATGTAGATTTTAGGTTCCTCCTGGACAACATTGAATCTATTGATATACAAAAAAGTGGACCCATAACACAGAAGGAATTTCTGACAAATATGGGTATAGAACTGAGATTAATGGTAAGAAAATAGGCCAAGTCGTATATTGAATTCTTTTTATACTCAAAGAATGTTTGGAAGGATTAATCTGGTATGTAATATAACCACTGCTACTATCAGAGTTATTCTATTTGTCACTTGAATCAGAAAGTTCTTGAGTAATATGGAAATGACAGGAGTTGTGAAGGTCAGATTGCTCCGTCATCAGATCTGCAACAACTCGGGCTATGAGTCTATGACACAAGGTCTATCACTTTATAGTGTGACTGTGAGATCTACATCAAGCTAGTATGAGGTCGTTAACCGCATTTCTATCTCTAAGAGAAACTTATCCTTTTAAGTTGGGGGACACGATAGATCTCAAGACTGCACCTGGGTAACCACTATAAAGTGGTAGAAATCATGCTATAGTGTCACCTAAAAATCAGTGTGGCTGGTTTAATGTGTTTTATTTTTTAGATTTTGCTCCAACATTGCAAAGATTCTGCTGAGAAGAAAAAACTCACTGATAGCTATAAAATAATGATGGATGAGAAAGAGATGGGAGAAAGATTTAAAGTGCTTGCATTGTCATCAAAGACCAGACAAACTGACTCACCCATCACAGGATTTTTTTCACTGACCCAAAACTCTTGACAGTAATATTCAAAATTTATGTTTTTTTTAATGTTTCTGATGGCAAACCTCCACGAAATAAAATAAAATTAATCAAAATCCTCTAGCAATTTTATTGTAATCATGCGATTGGGATGAATGCCGGTATTAAATTTCATATTTAAACATGAGCAATGGACACAAATATTATGGTATCTCAGATCTGTGAATCTTATTTAATTATATGGGATAACATACACAATAATATATAATTTCCCTTCTCAGTACATGCTTTGGTGGAATTTCTTCCTACTTGTCGCTATTGGACGAGTATCACATTACATTTGTGATGATGCACATGTAGATATCTTCACTCATGGATACGTGCAACCACAAACATCTGCACCGCTTAAAAAAAATGAGTTGAGTGATAACGAACGACCATGGGTGCAAAATAATGTAACTTCTCATCTCCCAGTTACTTTCGTTTATACAACATGTTTAACATACCAACAAAATTGTGATTATCAAAAAGTTTTATTCAAATATATACAACTCTACATAGTTTACATGTTATGTTTACTAACAGCATTCATTGGTTTCAAGATACAGAGGAGTTTACAATCTACTGTGCAGTATAAAGCATAATAAAAAATTAGCACCACAATTAAAAAAGGTTGTCGAGCACAAATGATCCATAAAGGTACTTTTCATATTACAAGGACATATTGTTTTGTACAACCAAGATAAAGTACTGGTAATCTCTCACATCACTATTTCAAACGAGCACCACCATGATGAAACAAATGAGAATATAAATAATGATGCAGCAAAAAAGCTATTGAATTGTGAGATCAACAAGGCATGAGATATATGAAATCTTGAAGTGGCATTAGATAAAGAGTTTTGCGCAGGGTATGAAAAATTGTAAAAGAAACTCGTGCAAATGATACATTACAATGTTTTCAGAGTATACTGGTTGGAAGACATTTAACATGAGCACAAATGCAGACATAATTTAATATCAACAGATGGCTTCGATTGGAAAACAGATTGCTCACAACACACTATATAAAAAACAAGATACTGGAAACTTCTTAGTGAAATCATCAGAAAAAGGTTTCAACATATGGCAGGACTGATAGAACCATATAAAATACCACAAAGTAGAAACACCATCATAACAAAATCAGAAATGCTGATTACTAGTTATAATTCTTTGCTAATGTAGGCTATAAAATTGAAGTTGGGGGATACTCCATTAACAACTTCCCCCAAATAGTTAAAACGATTGGGATGAATAATCGTACAGAAAATCTATTTGGTATGGATTGGTAACACTATCAATATGAAGTCTGAAAACAATACAGCATGAATATTTCTTGGATTGTGACATAAAATTGTATCGTATGTGGTATCAGTTTATATTATGATCTATAATATTTATCACAATGACAATTCTAATGACATACTAAGAAGATAAAGGAAAACTTTCAAAATTACAAAAAAAAAAACAGGACAACCACACAAACATATAGTTCAAATGATGGTGAGATTCAATGAGCCCTAATAAATTCAAACAAGACACTAATACATATAAATGTAACCAGAAATTTCTGAATAATTGATTTTGAAATCATTACTAATATTTCCGAATCCTCATATTTGTAGACAGAAATTTTCAAAAAATTAAATTCGAGAAACATCAAATAAGGTTGAATTATGGATTTGTCAATTGATGACCATTTGATCGCCAGGTGATACAGCATGAAAAAAAAATTCTGAACAAACACTAGAAACGTAATCTGTGATTCTTCATACATTTTTAGCCTAATATTTTGAGGATCAGATGATGAAATTGCATTTAATATTTAAATTTCCCAGTTTTTGTTTTCGTTTTTCAATGATCACACGAGTGAAAAACAAATACACAATAGTTGACTCTTTCCGCAACTCTATTAATGAAGTATCAAATTTGAAGTGGCCATACTCAGCTGTGCAAGGGAGACAAACTCTGACCAGACGAAGCAAACTGAATTTCGTATTTTACCTCATTAACAACAGCAGCGAACAGCTATTGAAACAAGTAACTTTTACAATGACTGAAGAAATTGTTATATTTGCTTGGTGCCAAAATAGTTCTCTTCTGATGAAGATAATGTGCTTTTTCAAAATTGTTTTTTCTATGTGCTTACACAATATTATTTTTTATGGACATATATTTTTATCAATTTCTTGATCTGCAGTGCAGAAAAAGACATATGATAAATAAAATGTGACGATCATCGAATATTTTTGGTTTTGATGAGAGTGATCAATTCTATACTAAATATTAACTTCTAAAAATCATCCATGTTCCTGACTTTTGTTTGTCGATCGACAAATTAGTTTATTTGTCCGTCTGTCATAAGCTGATCGCCTTGTTGGCAAAGTGACTTGCAGATCTTGCATAAAGTGGTGACAATAGAGCTTTGTATGCAAATTCTATTAGACGATTTGTCCTTTTGATCTTATTTCAGCATATTCCACAGGTTCATGATACGGAGGTCTTGTTCTTGGCTTTCCTGCTGGAAAAAGAAATGTAGTATTATAAACTTTTATGAAATATTGAGAATTAATTAAAAATATAGCAGGTAGCATTATCATCTTATAAATGCACTCCTTTATATTGAAGGTATGGAAACGGAATTAAATTTGCCTAACGGTCATGCACACTCACTCAGAAATAATGAAGATCGATCTCCGAGAAGAGTTACATGTTTTTACGTGTTTGAGTTTACTTACTCCTCTACCCGACCTGTTGCTTATGAGGACCAAGCAAACAATCAAGCTTAAAATGCACCAACACCTTATTCATTGTCTCCCAAATGCCAATAAACTCTTCAAATTCTATCAGATTGGTCATTAGGGCCATGAGATTGCTATATTGTAAAAAAGGTAAATTTGCTATTATCAATTAACACTGCCATTCAAACTCCAAACGAATAATATGACTTGATTCAAAATGTCAATCGCGATGTTGCTTCCCCTTCAAGTTACAGATAATACAACAGGCAGATAATAATACAGAATAATCTAATTCATCTCTTATATCTAAGTTGTATTACATAGAATTGGCAGTACACATTTTAAGTGTTTATAATAAAAAACAGGTCCTGTTCGCAGAGGAAAGTGGAACGTTGTACGAGGAAAGTGGAACTTGAAATATGAATATCTTATTGACATTGCAGACACTGGTAAGATTAGATAGATATCTCAAACAGGATGGAGATTCAGAAATTTTTCCGAAACTTCAAATTAAAACATGGGATATAGGGATATAAAGTATATTGTACAAAGCACCTTGGATAATCTCACTTTGTGACAAAGAATAAAATTGAAAAAAAAAAAACAGATACTTTATGATGGGGTTTTGTGTAAGCATTGTGATAATATACAAATATAAGGTAAAAAAAACACTATGAGATAGTCGCCAACTAGCTTGGGAGCTTAATCTTGATATATCATACTAATGCCAATCAAGAACGTACTGAATCATCCCCATTATTTTAATATATTAAGAATGATTGAACGACCAAAGAGCCCCAGAGTACTACTTCTTCACAAACATTCATATCAGCAAAATTTATTGGGGCTGAACAAGACAATATCGCAAACAAAAGCAGAGAAAGCATGAATGCTTAAAAAACATAAGATCGTGTGGCCGAAATTGAGCAAAAATAAAACAATACACAAGTTTTCTCACCATTATATTCATGATCAATACTTGCATATTGAACAGTGTTGTCTGTGTATGGTGGAAGATGTCCTTCATGATGTGGTGGTTCCTATAGATAAACAGAGGAATATGTTTAATAATGTATACCTGAACTTCAAATAGGAATCCCATGAATGAAACAGGTTTTTGTCCATTATAGAAGCTTTTCCAGGGATTTATAAGCGTTTAGGTGGGTGACCGTACATTTGAACCCACGTACATTTGAACTCATGTGTATATTCGCGGGTTCAATCTATATGCGGGTACAAAACCCATGGGTTAGGGTTAGTATTGGTTCAAATATCCGTAAAACAATAAAAATTTCTATAGGTGCAATAGTATGCCGGTGCAATCGTCGTGGGTTCAAATGTAATGGAACCGTTTGGGTGACGTTAATCAATGGTGATTGGTGACTAAAAATCTATTACAGAAATTTTATTGGCAAACAAATCATTGTAACCATCAGAGAGGTTACGCAAGACAAACTCCCAATTCTTCCGCAATGTCTTTGAGCTAGTGGATACGTATGTGTATAATGCAAGGATGCTGTAGCATTATTGATGTTTTAAAACTATAAAGAAAACCAGAAACTACAAAAAGTGAAAACAAACAATATTACAACTGAACATTGCTTCAAGAATGATATATCTCACATCATATCTAGGTTGATATCCAGGATATCTGTCTTCAGGTAAATCATAAAATCTATCGTCATCTTGTGGATGACGTTGATCCGCCATCAAATGTGCATCATCTTGATCATATTCATCCTGTGGTGTACACACATAAACACAATCGTGAGTGCGATTCAAAGTGGAAAACAAAAATAAAGAATAAAACAGCAATCACAATTAGTGCAAAGATTCCAATTTACTGAAACAAGACAGCAATGATTAATTATATAAAAACTAAAGCCAATTATCTAACATGTCAAATGTTATTAAAAAAAGTAGTACTGAATGTCATTTAAAGGTGTGCCCGTAAAGAATAGTAATATTGTTTTTCTTACAGGAGGTGCCAATATTTCACCACAAATTTTGTTGAGTTTTCGAAATCATGGGTACACTTTTCATATGATACTCGGTACAATTCTTGAGTGCAGTTCAAAGTATTTTGTGGCGTCTGGAGCTGCCGCAAAACCATGGCGGTATTCCCAAACCATGGCCCCTATGGTCAAGCTCATGGCGACCGACTTTTTAGCTGCCACAAACCAATGGCAGGCTGCTGTTACCGTGGCAGCAAATTGAAACCCAATGGCGGGTAAAATTTTGTTGCCGTAAGCACGGCAGGTTGGCCGTAAAGACAGGGATGCCCCTGATGGTGACAAATATTGGATAAGTTTTTTTATGGATACAGTTTTACTGGATTTGGGGTTGGGTTTCAGGTTTAAGTAGATATATTTCCGCATGATAAACAAAAATCTGGCACATAACTTTGTGAATATACAAGTAATAGCGCCATAAACCATGGCAAGAGATGCCGCGGTTTGTTCGTGGCAGGAGCTGCCATGAAGTGGTAAGACTGCAACTCACAATTTTTTTAACCTTTGGCAAATCATATCAGTCATTTGGCCTTCGACACTTGTAGCGACTTCTCTCATTATTAAGTAAAAATTGGTCATTAGTAAAAGAAAAGCGACAACAACAACAGTTTAACAAAGGATTCATAGATTCAAGTCCCAATACCAATGGTTAAAATAGTGAGCATGGTTGTCCTGCCTTCGGCAGCACATAAACCTATTTATAATTGCAATGAAATTTCATCTCACATCTTCATAATATTCTTTAGGAGGAACTTCATAATGTGGATCTGATGTTTGTGGAGTCCTCGGAGCAGGTTCGGGTTGTCGATAACCTCTGTTCTGACTGTTTCTGTGAGGTGATGTACTGGGTCTTTGTCTTCGATGCTATGAATGATTAATCATAAATATGAACAAAAAACAAAATGCCAAAATCCATGTTGTTGAATTGTAAAACGACCCCCAGAGTTTGTGACAATTTTGAAAATGAGATTCCGACTCAGAGTAGATTGTAGCAAAAGCATGTCAAATTCTGACTCCACAATGCTGGTATTTACTACTTTTCAAATAAAATTTGAAGTAAATTTTCTTTGCATGCAACCATGAAGAATTATTTTACAAAAGTTGAATAAATCCAAAATACTTGATATAAAATTTTCAATGAAAAGAGTAAACATGAATTAAAAAACAAAATTTAAAGTGAAGCAGGCAGACTGTTGATTGAAGCCAAATAAAAAATACCTTTGCTTTCTTCAAAACTATGAGCATATTATGCATATTCCATGAAAAAAAAATAAAAAAACAAGCAAAATATGATATGAATGAAGTGTAACTGTAAGATGTCACAAATGTAAAAATAAAAACTCAAAATATAAATATTCTGAACAAAACGCAACACAAATGGTTCTGATGTAATACATACTTCCGCTACAGAGTTCCTCCAATATGGCTGCATAGTTAAAAAAGCAAAAACATATTTATGAAAGGGAACAACACACATATATATATAAAGCCATACAAAACCACTATCCATATTTACTTAGTGACACAATCGTAAAGAAAAACCACCCACGTAAAAGTATGGTTTACACAGAGTACACATCATTTCTATCTAAATGCCATGTTACTGATGTGTGACCATCTATATTTATAAGGGCATGGTTACACCATTATCAGAAGTGGCCGTTTTTACCAGGTGCTGAAACTTCGAGTGGACCACAGACTATGATAATAGGGCCCCTTTTCAACATTATACAGAGTGTTCTATGTTCATAAACTCCTGTTACAAAATTTTGATATGATATTTAAAGTTTTTTTTATCTTTTACTTTGATTTAATACATCTTTATATGCCTACCATTGCATGAAGCACATTCAAGTTCTTTTACCTAATTTAATACAGAACATTATTACCACCCTATATTATGCAAATACAACTAAAACCCAAAAATGTGAAGAGTTTTAGGTTTGTTTTATTTCATTCAAAAAGATCATGGGTTAATATTTGATGTGAAACTCGCTTGCAGAGAAGAATTGAAAAAGCTTTATTTATTATGGATATTTTGAGGTGAGTGTAATGTCCATATTTACACATAGATAGTGTGAAGAAGGGTATGGATGAAATGAATGCAAATAAATATTCAGCACTTATTTAGACGTACTCCCGTAGTGTGTGTATCAGGTTAGGGTTAGGCCATAATTTTAGTTCTATTACGAGTTCTGGGACTGTCTGTGTTAGCCAAGTGAATATGTCCCAGTGCCCACAGGCTTTTGTGCCTTTACACAACTTGATGTGAAGTAGGCCAACAAAATTAGTTACCTCCATATTGGTATACACACTTCTGGAGCACCCATTTATAAGAGACATCTATAAGGCAATATTTATAATAGATGTTTTATATTCATTTTCTATTCAATCTTAAGAAATACATTAGAAATTGATTTTTTTCTCCCATCATTAATAATAACCTCGTATTTGATTCGAAGTCAAGTGTAGCACTAGTTAATTAATGGGTAACAGGCTGCTATAAAGATTAAGCTACGATTTTCAAATTCCATAGACAACATTTATTATTGGTTGTAAATCTTGTGAAATTGCCTGAGGCTGGAGAGAAGTTGTAATTAGTAGTAAACTCTCACATACTATTGACATTTATATGACACAAACGATTACAGCACAAACATTTCGGTTATATATTTTGTTGAACAAAAAATATTTGATTTTGATTCAATCAAACATAATAGACCTTTTAAGTTTTTAACAGAGGATAAAATCTGTGCTATATCGTCAAAATGTTTTTCCTACTGAATCATCTTCTCTGGATATGTAACTATGTTACAATAAGATGTAGAACTAAGATTTGATCATTTTAGATCGGCTCAATTTTCATATAAGGTATGTCCAAAATAAATCAAACAGAATCAAACATATTCAATATCGTATAGTCAATATATATTTTAATTTTAAAATTAGTAATTTTGAGCAGCTGACAATTACCATAGATAACAATAGAAAGGGGGAAAACCAATAGAACAATGTTTATCTTGACTTCCCTATTCACTATAGTATCATATTCATATAAATTTACAATAGCAAGCATATTTGTGAGTTGTGACCTTATGTAAAATCATTGTCTAACTTCTCCGGACAAAACAAGATATAAATTACTTAAACAGTAAATGAAGGAGAAAGGACAATACACCGTAGTATTAGTTCGATACACAATATCATAGTGCGCTCTAATTGAAAAATATATTTACAATGTGAATATAATATAGTATATTACTCAGTGTTGGACATCACTGTCCTAGACAATTACAAAAAACAAACTAAAAAAAATTTACCTGGAAATTGACCGAGTTTTTACTGACAATAGCTCCTCCAACATCTTCATCATCAACACCAGTTAATGGACTATTCAAGTCCACATCGTGACCTTCCGTGAACTCTTCCACATCGGACTGACTATTGTCACTGGCATCGTCTTCTTCTTGGGGAGGTGGATGGGATGGACTTGGTGGTGCATTTTTATTCAAACTTTCATTTGCATGCTGAATGATAGGTCGACCAGAAGAACGACTCCAGCCACTTAATAAAGATAGGATTTTTCATTATCAACCCTAGAAAGAGGCAATAAGAAGGCTTAATCATATGTCAAAACAAAGCCTCTCACCGAAAAAAAAACATAACCCAAGTTATCTGGAACATATTCTAGAGAGAACATAATATACAGAGAGTAAAAATCAGTACAATACTAATCGTTTTAGAAATACAAACTTATTTAAATTGTTTTTTTTAGTATAAGTTATGTATGTAGCAAGCAAGGTTGGGGAGCCTTATCCATGAAGCCATGACATTTCGTTGGAGCAGCAGTTACCAGAAATTTTACTGGCTCCAGATATGGTGCCAGAGCCCAGCGCACACGGCAAAATATGAAGCTCCGGAGCCGAAGCTGGAACCACTGTAATTTCGAATCAGCGATGTTACAAATATAATAACTAACAAATAAAGATTCCCAATTGTTGGTTCACTTAGTAGATCTGCCTGTTGAAATGTACCCAGGAACTGTTGATCAAGAGAAACATTAATGATCAAAACGAAGAATGAGTTACATTGCATTGCCTCATTTATAAAATTAGCAGATGACACTCACCCCTCGTCATCTTCAGTGGGTCGAACCATTTTGTTTGGGTTATAAGGACCCGAGTCCTTTTCTCTATGTTTTCTGATGAAAAACCAGTAGACAAGAACACCAATGAGTAATAATATAACAAGGCTTCCAACAACAGCACCAACAATTACTCCAGTGTTTGATGTATTTACAACTGAAAAACAATTTTTTTAATTACATTTTGATGACGAAAAATACAGAACAGCAATATAAAATATAGCTCAGAACAGAATAGTAAGAAAGGAAGTTTTTCTGATGTGTCTAAACCAGTGTTTCGCGGGCACTAATAATTTAAATTTTCCATTGCCCCCTGCACTTGCAATAAAAAAACAACCATTTTTGTTTCCAGCTGGTCTCCATCACTCATTTTATTTGTTATGTTAATAAAAAATATTTAAATATGCCATCATCGCGAATGGTGCCCACCAGAAGGCTTTGGAAACTTGCCAAAACTACCTTCCCCATCAGTAACATATAATTAATATTGAACTGCAAATTGAATTTTTTTTTTAGTTCAAGATCAGCGTTCTTTTGCAAAATTATAGCAAAATCCTCAAACCCTATATCATCATTCCATTCAATGAATGTTTTTTAGGTAGAAAGACAATTAAAGCCTTTGAAGAATATTTGACCTAACTAAGATTATTTTATCCCCTGTTATATTACTAGAAGATTTAATTAATAAACAAATAATGCCCTCGCTAATAAGATTTATCAAGTCTAATCTCTTGTACAAAATGATAATCAATTAATCAATATTGAAGATTAGAAATGCAACATGCTGTTTTGTTACATTAAAAAGATGGCAGATTAATAGCTAGCATATTACAGAGAAGATTATTGGAGTACTAGACAGAAATAAAAACAGCATAGTATCCTTAATTATTACTCAAATGATTATTTATTTAAGATTTTCATGGGGGATAATCATATTTATTTAACAAAAATGAAATGGGCGATTGTTCAATTCACAGTGAATTCATAATGATTTAAACCAGTGGTTCTCAACCGGGAGCCAGTGGCCCCCTAGGGGGGCCACAAAGCAGTTCAAGGGGGGCCACGACAAAAGGCTAATGATTTATTATAAAGCGACTTCGGTTGCAAACTTTTCATTTAAAAGAAAATTCCACGTTCACCTCAGTTTTATTACTTCAGTCTATCTATTTTTTCTGATCTTGTTACCAACAAAGCAAAATCTAGGAACCGTCCTGATGTTGACAGTGACAATCACCTGGCTATATCAAAGGCGGTGCCTAATATAAAGAACCTAGTCAGACAGTCCCAAGCGCAAGATTTCCAATGATCGTTTACTAATCTAAAAAGCATTGACTTTTTTACCCATGGTTTGTTTTTGCATTCTATAAAAGGTCGCAAATACATAATACAATCTAACACGTCAATTTTTTCAGAATGACGAACAGGGGGGCCACGAGTGCAAAAAGCCTCCGAAAGGGGGCCTCGAGCCGTAAAAGGTTGAGAACCACTGATGTAAACACAATCATTTCTTACAATAACGGATTAATATGATTTTCTACTTTTGATATACTCAAATAAAACTTGTTTAACTACGTATAAATCCTTATTTGCACACATTTTTATTTAATTTTTGTATTTCCATTTTATACATTCTCAAAAAATTTTTTTTGTTTATTATTCATTTTGAATTCAAACTTGTTTTTAAAAAATGAAAATATTGCTTAAAATGTAACTAAAACATAATAATTATAAAAATTTATAATTCATTCATTGTGTATGTTTTGAATTTAAAATTGTCCAAAAAAAATTAAAACTAAGAGAACACTAATAAGAGTAAAACAGACCTTTATTCTGATAATGATAAAAAATAATAGACAAATCATGCATCATAAATTTGGTGCGAGTTACCAGCTGTGCGAAACAGTAGTGGTTTCCATATTTACATTGACAATACACAGCTGAATGCCTTCTCCAAGAGGAATCACATTTCTCCTTTCATTGGAAAATTATTCATCAAAATAAAATAGACAGTAAAGTGGAATGAAATCATAATCCAATCAGGGGTGATATAGGCTCGATCAGAAATGATTTCTCTTAACGCAAAGACAAAACATGATATAATTTTCACTTTTACAATTGAGAGTAATCAGGTGTAACGCTTCCCACCATTGTGAGTATAGTAATAAAAGGAACTACCATTATTTAGGAAGTGAATTAAATTTCACTTACAGGTTATAGCTCTACAATCGAATATGTAATATTCGCTATTCAAGTCTCAAGATTATGTTGGAGTATCATATTAAAAATATTTGTGGTTTATAGCTTGCAATATTCCATACCACAAAAATGCTCTGCCATAACTATCTCATATTTTGAACTTAATTTTTATCAAAAATTATTAGTTTATCTCGATAGATCTCAGACTTTCATGATCGGTTGCCCCGTAAAATACCTAGATTTGCTGTCAACATAAGTAACATCAGTTATTTATGTGCCACATTTAATGATAAAAAACTCGGTAATGAACGAAAGCAAAGGAATAAATGCATTTCAATCAAAGGATTAAACAAATCCGTTAATTTATTTTAAAAATTTAATATAATCATCGGAAATAAGACCCAATGAGGCTTTTGCCTGTAGCCCACACAATACAACTGCTTCATAGCCTCCAAGGGGGTCCTAGCACCCAGTTTGAAAAACCCTGATTTTTCCGAGGTCATAGTAACTTGGCTATCGATAATATCAATATAAACAAAAAAATACAGCTCCAGTAATAGTTGACTACGACTAATATACATCTAGAAATTTACCATATAATTTTAGACACCATATTTTAATCTTACATTTCATCCTTTCACTAATGTGTTATGTATGATTTAGTCAACTCTAATTAAAACAGGGTACTGAAATTTTTGTATTGTAAAACAAAAGAGCAATGGTCAAAGAAGGCGAAAACGAAGTAGCCTTCCTTATCAAAAAACTCAAGACTTTCACTAACCATCAGATCGCCGAGATCCGACCGCGTAACCGCAACATGGTGAAAGATTTTAATTTTGATGGCGTCATCCCCTAAAATTTCAAAGTGATAGACAAATTCCATAACGGCCCCGGAAATTTTCAAATAAATAAAAGGAATAGCCTTCTAGCGACTTCAATAATATTTAACCACTGAAAATTTCAAAGCAATTTGTCCAGTATCAACTTTGTATCCAATAAAATCTTTTTTCAATTGAAGCCGATTTACCATTTTATTCATCGGACCAAATTTTACTTTCTTATGAAATCATGTTATTAAAAACTAAACCAAGCTGAAAGAACTTAACTGTGAATAGATCCTGATAATTCAGCTGAAAACTTATTAGAAATAAAATTAAAACCTACTCACTTTCTACATATGAAACTGCATCTGCCGTAGTGATACTGCTGCTCGTTGCAGAACCGATTCCGTTTGAAGCTGTGCAAATGTAAGTATCATTTTGTCTTGCTGGATCGCTTGGAGAAATAATTGGTGCAATATCCGAATCTTGAGTAGTAACTCCATCAGGCATAGTCCATTTTATAGTTGGAGGTGGATTTGAATCCGCCGTGCACTTTAGTTGTGTTTTGTCATTGATAGGTTCAATTAGTGGCACACTGGGTGGATCTTTGAAATTAAAAGATTATACAAATATATAGTGATCATTTGCAAGCAATGACATTGCCCAAAGTTTAGGATTCATGTTTAAACAAAAAAAATAGTTGAGAGACAAATGAGCTCAAAAAGCAGAATATACTGTAGATACGAATGACCGTCTTACTTTTTAGGAAAATTTTCAAGCAAGATCATGTACACTCACTCAAAAGTAAGGGAGATTGGTCTCTGAGTGAAGGTACATGTGAGCACTGAAACTATATAGAATTATGCATTTTGGGAGGCTCCAGACGTGTGTGTACCAATATGTAGGTAACTAACTTTGTTTGCCTACTTTACATCAATTTGTGCAAAGGGACGGAAGCCTATGGGCAGGGGGTATATTCACTTGGCTAATACAGACAGTCCCCGAACTTGTAATAGAACTAAAATAAGGAAAATGGGAATAAAATTATGGCCTAACCCTAACCTGGTACACACACTACGGGAGTACCCATTTCAGTATGTATCCATTAACATGATACTAAAATTAGTACAAGTTAATAGGGTCAGGTAAACAGCTATAGAGTAGCGAACTCCACATAAATGAAGGTATATGAAACATATGAAACATATAGAATTTATCTTTAACATTCATGTTTAATATTTGTCTGTCATTATGAAAAATTGAGAGCCAAAGGAAACAGCTTGCCACAAGTTTATGAATTTAAATTCCATTGACGAAAACCAACAACATTCATAAGAATTCTAGTGTGACGTAAATCCTAGACTACTTGATAATGTATGGTTAAAAGTTTTGAATGATGCTCATTATGTACACAAAGGTACTTGACTCGCATTTTGGAAATGAGATATGTACGCCATTTATACATTTATACAGTCAGGGTGGAGTGCCAATATAGACAATAAAATATTAAACTTTATTACAATAAAAAATAGCTTTTTTCAATTTAGTGTAAAATATCTGTCTATTTTCTAACTATAGTAAATAGTCAATAGATATAGTCATACATCAAAACTTCATTGTTTGTTAGATATAAATTGAATTAATTTTTCCAGGACAGTCAAAATAGAACAATATCAGAAAATGAACAATTTATCATTATTTGATTTTAAAAATATGTTGATTCATACCCGAAAATTTAAAAATTGGCATCTTTTGTTTCTGGATAAAAAATGTAGGAATAATTGACTATATTTCGAACTTTACCAATTAATCCCTAATTTAAAAAAAAAATCTTATCGATTATTATAAAGTTGAAGACATCGTCATCTCGTTTTCAAATGAAAACAATTGAATACTAAAAAAAACTTACAATGTACATTGAGCTTGATCATTGTCACATTGTCTTGCTTTAGAGCAGGATGACTAATTTTACATAAAAATGCTTGGTTATTGTAAAATTTAGTTGGAGCTAACTTCAATGTAGAAGTTACAGTATTTGTGCCAGAATCTGAACCAGGTTGAGTTGCCCTGAAATACAAGTTATATTTACTAATAGATTGATTCAACAATACAAAAATGATGCTCACAAAAAAGCAATATAGACAACACAGGTTTAATATCAATAAACATAATCGGGACTACTCTATGGAGTGAGGTCTATTGCCTAAATTCAGCAGAAAACCTTGCGTTATAATACTAGCTTGAGATAGATCTCACACTTATGATAAGGAGCTGAAGCAAACTATGTTTTGAGTGCAAGAACCAAGCATATCTCAAACAGTTTTTTGCAACTATTTTGTTTGCTGTCACATTTCAACGATGAACTACTCTATAAATAAGCAAAATCACTGCTTTTAGGCTAAATATGGCAGTAGAACTTTCGATATGGTGGCACCAATTTTCTATTATTTGACAAAAACAATGAAGACACTTTCTCATTGTCTGTCATTCACCATTATTGTGTTGCATTCATTGATTTTTAGATACAGAAAACTTGGAAGTCACGAATTTCAATCAAGTGAATACATTAACAAGCAGATTGCTGAATAATTAATGCCTGATTTGGGAAGAGACAACAGCAGATTGTGAGAGTTATTAAAAGGTTGAAAGATTTTAACATGGGAATAATCAATCAATAACACATCATTGGACACATTGCTCGATTTAACCTTATGCATAGGACTGAGAATTTCAGTGAAAATATTTTAACCTTTATCCAAGCAAAATTAACCTCTTATGGGAACATAATATGGCATAATTTAGGCATTTTGGTATAAACTTGCCGTATAAATTTGAAGCGATCACCACTAATTACCGAAAATATTTATTTGCTAATCTTTCGATAACATGAATACAAATTCAATGGTCGTTCTTAAAATTACTGTCATGCAATTTTGATTGAACCATGTGAAGAACTAGCTAATTGGAATCAAATATTATTCTCGAATTGAACTCAATATGATTGTGCAACCCTAAATCTGTCTTTTTTGTATAATGAAACTCCCACTTCAATTCTGTGATAACATATTTGCAATTACACCTAAAATATCGCTGAAATTTTGCTTAACTATGTTTCCAGAGGTATAACAGGAGATCTCCATAAACTGGTCAAAAAATGTACAGGTCTCACTGCCCGATTTCCCGATGTACTTTATTGTACCACACGATTGAATTATTCACAATTTAGCCACAAAATAATCAATAATTTTCAATTCGATTTTCAACATTTGGTTCCCTCGGACAGTTCTAATCATGGACACTGTATTCTGAATGATTTAACTACTCCCAGTATTAATTATGTTACAATTTTCAATTATGGCATTAATATTGATGTGTTCGAAGCAGGTGTGACCAAGGTGACATCATTCAATCTGCAAAAAGTGGGAAACCACCTGGCAATGAGCAATAGGTCAGGTGACTTCATAACTGAAGCTAAATATAAATGATACTGAAACATCATATACTTACGATGTATCATTGAAAAGCAGTCTCTCGTTGAACCATTCTACTGTGGCATCAGGTTTTCCTAGGCAAAATAGTAATATTTAGTACTCTACTTCCCATAAATGTACGGAAACGAAATAAATTAAGTCAAGCTATGAGATGGATTCATGATAAATTAACATGAAACCTCAAAGCGAAAAGTTAGTAAAAAAAATGGAGAATTAGAAAAGATGTTGAAACCAGGGCTGTAAAGGCGGATGAAAATTGACAAGTTTTCACAGGAGTCAAAGTTGAGATTTCAATCGTTTAATGGTATAAGTCAAAATTTTCTACACAAACACCAAATGCAATAAATTTACCAAATGTTCTTAAAAGTCTATTGGAGATGGCTTGAATTCACCAAAAATTATTGTTATCAAAATTTTGAATTTCTTTTTACAATCCAGAGTCAAAAGTTTTCTTAACTCAAAGTCTAAGTTGATATTATTTTCATCCCTGCGTGTATAATTTCCCTGGCTTGTCAAACCCTGATTAAAATTGTGAGAACATTTGTACTTTTTCACTTCGCTACAATTCAACAAATGACATGAGCGATGGCCTTATGGTAAAAGTAATAATGACAAACACGTTTAGTCCAATTTAGTAAGATCAATAACATAAAGTAAGAAAATTAAAATCAATAATTTCCCAACACATAAAATCAATGGGATAAATGAACAATGTAGTAAAGTTCGGGAATTCTAAAATATTGAACATAATGAACTGTAAAATTGTCTTCTAGGAACACTTATTAATGATATTTATCCTTATGTGGAAGTAACTACAAGTGGAACAGAATTGAACAAAACAGCAGATTCCACAAACACAAATATTATATCTTTTATCTTTTATTAAAAGAGCATAGTCGATCTTCTCCAGACAAAACAAGATATGCAATCCATGAATACAAATGATGAAGTGGTGCAAGAATAATGCCCTCCACAAAAAAGATGGTTCAAATGACGATAGGATCGGCAATTCGATGGATCACTTTAGGAATTTTGATCAGAATTTCCATTAGAGGAAAAACCCTAAATACCAGCTTCCAACCATTCATCAGGAACAAAAAATAAACAAACTATCTGCAAATTATATCAACATAGATAAAAGATTCACAACAGGCTTTATCTAAATTTTATCTTTGAAGAGCGCAAATAGAACAAAAACCTAAGTCAGTTGTAAGCTGCTATCTGTTTACCGCAGTATAAAAACCATGCCATAGACTTCTATAAAGTGTATACTCATATAATTACCATTCTTTGCAGTGCAGGATGCTACATTCATCATTTGTTCATCAGCAATAAGCGGGTTGATGATCAGCTTAGGTCCTTCAATGATTGGTGGAACTAAAATATAAACACTTTATCAACAATACACATGACACAGTAATTATTTTCGTCTTATCATCTGTGTGTTAGAGGATCGTATGATTGCAGAAAAATCATGATCAAATATATATGAACTTAAAAGTGAAATGACTAATATGGCGACCACAGTGTCATCACAATAGTAGACAAATCTTATTAGGTACAGAAAATTCTAAATCGATTGGTGCATTAATGGCAAAGTAAAGTTATTTTATCAAAACAACAATTAGGCAAAGTTATCCATCGACCATCTCCTAAAACAATCACACAGGATTCAAGAAATAGATTTTAATAAACAAGAATGAACAAAGAAAAATTCAATTTGTTATTAAAGAGACAAAAAACTTAGGATGAGATCTCGAATACATTCTAAATTAAGTCATTTGATCCAATTTATATTCAATGACTTTGAATCAGAAAACGTAGAAAATTTATGATAACAATGATTTGATTGACCCAATAAAATACAGAAATTTATATTTAGATACATACTCGTGTATGTAATGTACACATGTAACTTACCATAAACTACGAGGCTGCTTGATTCTTCAAGATTATTAATTATATCGAAAGATCTTACAATACAAGTATATGTTCCTTCATCATCAATTCTAATACTTGAAATAGAAACCGTATTTGCATCACCAACATTTGTTTTCAAACTAAAGGTGACTCGACCATTGAATTTAGAATCCAACACATTCACACTTCCTGAGTCCGGCTGAAATATTACAAACAATTTGAAATAAATGACTGAGCAATATTAAAGTTGGCTCACGTTCAATGACTAATACAGATGTTAATTAAAGCAAATTAAATATTTTTGAATCTGGAAATACAGGAAGGCTTTCAATTTTTTATAGACCTCTCTGGTCATATTGCTCAATTTCATAAATGATAACTTTTCTGTTAAGACTATTCTAACTGAATCAATTTTAAAATATATTTCAAATTGATTCAAACATTCAATTCATTTTGGACATCCATAGTAGGCAGGAAATGATAATACGTTGTCAAAAGTAAATAAATCTTCAAAACGGATTCAAGAAGATATTGTCTACATTAATACATACATTAAACTTTGCAATGACAGGGGAAGTACTAGTTGTCGGCGTTGAAGGCTTGAATTCAAGATCAACATAAAAATTGGTGGCAGGTTTTGTAAAACAAGGCATGGTAAAAACTTCCCCTCTATTCGCAGTCAGTTCTTCTGCATGGGATTTTGAAGCTAAAATATAAGAATAGTTAATCAATGGATCACTGTAAAATCGTAAAAAATGAAGACTCAAATTCACTGCTTCACAGCAATGTAATACAAGCAGAAATCACACTTTACTTAAAAATGTAAAATTTGATTTATTAAAGCAATTAAAAGCAAAGTTACTTACTATAAAGTATCATCAGTGCCAGGATAACTATCCGAACTGAAACACACACAAAATTTCTCATAATGAGCCACAAAGTACAAGCCTAAAGATCTAAAATGAAGATAGAATTGTTTCCTCAATAACTAAATAGAATTAACTTGAAATTGTAAAATATTCAAAACACATATTCACAAGTAGGAATGGTTATCAAAAATTACTAATTTTACATAGTTAATGATTAAAATTAATTTTGACTAGAATTGATTAGGGCCTATTCAATGTCTCCTGCAAAATCAACTAATAGTGCCTTCACTATTAATTTATTGAAATAAAAACTGGTGCTTCGTCAGCTCTGAACATGTTTGCTTTTTTTCTGTTTACAATTTCAATATACCGGTAATGCAAATAGTTACAACAAGAACAGATTTATGATCCACAAAACTATTTAAACAGTGACCTTTCCCCTCTCCTGGCCCTCCGAGCTATTGGGCACCGAATAGATAACAAGTACATAACCAAAGCAATTTATAAACTTTCGAATATTTAACTTTTAGATACCGATTAAAGTATGCAATATTCAGAGGCGCTGCACGTTATAACACTGTAACAATATGGGTTCAATACTACAATATCAGAATATGGTAAGAACAAATACATGAGCTCAATAGGCCTACTGCAGTAAGTCGTGCGGTAACAACAAATGCTATTTCAGTTTATTATGCGAAATAAAAATAAAATAGTTTAACCAGAAAATATGAAATTTCTGACTGTGCTAAGAGGTGTGCATCAGATCACCTTCAACAAACAAAATCTGTCAGTTTTTATGATCAAGAATTTTAAAACTTATGCTCCAGGGTTCTGTTAACAACAAGTTATTACCGTTCCAATGAATAGAATTATATCCAAAACAAATTGAGAACCATTTTTAACAATCTGATCCAATTTGTTTATGAAACATACTGACATAAATGTCACATTACACTACAGCAGAGGTGGGCAACTTTTCTGAATGGGCCAGGTACAGATAATAGACTTGATGACTGGGCCGGAGGTTCAAAACTCAATATGAAAAACTATGAATAAAGAACAGTTTATTTACAACAACTACTGAACTAGGATACCGGTAACTTTTATATAATAATAAGAAGCGCAATATAACAATCAAGGACATTATGACGTTATTTTCAACAAAAATTTATATTCATAAAAAGTAAAAACTATAGTCAGTCGTAATTTCAGCAGACACAAGTGGGCCGGATGAAACAATCAAGGGGGTGGATCCGGCCCGTGGGCCGTAATTTCCGATTTGTCCACCCCTGCACTACAGTAAGCATGCTTCAGTTTATTTCGAATTTTCCGTACTGTACTTACTCTTACAGTCTTACCAAATTCGACAAAAAATCATTTCAGGCCCCATACAGCCATATGTATAAGTATGGTTACAGATTGCATAGTGTTTTTCTTATTAATGAATATTGCGGAACACAAGTGCCAAAAAGTAGGTGCGGACTGTAATACCGGTAACGCATAATGAGAATTTGATCAGATCGCCCGGTCTGCCGGTTGACAGGTTGAAAGCACATCTCTTGTCTGTGATGAATTAAGAAACGGGTACCGGTACGGTACCGAGGGTACCGGTAAGTCTGGTCTCTGACTCCGCATTGTATGGTATATCAATAAACAATAACGGTACTGTAGAGTGTAAACTAACTACGGTCAGACGGTACAATTCCTACCGGTAGACTACGGTACCGGTACAGTCGAACAGTAATGCACTGCAGCTTCTGAGATTAGATTTAGAGCGAGCAGGGAATAAATTGAAAACGCAGAACCCACCCCTCCTCGTCACGCCCGAATAGATAGTTTGACTTCAGCCAGACACCAGAAACTATTTTTGAAATATTAGCATTAGCGAATATTTGAGGCACGATTCATATTTAAGGTTCGACCTTATTCAACAAATTTGTTTCCTTCATTTCATAAAGTACTTTATAGCTTCATCTTTTGACTTGAAAGGATAAAATGTCGCTCTTTTCGATCGCAAAGATGAATGAATATCAATGAAAATCGGAGAATTTGGTAATTTCTACAGTACCCAGTTTTGAAATGTTAGCTGAGGCTTGATTACAACTTATTCCAAAATTTTGTTTTCTTCCATCTATAATGCACTATATATTTGGTTTCAATATAATTAGTATACTATAAACTCTCTCATTCTTCATCGGAAGGATTAAATCTATGGGTGTTATCCCGAACACCTATTTCATTAATTATTAGGGTAACAATGACCAATCAGTAACAAGTAAATATTGACGTAACAATTAGATTTTATGCGGCCGCTTAGAGCAGTGGTTCTTAAAGTATGGGTCGCGACCCCAACATGGGTCGCGGAAGGTTTAAAAATGGATCGCGACAAGGTCGTCAATGCAAGGGCAATCTAAGAGGAGAAGGACGAATTTTCAGCCTTCCCAATGTTTCAATTTAGCTTCTAAACTCTGGTATTTAAAAATAATGAAATAAAAAATTTCATTCACGGAAAGAACTGTCTTGAGCTCATTGTTACATCACAATTCTGATATGCCAGTCACATGTATTATTTTTATGGTATCGGTAACCATGCACGTCGCTTGTCGTTGTGTTGACCGCATGGAATGTCGTCTTAGTGGATTAAAATAACCAAAAATGGGTGTCTTTTTGGTAATGAAAATTGTAATAGACGACGCAATGAAAAAGCTCGCTTCTCGACATTAGATTATTCAATATCTAGAGAAAATGTGACTTCATCTCGAGGCACCATTTACCGCGAACGAAGCAGTGCGTGCACATGTGACGAGTAAAAAGTTGTATATTGCGAGAGATACCGAAGGCCAGCTAGGATGTCGTGTTTGCGACGGACAGCGGACGCCTTTTCTGCTACAATTCGCGACAAGGCACTTGTGCGAGCGAGGATATTTGGCACTGACGGTTATCAAAACTAAGCTCGCAATCGCTTCGATACCCGTGACAACTTCCCTATTTCGTTAAGTAAAATAGAGCTGTGTATTGAAGATATAATGAAAAAAGAAATTTCAGTTTCATCAATCTCACTGAGTCAATGGACTGTTTCTAATAAATAGTTGTCTGTATTTGAGTCAAACTGTACTAACATTAAAAACACATTTTGCGTTTTTTAGGATTGGGTCGCGAGTATTCATAAAACTCAGATTTGGGTCGCGCTTGAAAAAGTTTAAGAACCACTGGCTTAGACACTTGCTTCGCTCAGACCAGAGAGAATGCATAACAAATGTTGTTATGCAACATTTATGCTCAGACAGATATTCAAGCATGGTTGTAAATATTGCCTCGTTTTCGTTGTTTTGGGTGTTATTTTCCAGTTTTCAGTTGTGTTTTCGTAAAGAAATTGCAAATCAAATAACTCAATCGCCATTATGTTCTCCGGTTGGCTTTCAGTTTAGTCGCAATATTCAAAAACGTGCCCGCAAATACTGTGATCAATGACATTAAACAACATGATGCGCAACTCCGGCATTTTTAGCCGAATATCGTATCCGATAGCACGCTCCAATGCACATACTTGACGAGACGAAAACGAGCGGATGTGTGCTGCTTTCAAGGCAGAGCACGAATGGTGTTCGTGCCTGCTTTGACAGTTGTTGTCGATTTTAATGATATTTTGGAAAATTGAAGGTAAAAAGAAATCGGAAAAAGTAAGGTAAATACTATTGTTGTATATCACAGCCGGTTGAGTTGCCCATTTGCCGAAATTGCATATTTACTTACCCCTTATGGTTTCAAACATTTCATACACCTCCATTTAGATTTTTTTTAATCAGTGAGGATATATACTCATTGCTGTAACATACTATTGCTCATTCACTTTTATTTGCGTATTGAATTTCACTCATACCGGTCTATATTGTATAGTCTGATCTCTTAAGTATTTGGAGCCACGAATGCTTGTAATTTTCTGACTAAACCCTTTATTAGTTGGTTTATATACCAAATTCAGTAAAACATTTGGACCTCCAATAGTATGCGCACCAAGATGGCGCACAACCTGAACATAGTATGTGTGTACCGGTTAGGATTCAGGTTGTGCGACATCTGGGTGCACATACTTCTGGAGCACCAAGCATTTTTTACATAAAACATGAGATATTGGATTTATTAGCTTTTCCATTCTAAATCCTATAGACTGCTTTATTTATTCTTACCGAAATTTATTAAATCTCCTCTTTCTTCAGATGTGAAAGTTGTGGACAAACCTGTCTAAGCATTGTGAGACTCCTGCAGCAAAAGAGGCAATAGCAAAAATAGTAAGTATATCAATCAAGAAATTAAGCCGACATAAAGCAAAACTTCCAACTATCCGTCTAACCTCAATTTCCTATTATATTCACAGGCTAGTTGTGCAGAAGGGGAGATATCAGAAGTGTAGACCAGGGATGTCAAACTCGCGGCCCCAGAGAACTTCCAGTGCGGCCCTCGAACGCTTAACAATAATTTTAATAGTATTTTGGAAGTTTTTTTTATCTAAATGTGATAGATTTTTCAAACCTTTTAAAGTGAAATTGAATATTCACACAGAAAATAATTTACTGAAAGTAGTTTTGAAAAATTAATTTTTTTTGTTCACATTTTTACCCAATTAAGAATACACATCAAGCTAGCAAAAGAACACTTGGATAAAACACTTGAGTGATTAAATTAAACGCAAGTACATGAAGAAAGTGACATTTTCGAAGAAAATGGGAGCTGCAATATTTCTGTATTTCACAAAATTCTGAAGCACATGGTTTAATTTCCATCAGTACAATGAAAAAACACAATAAGCTCAGCAGTCAATATGACAAATTCGAAGACCAACTTCGAACAGAAAATTGCCACGTGTTTGTATATTAATATAATTATACAACGACTTAGTTACTAAAAATCAATATCAATAATAATTCAAGCAATCCTATGCCATGCAATGTGGAGCGAAATGTCTTGTCGAAAAAGTCTGTCATTTGTTTTTTTACTGATCTATACATGAAATGATAAAAGTAACTTTTTTGCATTACTGGAATTAATTAAACATTCACAAAGATCCAGATTAACCCATGATCATGTGACCTAGTTAGTTAGAGTTGGTACTATAAAATCATTTCAGCCTGGCCTTATTATGATGGTGACACA